AATAAAAAAAAAATCTCCGCGATTCCTCGCCCCCCCTTTTTTTATTTGTTGCTTTTCGCTTCTTTCCCCTCCTTTAGCTCTTTTCTCCCCCCCTTAAAACCCCCTTTTTTTTTTCTGTTTTCGGTTGTGAAGGCCGATTGTTATTCTTTGATTGGGGTTTTTGCAGTTGTGCATGTCGTTCTAACGCAACTGCATTTTGTTGTGATGCCTGGCAGAACGGTCGTCGCTGTTGCTGGCGAGAACTTTGCAGTCGTCGCGTCGGACACCCGCTTGAGCGAGTACTATGGCATCCACACTCGCAACTGCCCCAAGACATTTGTTCTGTAAGCTTAAACGAAACGTGGGGGAAATTGGGGCCGGGATGCGCTTGTGTGGGATTCAGTGGCTCAATCTGCTTGCCATGCATTCAATCATTCCATGACGTCTCTAGCTCCGACAAGACCGTGCTGGCATCATGCGGCTTCCACGGCGACGTGCTCACATTGACCAAGAACATTTTCACACGGCTGCGCAAGTACGAGCACCAGCACGAGAAGACAATGGCAACGCACGCCATTGCTCAAATGCTGTCCAACACACTTTACTACCGCCGGTTCTTCCCCTTCTACACCTACAATGTGATTGGTGGATTGGACGAATCTGGTATGTGATTCGAGAAACCTTTCCCCCCCCCCCGGTTGTTTGCTGTAGAGCTGACTTTTGATCGAGTTTTTCTCATTTTTTTTTTTTTGCTTGCGCTTTCTTTTCTTCTTGGTTTCCGTCTGTGTCTGCCTCAGGCAAAGGAGCTGTATACAGCTACGATCCTGTCGGCAGCTACGAGCGTGAGAGCTATCGCGCGGCTGGCACTGCCTCTGCTCTTTTGCAGCCTCTGCTGGACAACCAGGTATGCACCATGCATCATTGACCGTTTGTGGATTTCAGAGTGTCTTGACGCTGCCTGATGTGCAATGCGCGTTGCTCACTGTTCGACCTGTTGCTGCTGTTGTTGGTTTTGTCCCCCGGTGTCCTGGTTGTAGCTTGGATATAAGAACTTGGCTCCCAACGTGCCGCGCCCTCCACTGACCGTTGCCCGTGCTGTGGCCATCGTCAAGGATGTGTTTGCCGCTGCCACCGAGCGCGACATTTACACTGGTGACAGTGTCGATATTCAAGTCATCACCTCGGAAGGTGTTGCAACGGAGCGATACGAGTTGCGCAAGGATTAACAAAAAACAAAAAACACTGTCTAGACAAAGCAATGCTGTGGTCGTGTTTGTGTTTGTGTTTGGTTTTGGTTTTGTTCTGTGCTAGTGAATACAATATCAAATGTTGCGAATGAATCCAAAGCCAAATTGCAATCAACTGACAACCAGTCGCCTTCCTCCTCTGCACCTAGGTTTTGTTGCCACTCACTCAACATCCAACGACATCAGTCTCCCATTTCACATCCAACGACAGATCAGTCGTCTTGCTCAGCCAGCACGATTTCAGTCAAAATTTTCACACACACACACACACACAGCACAATGAGCCAGTCTAGCCCGCACTCTCCGCCGCCCGACATGCTTGCGAGCCAGGCAGACATTGTGCGAAGCAGCCAGAAGGACCGATGGCACATTCACACGCTGATGGAAGAGCTGACCGCGGCTGCGAGCGGCGCCGTCGGCACAGTCACCGCCTCACGGTGGCAGAAGGAGCTCGCCCTGCTGGCCGAGCTGCTCTACCTGGCGCTGACCACTGGCAGTGGAAGCAAGACCCTTGGCGAGGAGTACTGCGACATTGTGACGGTCAACGCCAAGCACAACCCGGAATCGTCTGCCAAGCCAAGCGGACCACCCTCAAGTCGTTCAAGTCGTCCAAGTCGTTACTCGGAGGCGACACAAGCTCAAGATCATCATCAAGCTGTGCTTTCATCATCATCATCGTCGTCGTCGTCTGCACCGCTGACTGGATTGCACATGACCGATGCTGCGCCATTGTCAAGTCGCAGACGCTGGGCGTTTGTGTTTCTGCACGCGCTGCTGCCGTATATTGTGGACAAGTTGCTCGAAAAGCTACATTCAGTGACACGTCCAACACAGCCGTCTTCTGCCCGTGCAGGTGAGCTGCAAGAGCAGTGTGAGAACGTTCAGGCTATGTGAGTTGACTCAACCTTTTTTTTTATTTTTGCTCGCATCTTTTGGCTTCATCAACTTGCTGGTTGGTTTTATTATTATGATGATGATGATGATTCTTTCTTGAATGCAAACCACCAGTGGCTCGAGATCGCGTCATCCAAAGCCTTCCTTTCGGAATCGGCGCCTTCTTGCAGCACATTCGGCCTTTCGTTCATCGGAGCATCCCGATTGTTCGAGACGCGATCGAGGGCTTGCATCGCGCGCATCTGGCATTCTTTTACTTTACCGGCCTGTATTCTCATATTACTTGGCGGACACTGTCCATTCGCTACATTATGACTCGAAAGCTGGACATTGGCGAGTCTCGCCCGTCCTACCGGCTGCTGGGTCTGCTTTCCAGTGTGCAGCTGCTTGTGACGCTAATATTGTGGCTCAAGCCGCGTCTCGCCGCCCTCTATGCATCGTCGCATGCAACGCCAGCGCACGGCACCAATCCAGCCAGCGTCGACCGGATGCATTCCCAGACCGAGAATCCTGTCGAATCCGATGAGTAAGGCAGTTTACTATGCGAGTCGAGCTGTGTTTGTTTGTTTCAGGTTTTGTTTCGGCGCTCACATGCGCCTGATTTGAATTGGATGATGCAATGCACAGCGAGAACGATCGGGGTGATGAAGACGACGACATCCCGGCCTCGTCCAAGTGCTCACTGTGTCTCGCTGCTCGTGAAAACCCAACCGTGACTCCTTGTGGCCATTTGTTTTGCTGGAAGTGTATTGCCGAGTGGTGCACCACCAAGGTAACACGGCGAAGGAGCACTGCAGCATCTCATTCTCATTCGCATTCTCACTCGATGGTGATTTTGATTTTGATTTTGTGACGCCAAATTAGCCCGAGTGCCCACTGTGCCGTCAACCAGCCTCGCTTTCACGGCTGTGCTGCATCTACAATTATGATGCCAAGCCGGTTCGCAGATCGTAGTCAAAAAGTTCTTAGTTTTGTAAATTATCTTCAGCATTAACATTTTCTTGATTTCACAACATAATAACACGTCATTATTCAACCCAACAAACCTCCCGTTCAACAACAACAACAAAAAAAAAAGCCCATCGACTCGACGCGACTTGCATCCTTTTCCAACTCTAAGGAAGAATGGACTTGTCATTGTACTTGGCCTGCATATCCAACAGTGCGGCACGCAAGCGCACATTTCGCTGATGTGTAAAATGCAAGGATTCACAAAAATGTTTCAAGCAAGCAGTGAGTGGATGAAACACAGCTGAGAGAACCTAAAACATGCGGCTCCCTCCGCGCTTACCGCTTGCAGCTCGTTGTTCTCTTGACGAATCTTCATGCTCATCTTGATCTTTTGTTGCTGATTTTGGTGACCCATCAGGCTGGCATTCTCGTTCTCCAGCATCTCGAGTTCCTTTCGGCGATTCTCAATCTCCTCGCTGAGCTTTTGCTTGGTGGACTATGGAAAGTTCATGACCATGTGTGAGTGTCAACCAAAAAAACTAAACCAACCTCCCGACCCTCAAAAAGCCCATCAAGGTCAACAAAAGCCTCACCAAAATTTCTTCATTCGCCATCTCGAGGTTGGAGGCCAGGTCAGACTTTTCCGTCAACAGCCGCGTCATGGAATGACGAAGACTACAACAACAACAAAAGAAAGCCACACAGATTGCATTCAGAAAAGATCACGACTTCGTCCGCGCGCACCCACCCACCCTCGCCTCAAACCCCCGACCAGAAACCAAAGAATTACGTACGCTTCAAGCTCCTCGACCATGCTCTGAACATCATCCGCTGCAGTCTCGGCGTTCGCTCGCTCGAGGGCAAACTTGGTGGCGAAAGAGTCCCGATCCTTCTTGACCACCACAATCTCGTCTTGCGCCTGTCGGAAGGCCTTGCCAAGTTGCTCTGAGCGAGCTTCCAACTCGCCAACAGACAGGGTAGCAGCTGCGAGCTTTGAAGACAGAGTACCATTTTCGACCTTCAGCGCTTCGTTGGTTTGGCTGGCCGTCTGGTTGGCAAGTTGCAGCTGCGATTGGGCCTGCTCCAAAGTGGCAAGTCTGCGACGCAACTCTTCCAACTCGAGCGTAGCCTCGCGCTGCTGGGTGGCTGCGTTGGCAACAGCTGCGTCGCGCTCGGCACGCATGTTGTTCAGGTCGTCAGTCATGAGGAGCTGGCTGTCGCGAAGCGCTTCAATCGTGCGCTGGGAGTCGCTTTCGTGTTGAGATGCACGCAGCAACATGGATTCGAGTTCGAGAATGCGCCCGTCGCGAGATTCGAGCTGTCGACGGAGGGTGTCGGTCACCTGGCTGCTTTCCATGCCAGCCTCGCTGAGCTGCGCAGCCATCCTCTCGCACGCTTGGCGGGCTTGCATCTGGCCTTGCTCAAGTTGAACAATGGCCTCTTGGCGCGCCTGGAGTTCCTCGTGCTGCCGCTCGTTGGCGTGTCGTAGGTCGTCTGCCGTCTTGGACAGGGCTTGGAACGCTTCGGCCGAGACTTGGCTGGCCGACTCTTGCGTGGCTTGCAGCTCCCGGTACTTGGCGTCCGCTCGGACACGCTCGCTGTACACTTCAGCTAGCATCTGCTCGCGGTCTTTGCGCGCCTTCTCGATCGCTTGCGCGTGGACATTGGCGAGTGCTTGGCGTTCGGTCTCACTCTTGGTCGCCGTTGCTTTCGCCTCCTCCAGCTCCGCTTCGAGCTGCATTGACCGCGCCAAGCCGTCTGCTGCTTGTTGACTGGCCGTATTCCGTTCTTGCTCAAGCGTTTGGATGCGCTCCTGGAGCTCTGCCTTGACAAGCTTGTAAGCTTCTGTCTGGTTGTCAAGCTCGTCTTTCGCCAGTCGCTGGGCCTCGGCGATTTCGTCGAAAAGCTTTCGCAGGTCGTCTAGTTGCCTGCGCGCGTGGACAATCGACGCTTTCTGCTCTGTGATGGTGAAGGTGAGGTTCTCCTCCGTTGCCAACAAGCGAGCGTGCTCCTTCTCCAGGTGCATTTTATCGGCTTGAAGTTGTTGCAACTGGCCGCGAAGTTGCTCATTCTCCTTGAGGAGCTCCTTCAATTCGTTGCTGGACACGCTGCCGCTCAGCTGCTGCTCGAGCAATGCAGCTTTCGTCATGAGGGTCTGGTACTGATTCTCGGTTGTCTGAAATTCCAGCGCAAACATTGTTGTCCCGTTAGTCACAAAGTTTTTTGTCAAAGTGTTTTGCACTCTAGCACGACGTATCGCTTTTGAGTGGTCAGCTTTACCAGCATATCTGCCTCCATGGTCAGTTTTTGGGTCATGAGCGCGGCAATTTCGCGTGCTTGCTGCTCGGCCTGAGCTTCATGATTGGCGACGCGCTCCATCGCATCAGCAACATCTCGCTGTAGCAAGTCAATCACAAAAAAGGGCAGGTTGGTATCATTGAAGCGAACGACAGAAACAGCCGGAATGCGAATGCGAGAATTGAGAATTTGAGCTACCAACCTGAGCAGCTTGATGGGCATTGGTCATTTGGTCCAAGTCTCCGCGAAGCAAAGCAAGTTCACTTTGGAGACGAATGCTCTGCATTGAGATTTGTTCCAACATTGAGTCGAGGTCGAGGTGCACAAACTCCCCTTTCATCTTGCTTGAAACCTGCTCGTGCTGAACGTACCTCTTGCTCCAGAAGGGTGCACTGGCCAGTCAGCTCGGCCTCGCGTTGTGCCTTCACCTGACGCTCATCGTCCAAATCCAGGGCCGCGAGCTCCTTCTCGTTTCGAATTGTGATGACTTGGCGAGAAAGCGCTACAGAAAACAAATGGCGTTTTTGGTCCAAGCGTGAGCGCCTGTGGATGCAACCGTACTACCATGAGTCCTCGAAAAAGCTTACATTCATTCTGCTTGCGCAAGTCTTCGAGCTCTCGCTGCGCGGCATCAATTTGAGCCGCCATCGCCGCAGCAACCTTGGCCGCCTGTTGGCTCTGTTGTTTGTTTTCGCCAATCGCCTCGGCCGTGGCAATTTGCCCTTCCGCGACTGCCTTGTTGATCTGCAAAAGAAATTCACAACAAGAGGTATCGAGGATGGTGTGTGAGCGGAAACTGAGCTTCGGTTGTCATCGATATGCAAAAGCGGAGCGTGCGTGTACCTCGGTCAACTGCTTTTCAAGGTCGCGAATTGTGCGTTGCAGAGCCTCATTCTCCTCATCTCCTGTTGTTGTTGAGCCATGCCACACGTTAGTACTGTGTATACTGAAAACTTTCAGTGCAAAATTCAACGCTCAGCTGCTTGTCGTCGTACGTTGCAAGAGAGCCCGGGTGTCGAATGCAACCGACTGGCGCTTGCGACGCTCCATGGCTTCGGCAAGCGCGCGCTTCTCTTCGATCAGTTTCTCGCAGCGATCTGACAGGAGGAGATTCGTGCTTTGCAGAAGGACGACCTGCTGGTTCTCCTGGGCATACTGAGGATAGGCCTGTCGGACACGTTGGATTTCGGCTTCATCAAACAACACCTGCTGTCAGAACAACTGTTGCGCTGCATGCGGTTTGTGCAAACTTCCCTCAAAAACAAAAATCCTATTACCTTTGAGAATATAATTGTCCAACGCAATCGACTTGTCGGAAATGGTCTGGTCCTTGAGCAATTTGAACTGCTCAATCTCTTGACGCAGCAAAATCTAAACGCACCGAGCAATACTGAGTATGAAAGCAGACGAGAGCCTCCAAAGTAAGCAGGAACACCTTCAGATGAAATGGCCTCACCTCTCGTTGAGACAGATTGGCGGTGCCGTTTCGCTGGTCGCGAAGCTGCTGAATGTAAGATTGACGGAGCTTGATGATCATTTGAGCGTGCTGTCAAAGTCATCCCCAAAAATACAAGAAAACACCAAGTCAGTCCATCGTTGAAAACCCAGCTCGACTCAAGTTCAAACACAATGCCGAGAGACGTACAAGCATGGCCGCTTCTTGCCGCGCCATCAACTCTTGCATCAAGCGAAGGCGGTCTTCAAGAGTGGCATTGTACGAGTCTGTCTGACGCTTGAGCTCCAGGACCTTGATGAGCTCGTCATCGCGAGCTTCTTGCTCGGCCAACGTGAGAGGAGCGCGGCGGCCTTGTGATCCCTCGAGCAGAGCCTTGAGACGCTTGATTTCACCTTGAAGCTGGGAAGCGTCTCCCACCGTTTTTTCGTTGATGGAAATTTTGTTTTTGATTTGCTTGGCGCGCGCTGCGAATCCCAGGGTGGACAGGGACTCTTGGACGCATTTCAGAATCGGGTTGATGTTTGCAATGATGAAAGTCTTGGTGTTGCCTCCGAGCGAATCCTACCCGGCATTTGAGAGTGAGGCAAAAGACATTTTCAAAAAGTTGTCAGGAAAAAAAAAAAAACACAACAGAAGCAAAAAAAAAAAAAAAAAAAAATCACCATCTGTGACACTGCTTACACGAAGGAACATGGTGAGACGCGACTCGCGGTATGGCACGTGCGCCTTCTTGTCCACAAGAGCGGACATGACGTTGCCCAAGGAACTCAACGACAGGTTGATCTTGGAGGCCTCCTTGAGATTCTGGCCAGCAGTTTGAGTGTCTCGTTGGCGCTCGGAGCCTGCCAGATCAATCAAATGGAGACGAGCTGTGCGTCCTGACTTGAGCCCGCTTTTGACGCCGTCGCCCTTTTCCGAAATGTCGACCACCAAGGTCAAGACGGCGTGCGAGCGGCTCGAGTCACGGTTGAGCGAGGTGGCAGCCACGCGTCGGTTGGACATGCCATCAAAGAGAAGCCTGTTTGCCTCCTGGGGAGAGGTAATGGTCGGTTGACGAAGCCCCTCGATCGACGAGTCGTCGTGCAGCTTCAGACTAGTGGTCGATGTGCCGTCAAGCAGATCGTAAATGTTCTCGTTGTAAATCTCAAAAAAGCTCAGCTTGCAGGTCGTTTCAACCTTGTGGTTGCGGAGCTTCTCATTGTTGAGCTGCGCAAACAAGTACTCAAAGGTGCGAGGGATCAAGCCACGCAGCGTGTGCATTTCGGTTTTGCCGTCCTGCTGCGATTCCTTTTTGGCATCGTGAGGTCCAAGCATTGTGTGTGTCTTTCCAGAGCCCGATTGGCCACTGCAAGTGGATGGGATTTGTTGTGAGGTTTGGTGTTGGGATTGTTTGGAATTGGGGGTCGGCGGGGTGAGCGATTCATCCTCAACTGCATCCCATCCGTTTTCCGCTCCCAACCAGCATAGTTAAAGGTCTTCTTACTAGGCAAAGATGGTGCCATTGTAGCCTTGGATGCAGTTATCGACAATGACCTTGCCAACAGAGCGGAAAACCGCTTCTTGCTTGACATCCTCACCGACAACTTCGTCGAAAGTGTACGCCGTGTTGTTGTGAATGATGCTCTTGCTGTCTTCCGTGATCTGGAACCGAGATTGCTCCACCGAACCAGAGCTTTCGTCGCGAGCAATCGGCCTCAAGCGAACGTACACTTGAATGGCGTCGAGATGTCTGGAACCGAAAAAAAAAAAAAAAAAAGAAAAAAAAAAAAAAGAGTTGTTGGAAAATCAGTTCAAAATGAAACGACTGTCTCTCAATTGGCTTTGAGGGGCGACGACATTCGTGTTGGAGAAATAGCCTCAAACAGCGACCGCCGTCACCACAGAGCAAGCATCAAGCCCGAACAGCAAGCTTCGAAGGTGTACAAATCCACGAGAAATCACTTAAAACTTGAAACCAGTTGTTGGTTTTCGTTTCGCTTACCCGCCATCGGTCGACTTGTCCAACGCTGCAGAGCAGAACAAAGCACAGCACATGGGATGGTCACACAGTGAGCAACACTTTACACACACACAGCCAACCAACCAGCAGCAGCATGCGGACGCCAGGAAGCACAGCAGCATCCACGGTGCGCAAAACACAGTGTGAGACGGTTTAGTATTTTTTTTGGCGCCAAAGTTTCAAAAAACCAAACCGTCTTTCGTTTCAAGCGCAATCTGCAGCGAATGCCATTCCCGCTGACACTTTCCCCCCCCCCCGCTGTCGTACACCGCGATGTGCTCTTTATGATGTGAAACTGATGTACGTGTGGAATAGAGAGAGAGAGAGAAAGAGAGAGACACGTACCCTCGCAGGAAGAAGGCGAATCGACAAAAGCAGCAGAATCTGAATCCATCTTTTGAAAAAAAAAAAAAAAAAGTAAAAGTGAAACGATGAATGGAAATGGAAACTCCCCAAAAACATACCTCACCATTTGAGAACTTGAGCCACTCAATACAGAAATAATGTTATTATAGTACAAGACAACCAAATTTTATAGCGCGCGAGGCTTTTTGCGCGAAACGGCGAAATTGTCCATCCACGTCTCGCCAAGCAGGGACGCAGAGACAGAGCCAGGCTCGACCGAGCTGCTAGATGGACCAACTGCCTGCATGGCGGGCTTTTGGTAAAAGTGCGGAGCGAGTTCGAGCAGCCACTCGGGCTCAATGGCCGTAATGTCGCGCATGAACGTCCGCGTCGTTTGCACAATTTCGTGAAACACTACGTACTTTGGAGGCGGCAAGGGACGGTGGAGCTTCTGCGTGACTTGGTAGTACAGCACGGACGATGGGTGGATGGCCAGGTCAAGGTCGTAGCGCAACGAGCGGTAGGAACCGTCAGGCTTGAGCCGCGCGGCGTTGGCAAAGTACCCGGCTGCAATGCACCGTCGGATCGTCTGTGCAGCAGCGGTTGCTTCATCGTCGGACGGATTGCGACTCTGGCTGTTGCGCGAGCGGTGCTTTCCGAAGGCCGACTCGATCGCAACGCCAAACTTGGTCAGATACCGCATGAGCTGATGGCGAATTTGCACGGCTCGTTGCATGGCTCGCGGATTGAGATTCATGCGGCCGCACCACTTGTCGCCGTGCTGACCAACGCCGTGCTGGCTGTAGGCCAAATAAACGTTCAACAGCGTCAGGTGATCGCCCTCTGTGACGCCAAATCGCGAGCGTGCCGCGTCCACAACAGCATTTCCCGACGCTGCAAAGTCCGACCCGCTCGCATCGCGGTTGCTCGCCGAGCTGGAGAACAAGTTTTGGACTTGGAGCATGGCTGCGATGGTCACAATCTCCTCGCTACAGCCGAGTTCAGCAGAGGCGAGCAGCATTTTGGCTTGCATGACAGGGATGGGCAGCTCTGCCATGCGGATGCCCAATGGAATGGCAAGGCGACCGTTGCTTTCGAGCGCGCCGAGCGCAAACAAGAGCTCAAGCGCCCTCGCGACGGTTTCCGTGACGGGCGGCGAAAGAAAATCAAAATGCAGCAGGTTGTCAATGCCAAGCGCTTTGAGCTGCAACAGCACGGGCGCCAGCTCGACGCGCTGGATTTCCGGCACACTCCGTTCTGGAAGAAGTGTGCAGTAGTCGGACTCGGTGCACAGACGAAGGGCTTTGCCTGGACGGGTGCGGCCGGCACGACCCGCCCGTTGCTGGGCAGAAGCACGCGAAATGGGCACAATCATGAGCGACTCGTGACCGGCGTCTGGGCGATAGACCATGAGCTTGACATGGCAAGAGTCGACCACGTACGCGATGCCATCGATGGTGACACTTGCTTCTGCCACATTGGTCGAAATGACAACTTTGCGCGTGCCTCGAGGCGGCGCTTCAAATGCTGCCAATTGCTCTTGAAAGGGTAGCGCGCCGTGCAGTGGCAAGACTCGCATATTCATGTAAGAAGCCGGAGGAGCAGCAAGTCGACCACGATCGCCGTGGTGATGCTGCTGCTGCTGTTGCTGATACCGCCGTTTGGCAGCGGCAGCGTCGACAAGCAGCGCATCCACTCGGTCGTTCAGCAAGGTGATGGCTCGCTCGATTTCGTCTTGGCCCGTCAGAAAAACGAGAACATCACCAGCCGGCTCTTCGGTGTGAATGTTCATCACAGCATCGACCGCAGCCTTGATGTAGTCCGGGGTGGGTTGCGACAGGTACTGGACGTCGACGGGAAATGTCCGACCTGGCACGGTCAAGATGGCGGCGGTGTCCTTGCTCGGATCACTCGCATCCGTGTTCAGATTGAAATGAGAGCGAAAGGCTTCTGCGTCAAGCGTGGCAGACGAGACAATGACGCGCATCTCGGGTCGCTTCCGCAACACTTTGCGCAGCAAGCCGAGAAGCAACTCGGTCGCGATTGTCCGCTCGTGCGCTTCGTCCAGCATGATGACCGAGTACTGATTGAGGAGCGGCGTGGCCATCATCTCTCGCAACAACAAGCCATCCGTCATGAACTTGATTTTGGTCTTGCCTGGCGTTGTTACGTCGTCGAAGCGTATCGAGTAGCCGACCAAATCACCCACCGTTTCGCCCATTTCCTCGGCCGTCCTCGTCGCAACGGACGTTGCAGCAACTCTTCGCGGTTGCGTGCACGCGACGACTCGATCTCCCGCCTGCAATGTACGGCGCAAAACCAAAGAAAACGTTGTCAGCCAACGATTTGCGTGTGAGCTCAGCTCGCAAACTTCCAGCATAGACGAGTCTTCCGTAATCACATAAACCTCAAACACCTCTGCACTCGGAGTTCAGACATCCAGTTCCAAAAAAATCTTACCGTCCAGCCTGCTTCGTGCAGGTACTGCGGGATTTGGGTTGTCTTGCCCGAGCCCGTTTCGCCTACGACAATCAAGACCTGGTATTGCTCAAGCATATGCAGAATGTTGGAACGCACGGCGGCGATGGGAAGTCGACTTCGCTGCTCGGCAATGGCAAGGCGACTGTTTGGGTTGTAGACGGCAGCGATCGAGCCGCCCGCCACGGCATCCCGTCCATCCGACGCCAGCGAGGTTGATGAGGACGAGCTCGGCACGCGATCCACAAGCGAGCCCGGCGCGATCGTCCCGGGCTTCCAAAAGACCATTCCCGAGCCCGCCATGCTGACGAGCTGTGATGGGGGGGAGACTTGGTTCGGTCTCTGCCAACCTTGAGCTATTTGAGTAAAGCAGTTCAAGAATGAGGATGACTCGAATGGAATGGTTGAGATGAGTGACTGACTTTTGGCTTGGGATTTATCGCTGGGGATTGCAGCGGGGTTCAGAACGAGAAATCAAAGAAGACTGAACGAGTCTTCTCTTACTTCCTGAGCACAGGTGACTGAGCACAGATTGGCGTAAGATTTATTCACGGATGAAGTGTTTTGCTGAGCGCAAGTTGACAAGTTGAGCTGCATTGTCACTTTGGTGTTGATGGGCAGATGGACTGAGGTTCCCTTGCCTTTCCCCTCCTTCATCCTTCTCCCCCTCGGCACCATGCATAGCAAAAATCCACACAATCAAAATCTTACACATTTTCAGAACAAACTTCACTCCATTTTTTTTGTTAAATTCACTTTTCATCATGAGCTTCTTGAAGCAAGTTGAAGACGTCCTCGAAGCAGTGAGTTTTGTCCATTGGAGCTTTGATCTCTCTCTTTCCCTCTCTTTCTCTCTCTCTCTCTCTCGCTCTCTCGCTCTCTCTCTCTCTCTCTCTCTCTCTCTCTCTCTCTCTCTCTCTCTCTCTCTCTCTCTCTCTCTCTCTCTCTCTCTCGCTCTCTTTGTCTCTGAACTGCAATGCTTTGCTTGTTTTTGTAACTCACTCTGCTGTGGTCCTCTCCCTTTTGAACAAACTCGGTCGGCTGTTGGCGTTTTCTCGCGTCTTCCATCGCCTTCTTCCTTTGCGACGCTGGTTACTTGCTGCTTGCTGCTTGCTTGCTGCTTGCTGTTCTCGTTAGCCTGGCTTTGTCCCGCGCGCTGGTGAGGCAGCCGAGCCCGGCAGCGTGTTTGACGCAACAAAGTACGTCAACCAGCAAGACCTCGAGCACATGTGGGCAACCAAGGTAAAAAAGAAGGAAAAAAAAAAAAAAAAAAAGATTCACTACTATTGCACACAATGCAATATGTGATGAGGGGGGGGGGTCGTTTTTGTCAACCACCAAACAGAATAGTTTTGGCGAGTGAGCAAGATTTCCTTTGATCGATCATCGTTCATTGGTGAATGATTCGGACTTGTTCAAACATCGCTCCAAAACGACCTTTTTGTCGAAATCTCTGAGCAATTTGACAAGCATCTGAGACGGAGAGCATCCCGTTGCTTGATGCTGCTGTTACTGTTTATTGTTATTCTGACGACGCACCTCCGTGCAAAAAAAAACCGGTTTGACAGGCCTTCCAGCACGCTGAGGTTTACTACAAACTCATTTCGAGCTTCCCTGACCCCAGCAAGCTCAAACTGACTCCGTACGTGCAGTTCACCAACTGTTATGTGTGTGTGTGCTCCAACACAAAACCCACCATGCTCACAAACCGCATTCTTCTTCGCGCAGTCTCGACAACGAGATTTACTCCCACTTCCGCGACCTGTTCCCCGATTTCCCCGTTGGCCTTGTTCGCGAGTCCCTGCTGAAGACCGAAGAGAGCAAGGAAAAGTGGCGACCATTCTGCAACGCCTATGACAAGCGAATTGACGACCACAACTTTGGCACGCTGCTCCGTCTCGACGCAACCAAGGATTACACTGAGGACAATACTATTTTCGGTAAGTTTCGGGCAAACTGAGCAAGAGCACCAGCTATGAGCGCCAGTTCTGAGCTGGTTTGGCCTGCTTGATTGTTGTCTTCCTTTGTTCTCACCGTCCGAACCCCCAACAACAGCCAACCGCATCCAATTCTACGCTATCGAGCTCGCACGAAACCGCGAAGGCCACAATCGCAACCTGCCCAAGCCATAACTGCGCAGTGTGTTTTGCGCGCTCTTTTTGCCTTGTTTGTTGGTCGTTCTGATTGATCATCACACATTTGAACAAGCGGGAAAATGGATGTTGCGTTAAAGCCATTACTAACAATACAAAAAATAAATCTACCACACACACACACATACACTGATTAAACAATGAAACTTGTTAAGCGGGGGGAGGGGGAATGGAGAGGAGAGAGAGAGAGAGAGAGAGAGAGAGAGAGAGAGAGAGAGAGGGAGAAATGCTCAGGCAACTCAAACTGGACTCGAGTCAGCTTAAATGTCAAGTGCGGGAGGGTCGAGCTCGGTGAAGCGAACCGCAATTTGTGGTGACTGCATGCCTGCCTTGCCACTGACAGAGCTGGACGACGGGCTCGACGTGGCGGCTTTGCCTGAGGTGACAGAGTCGGCCGACTCAGAGTTGGCGCGCGAATGCCAGCCAGGTGTGCTGCCCAGGCTAGAGAATGGTCGGTTGATGTGGTCGTCGCTGCTGCGGCGATGGACTGAGTTGTGCACATCGGTGTTCATGGCGGTGAAATTGTGCACCACTTTGGTGTCGAACGTGGCGAAAGTGTCGTCGTCCACGTCGTCTGGCTCTTCGCCATGCAGCTCGAGATCCTCGAGTCCGCTTTGGCTTGTGCCTCCGCGAATACTGTGGGTGTCGAGATCACCTCCGAGGCTTTCCAAGTCGGAGGTGAGCACATAGTCTGAATCCGTGTCCAGATCGCCGACCACGCTGCGATCATCGCCGTGCGCCAGTTGGCTGGCGTGGCCGAAGCTGCCACTTCCGCTCAGTTGCGGCGAGTTGGAGCGTACACTGAGCAGACTGCTGTTGAGAACACGAGCGACGGGCGATTTGGTGAAAGATTGGTGCGTGGAGGTTCCAGAAGCACGAGAATCTTCAAACTCGGCAGGTTCAGGCTCGAACGAACCGCGGCGAGCTGCGGTGAGGACACGGAGGGTACAAACAAGGGTGACAAGAATGAAAAGGCACAGTAGTGTTAGAGATGGTTTGTTGAAAAACAGACGACAGAAACACACAAAAAAAAAAAGCTTACAGCGAAAGTACGATGTGTCTTCCACATCACTCAGTGAGGGTTTGAACGGTGCAGGGTGGTTGAGCAAGGAGTCCCAGTCGATACCGGCAAAGAACGGGTGAGCCTTGATGGCTGAGCAAACAACAAAGGGGGGAAAAAGAATCAAGTGAGAAATCACCCAACAGACCCCTCTTTGAACCAACAAAAGCGTGTGAAGAGCTCGTGTACCTTTCGTCGTTGGGCGGAGCTGAGGCTTGGGATTGAGAAGTTTGGTGATCAAATCTCGAGCTTCGTGCGACATTTCGTCAGCTGGTGGCCAGGGGATGTCTAACACCCACCAAAAGCAGCAAAAACAAATCCAACAAGAACAGTCAGAAACACAGCGAGCGCAAATCAACGTGGCAACCAGTGCACCTTCATTTTTTCCACGCAACAAAAAAACAATCAAAATCAAAAGCACATACCATGATTCAGGATATTCTGGAAGATCATCTCCTCGCTGCTGTCGTTGAATGGGGGGATGCCAACCAAAAACTCAAACAGACAAATGCCAAGAGCCCACCAATCGACGGAATAGTCGTGCTCAAAGCCCAAAAGAAGCTCGGGGGCGAGGTAGTCCGGCGTGCCGACGATGCGCGAGCCCATGCGGAACTCTTCTGGCTCGTCCTCCTGCGCGGCAGCTTCCGCTGCTGTGGTCACCTTGTCGCTGTGGCTCGAGCTGGAAGGAGCTTCCGAGGGGGCAGAGACCGCCGCCAGCTTGCCGTCAATGCCAATCATCTCAGTGTCGGTGAGCTGCGGCATGGGCGAGCCGACAATGGTGCTTGAATCGGGCTGAGAGACCGAGCCACCGTCGCTGCTGGCGCTCAGATTGCCGTTGCTGGAGGCTGCTGTCTGCAACGATACCTTGAGCGAGTTTGCGAGATAGGCCTCGTGCCCAGAGTTGCGGCGGCGCGTTTTGCCGCTGGGTGCAACAGTCAGCAACGAGGAGCCGCGGCCACCCAGACCTCCATGAACGTCGTCTCGGCCAGACATTTGCCCACTCGGCGGTCGGAAGGCAGGCGCAGACGTCTGTCGCGTGAACGTTTTTGCTCGTCGCAATGCAGCAGGGAGAGGATGTCCCGCCTTGCTCGCCGTCACGGTTTGTGCCGCGACAGCTGGGTGGAACGATTGCTGTTGTTGTTGCTGCTGCTGTTGCTGCTGCTGCTGCTGCTGGTGGTGGAGCGCCATCGCGCTGGCTGCATTCAAGGTCTCTGCAGAGCTAAACCGCTTGGAGCCATTCAATCCGGGCGTGGCAAGCGAGAGCAAGGTCATGCTGCTGACATTATTGCTCGCTTGAGGAAGTGCAAATTGTGCAGGCTGTGCAAACGACGCGGAGGTGAGACGGCGGGCTAGTGTGCTCCGAGGAGAGCCTGATGGGGAAGGGGGCATGTAGCTCGACGTCGCTGGCAGCGACGAGGACAGAGTGGAAACCGACTGACTCTGTGCGACAGCCGCGGCAAGTGTTTCGGCAGCTTCCGGGTGGATGGAGGTGTTCTCGTCAAGAAGCTCATCAGCGCTGCTCGAAAGCGGTGCGGCGGGCTTGCCAGTCGTGACGGGGCGCACTTCCAGGGAGCCCATAGAGTGCGACAGGCTTTGCTGTTGCGCAAGAGTTCGCATGGACTCAGACATTGGCACAAGAGTGCCTCGATGACTGGGCACAGCCGAATGCGTCACACTTCCCGGCAACTGGGAGGGCGCACTTGCGCTCGATGTCGGCTCTTGGATGCGGCTCAGTCCAAAGTCCGTCAGCTTGATGTGGCCGTCAGAGTTGATCAGCATGTTGTCGGGCTTGAGATCGCGGTGAATAATGTGGTGCTGGTGCAGATATTCCAACGCGAGCACGACTTCCGCGGCGTAAACCTTGGCCATGCCTTCCTCAAACGCTCCCAGAGCCTGCAGCAGCGAGCACACATCGCCGCCGTTCAGGTACTCCATAACGAGGTACAGGTACTCGCGAGTTTGGAACGAGTAGTACAGCTTGACCACGTGCGGGTTGTTTGAGATGGCAAGAGCTTGCTTCTCGGCAATCACATTGTCAACCATGTTTTTGCGGACCATGTCGTCTTTCTTCATGATCTTGATGGCGTACAAGTCCTGAGTCGTCTTCTTGCGCGCGAGGTAGACGCGGCCGTAGGCGCCGTGGCTGATGGGCTTGATAATGTTGAAGTCGGTGATGGTGGGCAAGCGTCGCCGGGACCGTCCCACATGTTTGCCACTGCCAGAGCCTTGTGGAGAATCTGACGTGTTGACCGAGATGGCGCTGGCGAGCGAACCAGCCGAAGGGGTGCGTCGGTGTCCGCCGCCGCGGGCAATCGCTGCAAAAAGCGACAAGACCTTCTTTGGAGTACTTTCCGAGCCAGAGCCCATCGCGTTGCCGTGTGTATGGGACGATCCGGAGAGAGGTGAAGCGGAATTGGGGACGGTCGCACGGACGCGGAGCGCGTCACATTTGCTGTGGAGCACACTGAGGATGCGCTTGCCGAAAATCAAGATATCGTACGCCCCTTCCTTGTCCATGCGCAAGCGATCTACGGCCGTGGCCACTTGGGAAAGCAGCTTTTCACATTGGCGGACACTGTCGGGCCCAGTGTACTCAATTTCGGCTGCGCTCACTGCGACCGCCTCAATCATTTCGCCGTACGCAATCGCATCCGATTCAAACTCAAAGTGGCTGTCAGCTCGATGCCCGACGGAATGCGTGGTGAATTCGTGCTCCATTGCCGCTGCAAGCGCAGACGGCTTGGACGGCGACGAGGAAGGAGTCGTTTTGATGCGGAACGGGAAGCTGGACCGATCGGTCTTGCCGTGGCTGCCGCTGCTCGAAGACCCGCCAGAAGGTGGCGTGTTTGACTGGGAAAGTGGCTTGACTGTGAGCGCTGCCAGCTTGTTGCTGTGAGCTGGAGCAGTCCGCGCCAAGCACTCGCGCAGACCCTTGGCAAGCTTGCGCAGTCGACTATCTTCGGACGCGCTCTGCATGTCGCAGGATTCGGCGACTGCGCAAATTTGCGAGTGCTCGGCAAGCGTGTCAGACGGCACAATCTCCTCGCAGATGCGACAAAGCACATCGATCGCGCTCGGAGGTTTGGGCACTGGCGGGGAAGTGCGAAGGCCTGGCCCGCCCTTCTTCTTGTCGTTGAGCTTGAACAGGCTCTTGATGCCCTTCAGCATGCGCGTTTTAAAGTTCAACACGCCAGTGGGCTTCTCGCCTGACATCTCGCCAGCATCCATCGCATTCGGGAGCATGGGTTTGGTCTTGTGGGGCGCTGTCGCAGGTGCCGACGCAATGGCATTTGCAATGGCAGCAGATCGCGCAGCACCATGAGCGGAAGTTGGGACACCGCCGTGAGACACCTCAAACGACGAGCGGCGAGAGGACTCGGACGACGCATCGTACTCGAGCACCGACGTCGTTGACGCAGACTGAGCGCCGTCGCGGTGAGCTCGTCGCAAGCTATCTGGCGAGTCACCGACAGCCCTGTGGTGTTGTGTCTGGGCGAGCTGGCTGGAGGTGCTCATGGTGTCGCTTTGATCATCGTCGCCGTCGCCGAGGGCTTGGAGGGTTGCGGGATTGATGGAATTGAGCAAGGAGGCCATGAGCGAATTGGCAGGCATGTTGACCAGCGTGGTGGAGGACAGGGGGTCTTTCAGACCATGGCCGCTCGACGAGCTGTGCTGCTGAGAGGCACGCACGGTACCAGTGCGACCTCGCGAGATGCCCGACGAGTCCGGAACGTGGGCGTCCGAGTCATCGCCGTTGTTGTTGTTGTTGTTGTTGTCGTCGTCGTCGTCGTCATCGTCGTTGATGGAGTGGATGCTGTGGAGATGCTGGGCCGAGTCGTGCAGAACGCTTGATTGGTAGCTGGCCGGCAGGAGAGGAGCCGCACTCTCTCCGCGAGGTGAGGGCGAAGAGCCAGGCGACGAGGCCGTAACAGGTGGAAACGTGTCCACCGCCGCGCGATGGGTGCTCGATCTGTTGGGGCGAGACGCCAGTCGGGTCTCGTGCGAAATGGACGAGGTCGGAGAGCCGAACGAGGTGTCGGTGGTCGGCGACTCAGTCTCTGTACGAGCGGTGGTCGAACGGTGATAGCTCTGGAAGGCCTGGGCCGGAGTCGGCTTTGCTGTGAGAAATGACTCTTCCGAAGGGATGCGAGCAAGCGACGAGCGTCGCTTGGACCGCTCGTCGGCAGCACCGGCGGCAGTCGCCGTGAACACGACCGAGGAAACATCGACGGTGGGCTCGTTCTGCCGAATAATATCCTCGAGCGACTGCTTGGAGCCGGCGCGTTGGGACTTGACTGTGTCCAAGATTCGCGAGCCAGCACGTCCTCTCAGTAGCGAGGGGCTGCCCGCAGGAACCGGCGAGCCGCCATCATCGTGGTGGGTCACCTCAAACACGGGAACAGAGGCATGTGCAATGGTATAACCCTTCCGCATGGTGGAACGCTTGCCCGAAAAGGGCGAACCAGGCGTTGGAGGTGCAGCAGAAGCAGAAGTAGAGGCAGACGAAGTCGTGGTCGCTCCGGCAGCGGCGGATGGCGGCGTGGTAGAAAGCGCGGTTGCAGACTTGCTGGAGGCACTGCCAGGACCAGAGCCTGAGCCGCTCTCAGGAGAAACAAAGGCAGAGCCAGCAGGAGGGATGACGACCGTGGGACCAGCGTGCGATCGGTTGGCTCGAGCCAATGATGACGCGCTGGCTCTCGGTGCCAGCGTACGCGATTGGACACGGGGCGGCGAATACACATTGGACCCTTCGTGGACACCGGGATCTGCATCCGTGTTGCGGACAAACATGGACTGGCTGCGGCTGGAGCGCGTGTCGTCCAGCTGAAACAAGTGTTCGTCATCGTCCTCATCAATGGCTGGCTGAGTGGTCAGGCGACTGGCACTGACAGGTGGGTGTCCGCTAGGGGCAGATTGGTGCCGCGCTGGTAAAGGCGCAGACTCGTCGACGGACGTGTTGGAGCCAACCGATGTGGCCGAGCCGCTCCCAACAAGAGCGCCTGGCTGCGGAACGCCAAGGAAGGACGAGGTGGATCCACTGGGCGAGGCGTGGGACGATGGCTGATGCTGCAGCAGCAAATGCTGATGTTGGCGCGTCTGAATGGCAGCAGCATGCTCTTCCCTGTGGAGTCGCATGGCAATGTACGTGGCAAGACGGGAACAGGGCGCAAAGATGAAAACCAGCTTGGTCAACAGCTGCTCCACGTCTCCGCTGCCAGGGCGAAGGTAGGCCTTGCTCATGCGATGCAACTCGAGGTACTCTTGCACCTGCCGCATCAACAAGGATGCGCGACCACGGCGAAGCTTTGCAATATCGCACATCAGAATTTCGTTGGCAACCGCCTTGATGTGCACGTACCACTCGCGTTGCGAGTTGCCAATCGTGGAAGGAGGGTAGCTCTGCGAGAGGTACTCGCCGCGTGAAGCAAGATCAAACTCGTTCACATCCAGGAGAAACAGGCGAATTTTGCGGTCTGTCTGCTCCTTGACAGATCGCAGTTCGCTGTCAAGATCGACCTCGTGAAACACGTGGCCGCCACTCAACTCTGAAGCATGGATAATGTTAGCTTCGGACACTTGCGACTCCGCCACGCCTGGAAAGAAAGAAAGATTGTGGGTAGGACTGGTTTGGTAATCGGCAAACGACTGCATGCTGTTGCTAGCCGGCAAGGCCGCGGTGCTGCTTGCCCCGGTGGCAGGATGGATGCTTTCGGCACGGCTTGGAACGAGGTTGGAGTCGATGGATGGGTCGCGTTCGTGATGACGAGGCTCTGAATCGGCCAGCAAGGTGGCACTTGCGGACAGCGGGTGTGGACTGGACAAGGTGGTGGCTTGCGGAGGCGGCGCCAAGGCGGTGAGCAGCTCGGACTGTGCTGCCACTAGACTGAGTTCGGGCACGGCAGCCAGACTGGCCTGGTTGCTGGGAGTAGTGGTAGCCGCTGGTGGAGTCGGGCCGCCCGAATTGAGCGGGCTGGGTGGACCAGCTTGACGTTGCTGCGGCTGACTGGGTGCAGGGGACAGCGAGAGGATTGACGGACTCAGTTTTCGGTGCGAGTTTGGAGAACGCCGCCCCGAGGACGTGTTGCTACCACGGCGAGACTCGAGCCCTGTCAGCGCGGGAGGGAACTGGGGCTCCAACTGGGCCATCGATGAGGATCGAGAAGCCGACCGAACGGCATCAAAGGGGGTCTCGGAATGCGAGCCGAGCGTCGGAATCATGCTGCCAGACAGGTTTCCGGGAAGGCCAATGCTGGCAAGGGACTGTCGGCGAGAAGACGAGGCGGCGGCGATTTCGGCATTCACAAGCGTGTTTTCCACGGATTCGTGAAGGCTGGCCAGCTGCTCGTCGGCTAGCAAAATTTCCTTCGCGGCAGGGTTGTCGAGCAAAAGCGCAGTGGTGTCCTCGACGCTGAGCGACCGCAAAAACATTGAATCGTACGGAGTGCCGCCATCTCGCATGAAGAACATGTCCCCAGCCGGACTGTGCTCGCCACCTTCTTCAGAGCCTCCGTGAGTGGCCACCATGCTTCCAGCGGGGCTGCCGCTGCCGCTACTGCTGGCGTGGTGCGCTGCGAGCCACCGGCGGCGCTGCAATGCGGGAGACGACTCGCGCTTGACCGCAGGGTTGTGCTGGCGATCAAAGATGCTCACGTTCTCGCGCGACAGTCGCTTGGTCACTGTGGCGTGAGTGGGCGATCCCGCCATGGACGAGTCGTAGCTGTGCGCGGTGAAGCCCGGCGAAGAGCTCACATTGCTGCCGGGGATGTTGGTTGGGACGGAAACAAACCGAAGTGGGCTGTCCGCCGGGGTTGCGTGAGAGTTGCTCAGCCGGCTCGAGGGGGATGGCAAGGAGGGCGAGCTGCCGCCGCCTTGCAGCAGCATTCCAGTGCTGGCCCCAAAGCTGCCCTGTCGACTGGCAAAAAAGCGAGGAGACCAGCTCGCCGTCGCCGAATGTGGTGTTGTGGGGCCCTGCGATCCAAGGCCTGGGGACGGCTCGTGGGTCGTAGCCGAGTGGGCGAAAATACCAGCATCCGCCGCAGCTGTATCAAACGAACTGCGCAAGAGCAGGGCTTCCGCCGGCAGTTGCTCTGAAGGTCCTTCAGACGGTTGCTGCTGGACATGGTGAGGAAGCTGGTGCTGTTGTTGTTGCTGTTGTTGTTGTTGTTGTTGTTGTTGCATTTGGTGAAGGAGGCTTTGCGCGTGCAATTGCTCCTTTAACGAACGAGAGCTTGTTGCTGCGTGCCACGTGAGTTGCCGCCCCACACTTGCTCCCGATGGACGTGCGGGTGATGACGTTGGCGCCTCCGCGCTGCTGCTGCTCGAGGGAGGATTGAGGGGAAGAGCATTGGACACGTTCGCAAATGCAGCCACCGTCATGTCTGACGGCGAGTCGGAGCTCATGGTCGGTATTATTGGTGGTAGGCCCCCCGCTACATTGTCGTCCTCGCTGTCGGTACTTGACTCGCTGGTTGGCGCCGAATGCTTGTTGAGGGTATTGTTGTTACTAGTATTGGTTGATGCTGAGCGCTTCGTCGCGCTCGTCGTGTTTGAGGCGCCAGGTCTAACTGCCGAAGGATCAACATCGGGTGTTGCCACGTTGGCACTATTGGGGTTGCTATTGCTGCTCGGCTGCTGAAGATCGAGGGAGAGGCAGTTGCTATTCCTCCTACTTGAATTGCGCCGTGACACCGCAGCGCTGCCGCTCCGGGAGAGTGTATCGGACATGCTTGATCGGAAAGGGCCGCGCAACACGGCATCAAGTGCCAGCTGGCCGGAAGCGTTACTGCCGTCGGCCGGCTCGGCGACAATCGAACGCGACCCAGAACTGGGGGTCCCGCCGTCCAAGATTGTATCGGAGGAAAAATTGCGCATTAAAAAACCGTCGCCAGTCAAGGAGCCGTGCGGCGGAGAGAGCGTCGATGGCGTTCCAGGCGAGCCCGGCGTGTGTGGACTGGACAAGAGTTCAGTGCTATGCCGCAACTTGGGCTCTTCCAGCGCATGCGACTCGTCGGTGGTTGCAATCACAGTGCTGTCGGACGATATTGCTGCTGGCGGTCGGACAGCAGTGTCGTCGGAAAGTGGTACAAGCGGAGAGTGCAGCTGGTCGGCTGGAACGAGCAACGGCGGAACGCCAAACGGCGAGCGCCCTGCGAGCAGTTGTGCCGATGCCGCTTGTGTGGGCGATATTATCTCAGGACTGCTGAGAGCGTTAGATGGAAGAGCATCACTGGCGGCTGGTACCAAGGCTCTTCCGGCTACAGAATCGGGAATTGGCTCGTGCCCAGTTTCCGCAATGGACTGGACTGGCTCCGAGCTCGCGTCTTGTGGCGGTGGTGAATGCAACACGGGCGCGTCCGGCAACCCCTCAGGAGGGAAGGGCGCGGGGTCGGTGGCCATGCTGGTTTTCCCACAAAGAGCGAAAACACGCTGATTGGACAGTCTTTCGAAAAAGACGCAACTAGAATGGCAGGACCGAGCGACTGTCGAAAGTAGGCTCTGTGGGGGGGGTTGGATGTAAGCTTGGGCGAACGCTGACACGCAGGAATGTGAGGACTGCGAAAGTAGCACACACACCAAAAAAAAAAAAAAAAAAAATAAGGCAAAATAAGGGCAAGTGAGAAACTGTTGCAACGTCGAGGGGAAGGGGAGGGGCGTGCGAATCAATGGAGGAGACAAAATGCATGTAGAGTCGATTCGGAGAGAAAGAGAGAAGACTGAGGAAGGGGGAAGCGAGAGAAGTGGGACGAGGGAAACACTGTGCGGAAATGATGACCGACGGCACAATCCGCGCCCTGACAATGAAACAATGACACACGACAGTCTCTCGAGGCCGCAACGGAACTGTTCGATCGCGAGTGCAATATCAATAAAGATCCGCGTCGAGCAGGCGAAGCAGGAGGTCGGGGGGGGGGTCAAGGGCGAAGGACGGGTTGCGTGGGCGGAGGACCTGAAGGTGTCAAAGTCCCCAGCCAGAGTGGAGCGATCGCTGGCTCGAGAAGAACAACGAGCTCGAGGTTTTCAGAAAAACCATCTGCAAGCGTCCTCCCCGCTTCACAACAACAACAACACAACAAGAGGTGATGTGTGACAGCGCGCCAGAATGCCCTCTGTTTTTGAGGGTTTTTTACGTCCGTCAACTTGAAAAGGCAAGCGGCACATCCGCCAAAGCACCATGCCAACGCCTCGTCCAAGCGAGCCATCCAAGCAACTGGCATCGATAAACAGGTTGGACGCGTGGCTGACACGTCAGACCAGCAAGAGTGATGATGACACGCTGCTCATGCCTTGTAATAGTCGCGCGTTTGGTTTTCGCGGTTTTTTTTTTCCTCGCTCTTCCTGCGAATTTGTTCTTTTTGGGGGGAGAGCGCCGTCCAGCCCCGCCCTCTCCTTTTAAGCAAACAAAGCATGAGCTTGTTCGCTTGCGAGAGTGTGGGAGGGTGCGTGGAGTGGCTGCTCGCGGCAAAACGTGATCATCATCAACTGATATCGCACACACACTTTTCGCAAAAATAAAAAATAAATGTTAAAAATAAAAAACTTGATTTTTTTTTTTTTTTTTTTTTTTTTTTTTTTTGGGCAGCACTGCGGGTCGTCAATGTTCAGCCACGACGACGAGAGCAGCAGCGTGTGACATGTGCTCAGTAGCATGGATGTTCCACACCCTTGCATGTGCAAATCGTCGCTCACAACGCCAGGCAGGCGAGGGCGCAAGCGCAGCAGCAGAGGTGGTGTCCATATGCAACGATTGATTGCTCATTTCCGCGCCTTGCGCCCTGCACACGGGCCCTGCACACATGCTGGTGCTGGGGCCGTAGGATGGTGTCTCGTGCATTCAAGGGGTTGGAAGCACTGCCAAGAAGCGTCGCCTTTGTCCAGCAGAGCGAAAAGTCGCATCCAAAATAATAAATAATAATAAAAAATAATAATAAAAAAAGCACAAGTCATCGTGCGTGTCGGGCTGAGGGTGGTTTATTCTCGCGCCCTGCCAGCCGTCGACGCAATGAGGCTGGTGGGACGAAGGTGAAACATGACCCCCGCCGTCCGCCAAGGCACCAGCACGCGAGTGCTTCGCGCTGGAAAGCACCGAAGCCGTGGTTCCGTTCATTCAGCCACGACAGAACGCTTCGCTTTTTTTTTTTTTTTTTTTTTTTTTTTTTTTTTTGGCTGGACCAAGGCTTCTTTCCCCCACCCCTTGGCCCCCACACCAAAGCATGGCTGCCAGTGTGGCTGCTCTCTCATTCGCCATCGAAACGCCCTCCTCCCAAACAAACGAGGCTGCACGAACGCCAAAACGAGTTGTTGGTTCGCTTTGCTTTGGCTGGACAATCAATACAAAATAATAATAATAAATAATAAAAAATAAAAAAGCGAACGAGCAACAGAACCTCACGCGCTCTGACTCTCTTGCCTTGCCCCCCCCCCCGTCGCTGCTGCGCCTGTGGCTGACTCTGCGAAACGAGACGGGGCACGACGAGCGGCAGTCCCTCTCCAACCACCACCAGCAACCCCTCCAAGTCGACGTCTGGTCGAGATCAAACTGCTGGACGGTGAAGCGAACTCAAGGGGGAAACGAAAAGCCCGCGAGTTCGCCTCCCGCTTGCCACTTCTGCACTGACAACGGCAGCCCAAACCGCCACATCAAAAAGTACCTGTCGCTGTATAAGCTCACCTTGTTTTGAGTTAACAATCAGACAAAACGAAATGCAAACGAAATGCAGATGCAAATGAAGAAAAAAAAAAAAAAAAAAAAAGACTGAATGGAAAAAAAATCCAGTCTTAGTTGCAATACAAATCCAGCACAAAGATGCTCCTGTCGCTGTCGACGCGGAATGGAGCCGCACCTGCATCTCGGGGGCAGTCGACGTCGCCATCAGCACCACCACCACCGTCAGCATCAGCGTCAGCATCATCATCGTCGTCGTCGTCGGCAGGGTCAACTCCTGGAGCAGCATTGACGAGCAGCAATGGGAAACCAGCCACTCCAGCAAGCACTGAAACGAGAAGCCGAATCGCACTGCCCGCCACTGCAGTCGAGCTCGGGAACATTCGGCTATTGCTTGTCAAGACTGAAAGTGCTCAACAAGCGTTCGCCACGTCCACGGCGCAGACAGCTCAAGCGCACTCTGCCTTGCGCGCTGGTCAACAAGGTCTCGCCCTTCTCCCCCTTCGCGTTTTCTACGTGGATGCCAATACCAAATTCTGTCATGTCGATGATTGTGGTCTGACGTTGATCATTGTTTTTTCATGTCATCTTTGGGTTGTGCTTTGCAGAGCAAACCCCAGAATTTTGGAACCAGCTCCAGCAGCTGTACGCCACCAACGTTGCCAAGTCTGCCGCTCAACTCCAGTGAGTGTGATGACCCTCTCCTCATGTGAGAAACGATCGCCTGATGTGCCTACTAATCTGCCCTTGCTCATAGGACACTGCGGGATGTTCAATCGCGACTTCGAGCAGTCATTGATGTCAAACGCAACCGCATTCGTGAGAAGCACTGTCGCACAGATCATGGACCCCAGAGTGCGGCGGTGATGGTTTTTGCTCATGGAATCGTCACCGTTTCTTTGTGGTTGCTGCATGCAATGATATGCGCGCGTGTGTGGTAGGAGAAACGCAACTTGCAGCCCTGCACTCGGCCGACGTGGGGAAACGCACCAAGCGGCGATCGTCCGTCATTAACTCTATTGTTGGCTACTTGCCAACCTGGAGAGGTAGCAGGTAAGAGTTTTGGCGTGCTGCACGTTGGTGATGGTTTGAATACTAATCTCGCCGCCATGTTCTTTGCAGCTCTGTACTCCCGCCGCGAGTCGGCTGTGTTGCCCCGGACATTGCATATCGTGTTCCTAATGGAGAACAGGTGTGCAGCCCAAAGCGGTGAGAAACAAAGCTGGCAGCAACCGTGTTTTCTGACGGTTGTTCTGATTTTGCAGGTTGCGGCGTACAATGCAGCAGTCGAAGAACCAGACGATCGCTGGATTCTCGCCACTGTCGTCAACTCGGATAGCCAGCAGTATGAAGTAGAAGACATTGTTGAGGATGTCAACGTCGACACGAGTCAAACGTAAGACGAGCTCGCGCGTCTCGATGACTTTACCGTCCTTCGCTCATGCTTGCTTTGGTACGAACCCGCTCCCAACATCAGTCGGCATTGGCTCCCGGCAAAATGCATTGTCGCCCTTCCTACCTGGCAGCCGGAGCCTCACCGTCACGAAGCATTCATATCGAAAGGCACCCACGTCATGGCCCTCTATCCCCAAACAACCTGCTTTTATCCCGCCGTCGTATTTTCACCGCCAACCGAAGTAAGGATGGTAGTTGTTTGGAGTCGTTTGGGTGTTGTCAACAATCAGGACGTCGCACGCCACACCTCACCGCGTTGTCTCCTATTCATTCTCTTGATTCCCTTGCTCATCAGACTCGGAGAGACTATTTACTGAATTTTAGCGATGACGAAGATGTCGACGGCACCACACCCGAGCGCGAGGTCTCAGTCAAATTTGTCCTTTCTGCGCGACCTCCACCAGTGTAAAATTCATGAACAACGTTGTACTCGGATGGAGAAAAAAAAAACAATGTTTTTTTGGTACTTTGGAAGACACGCTTCAGCTGGCCCGGAGCAGAAAAACAAATCAAACATAAAACAAACAAAACACAAAACACAGGCATCAGAGAAAAATCGCATCCTTCCAAAAGCATAACAAGAGAAAGTCAAACAAGAAGCAACAAAAAGGGGTGGAAGGGTCGAAAAACAACAAAAGCTGACAGAAGAAAAAAAAAAAAGGAAAGGGGGAAACAAAAAAAAAAAATAGAATGGGACGTGTTGTTTTAACGAGCGTTGACGCGGGAATCGCGGGCATAGAACTCGTTGATGACCTTCTCGGGGATGCGCTTGAGCAACTCCTTGGGGAAGATACGGAGCAGATTCCATCCAATCTCGAGCGAGTCGAAAATGGTGCGGCCGTCGTAAGGGCCCTGAGCAATGAAGCCCTTCTCGAACTTTTCGAGGAACTCGAGGTAGAGCAAATCTTCCGAGGTCAAGGCTTCCTCACCGACGACAGCCTTCATGGCCTGGGCGTCCTTGCCAATGGCATAGTTCATGTACAGCTGGTTGGACACGTCCGAGTGGTCGTGGCGGGTCATGCCTTCACCGATAGCGGACTTCATCAGACGCGAAAGCGATGGCAAGACGTTGATCGGCGGGTAGATCTGACGGTTGTGCAGCTGACGATCAACGTAAATCTGGCCCTCGGTAATGTAGCCCGTAAGATCGGGAATGGGGTGGGTAATATCGTCGTTGGGCATGGTAAGAATGGGGATTTGGGTGATGGAGCCGTTGCGGCCCTGGACACGACCGGCACGCTCGTAGATGGTGGCCAAATCAGTGTACATGTAACCGGGGAAACCACGGCGACCGGGGACTTCCTCACGAGCGGCCGAGACCTCACGAAGAGCCTCAGCGTACGAGGACATGTCTGTCAGAATGACGAGCACGTGCTTCTCGCATTGGTAGGCATAGTACTCGGCGGTGGTAAGAGCGAGACGCGGGGTGATGATGCGCTCGATGGTGGGGTCGTTGGCGAGGTTGAGGAAGAGGGTCGTTCGCTCCATCGAGCCGTTCTCCTCGAAATCTTGCTTGAAGAAGCGGGCAGTCTCCATGTTGACACCCATGGCGGCGAAGACAATGGCAAAGTTGTCCTCGTGGTCGTCGACGACGCCCTTTTTGACATCAGCCTTGACAAGGCCTGCTTGGCGGCAGATTTGGGCGGCAATGTCGTTGTGGGGAAGACCGGCAGCCGAGAAGATGGGGATCTTTTGGCCACGGGCGATCGAGTTCATCGTGTCGATGGCAGAAATACCAGTCTGGATCATTTCCTCGGGGTAGATGCGCGACCAAGGGTTGATGGGCTGACCTTGAATGTCGAGGTAGTCCTCGGCAAGCACAGCGGGGCCCTTGTCGATGGCCTTGCCGGAGCCGTTGAAGACGCGACCAAGCATGTCCTCCGAGACGGGGATCTTGAGGACATCACCAGTGAACTCGCAGGTGGTGTTCTTGGCATCAATGCCCGAGGTGCCCTCGAAAACCTGGACGATGGCGCGGTTTCCAGCAACCTCAAGAACCTGGCCGGCGCGCTGGGTGCCGTCAGCAAGGGTCAGGTTGACAATCTCGGCGAACTTGGGGAACTTGACATTGTCGAGAATGACAAGCGGGCCGTTCACACCAGACACGGTCTTGTAGACCATGCGAGGCTGGACGTTATAGTTGCGCACAGCCGCAGCGCGGTGGATGGCAGCCGCAGCCTTGGCGTCGTAAGTGGTGTTTGAGGGAGGGGCAGTGTGCACCATGGTCTAAGCAGGAGAAAAAAAAAAGGGGGAGCCAAAAAAAAAAAAAAAAATGAGCACGGATTGGGTTTGGATGAGTTGATGGTTTGGATGAGCATGAGATGCAGAGAAGGGAGAGTGCGCACTGTGTGTGTTTCATCAGGCAGGGGTGTTTGGAGCGTGGCGCGTGGGACTGCGTGCATGGTGCGTGATTGTCAGCGAGATGGGATTTGGGGGGAAAAAAGCAGGGATCGTTTTTTTTTTTTCTTTTCGTTTTTTTTTTTTTCTTCTTCTGCTTCTTTGTGAAAGAGTTTGATGGCGATTGGATTGCTTTGGTTTCGATCAAGTCACTCGAGCGTTTGCCACTTTCGAGACAGGGTCGTGAAAGTTCGGTCCCCAAACTCAACCAGACTGAGACAATTCGTGGGGGAAAAGTCGTCCCAGAAAAAAAAAAAAAAAAAAAAAGTGGGGAAAAAAAAAAAGAAGGGAAAAAAATCAATCACTACTCCACATGACTGAAGCAACCAAAAAAAAAAAAAAAAAAAGTTTGTACGTTGGCGATCAGAAGGCAGGAAGCAACGGCTGCTGTCCACGTCGACCAAAAGGGTGCAAGTTAGAGCCCATAGGACTGGTTGTCACGATCTGTCGCCTGCTCTGCAGCTGTTCAGCACAATCAACAACGGAAGCAGAGCACAACCAACAAGAAAAAATCAAACAAAAAAAAACTCGTTTTTGCCCTTTTTTTTTTTTTTTTTTTTTTTTGAAAGCGCACGAGGTCTTTTTTTGAAGCGCTTTTTTTTTCTTTTTCTTTTTCTTTTTTCTTTGACTCGAGTTGTTGAGGCGCTTTGGCCGCTTCTATCTTCATTCAACGGTTGCACTGCACCACAAGCACCAGCTGAAAGCAGTGGAACGTATGCAGCACGCAGTCGCAGAGCCAACGATCGCCGAACTGGATGCAGGCAAAAAAAAAAAAAAAAAAAAAAAGTGGGAATCGTTCGCCTTTGGTAGGATGCCAACCGCTGCAGGTAGCTGAGCGTAAGAAGAGTAGTAGTAGTAATAGTAGTCGTATGGGCCGAGTCAAGCGTCGAGTCGAGGCGGAGCGGGGGGCTGGGTGGGAGAGCAAGTCAAAGAGCATTTGAGCATCATGCCCGAAATCACTCACAGACAAAAAAAAAAAAAAAAAAGGAGAATGACCTGCTATGCTCTCCTGATTCGACAGCGCACAATGAACGATTGGCATTGCTAAAGTTGTGCGACAAGAGTTACAAAACGGCGATTCCGGAGATTTCAAGCGTCTTTGTGTCGAAGAGGGGTGCAGACGATGCAATTTTTGGAGGTGCAGAGCCAGTGTGTTTCGACCTTACCCGGAACTTAACCTAGAATCGTACGAAATGTATGCGGAAGTATCGTTTACTAAGAATATAGTGAAGAATGAGGGGAAGACCGATTAGGGATGAGCCCAGTTCGTACCACAAAGGAACAGGTTGCCTCTTTTTCTTTTCGTTAAATGGCACTTCCCGCTGCGCGCTCGCTTCCAACACCAGAGGACTCGCCAACACCAACAGTGCCCGGCATTGTTACATTTGTCATTGGCAAGGCAGGAGAGCACATCGCGGCGCGACAGCTTCTCGAGCTCATCCGCAACGGATATTCCGCGGCTTCGTTCCGCTTGGTTGCTGCACCTGGGCTGGCTTCAGATCAGCTATGGGCAGCGATTGTCTTGGACGCTGAAAACTCGCTTCCCAGTGTGCGTTTTGAGCGCTTCCAAGAGGGCTGCACGCCTGATTTTGGCGCAGTGTGCCATCGCCAAGACACAACGGATGGTTACACGGTCCTCGCCGAGCCCTTGCCTGCCGGTCAAATTGCCCTTTCTCGCGTCAAACTTGCCACAGACAAAGCGGAACGTCACATTGGTTTTGTACGTGACTCGACGGCGGTGGAAGTTCCTTTGCCGTTCGAAGAGTGGGTCAAACGGGTTGCTAGCATCAGCCCTCAACAAGTGCTGCAAATGACGACCTGTGACCCCCGCCGTGAAGCCCAAGACGTTATCGTCTCCCCGGTGGAGTTGAAGCAAGGCCCGGTACGTTCATCCAACGACAAAGGCGGAAACTTGGCTCCAGAGCTTCCTTGGCAAGTGCCCGAAACGGAGTTTGTCGAGTTTAAGCACCTCCGTTCGCCTCGCGTCAAATACGACGCCCTGTGGGAGCTTGTTGCCCGCACGCTTGATCCGCTGATCAACTCGTCGACTCGAACGGTCAGAGAGAGAACGCTTTGGATTGGAATCGATGAAAGCTCGACCGCACCCCCCGTGGCGTTGGGCCTTCGAGTGCAGGAATGTCGGGTGAACTCGTCCGCGAGATCGCCCAGACCAGACCCCGGCCTTCACAATCACGACAGCAGTGACCACAGTGACAGCATTGGCAAAAGTGACAGCGTTGACATCAGTGACAGCATTGACATCAATGACAGCATTGACAACAGCGACAGCGTCGGCAGCAAGGCCGACAGCGACCCATCGACTCACAACCAACGCGACATATTCACCACTCCACAAAGCTCGCCAGATTTAGGCGTCGAAGCGCGGTTGGACAAGGATTTGCAAGACTTTTTTGGCCTTCTCTTCCCTGCATGCCAGGCAACTGTTGCCGTGACTTGGTACAAGCTGCTCCCCAGCTCCGGAGTGCTCCGACATGTCGTAACGATTGGCGACAATGTCGCTCGAGACGACTGGAACAGCCTGCGTCGCCAGCTCCATGGGCACATGTTTGAGCTGGAGGATGCCCCTCCCATGATGATTGCTGTTGGTGTTTCGGATGCGGCATTGCCTCTGTTGCTTGCTTGGATTGTCGAGCAGAAAGAGAAGGCCAAACGCAAGTTCAAACAGTCAAATCAACAACAAGAGCAGCAGCAGCAGCGGCAGCAGCAGCGGCAGCGTTCCACCTCAACACAAGTTCGTGCGTTCGAGGCCGAGAGAGACACCGTGCATGCTCGTCAAGTTATTGGCATCCGTGTGGTGTTGCCCGAAAATGTGGCGCCAATCTATGTCCACGAGGGTCGCATCCGGGCGTTTGTCTACTCTGATCGACCTTCAACACCATTTGATGTGTGGCTGCGCGTTCACCCGACTGACGTGAGCGCGTTGGAGCTACTATGCAACGGTCTGGTTCACAAGGTCCTGGTGGGCGTCCCTCCGAGGGATTCCTGGCTGGCTGACGTCTTCTTTGACTCTACCCTTCCTCAAGTCGGCGCCAACTCTGTGCTCCAACTGGATGCGGCGCGTCAGCAGCGCCCGGGAGCCCCTGTGCTTCTTGTCGTTGTCATTGATTCCGCCACTTCTCACAATGAGCTCCAGCAGTTGGTGGCACGATTGGGCGAGCAGGATCGCATCATTGCTGTTCCTGTCGGCAGCCTGCCGCACAATCGGGCACCTCTCTCTGGTTTGGCGCGCGACCGAACTTGGTGCCTGCATCCCTACCTGGCGCTCGATTTTCCACACGTCAAGGAGAGTGCCAAGCAGGTTCGCGGCACGGAACGTGCCATTCATCGCAACAACCTGCCTGTTCGGTCCATTCCACCCCCGGTTCACTCGACTCTAGAAACTGAAACCGTTCGGCAATGGCTTCGAGGCTGTCTGCACCACGTTCCGGGCAACAATCAACTTTTGTGGGATATGATCCACCTCCAGGTGGCGGTGCAGCGCAGGCAAGTCGGGACCATTGTGGACCATGTAAGTGGTATGTTCCAGCGCTCCGTCCGTCGGCCGTCTGCGTCCGGTGTAGACGCCTTGCAAGTGCTCGTGCTCTACCGACGCTTTCGCGGCTCTGGCGCATCGACGATGTTGCGACTTGCTGCACGCGAGCTGGAACGCCAGAACTACCGTGTGGTTATTCCAAGTGACAATGTCCGCGGCATCACTCCGGAAGTCTGCGACACTCTGCGAGCAGACGGGCAGTTTGTCCTCGTCGTGGACGACGCTCCAAGTGACTGGCTATCGACACTCGTTCAGCGGACACGCGGTCGGGCTCCTCTTGGCGTGATCGTTGCTGTTTGCGATGCCCTGCCAGACTGGGCGGATACAATGCTAACAGTGGATCCGTTTCTGACACCGGCTGAAGTCGGCGGCTTTGTGACGCTTTATTCCAAACACTTCCCCGAAAGTCGCGAAGCGCTGCTTGAACTCCGAAAGGCCGCCAACTCAAGGCAGTCCGTTCAAACATCTCGCTTTACTTTTCACCTTTTTACTGTGGCCGTCACGGCAGCTCGCTGCAAGTTTCAACCACTCGAAGACTTTGTCGACACCCAGTTGGCGTCCGCGACGCGTTCGAGCAAGACTCTGCTCACCTCGTTGGCCATCTTGGCTCTGTTTGCTCGTGACTCGTTGAATTTGCCCACAACTCGCGAAGTCGGCCTCGACGCTGCCGCGCAAGAACTCGTTGGGCAACAGCAAGGGTCAATGTTCATTTGGCACCCGCTGATTGCGCTGCACATCCTCAAACCGCAACTGTCGACGTGGTCGACCGCGCCTATTGCCGGACTGGCTTTGATGATTGTGCACATTGCCCAGCACCTGGGTGATGCTCTTGATCAGCTATTGTTTCATCGCCAACGCGAACTCGGCGAAACTTTCACACCTCCGGTTCGGTTTGCCCTGCAGTTTCTGCCACAAACCGCCGACCGTCAAACCACCGTGCAGGCTCTGAATGCGCTGGTGGAAGACGTTTGCAGGTTTGGCGACCTCTCGTCTGAACGCTGCTTCTTGCTTGTGATCGTTTCCCGTATCTGCCGCATTCATCTGCGTTGGGCAAACGAAGCGCTTGCCTTTGCCGATGCTGCCCTGGCCGAGTTCAAGCGAAGAGCGTCTGCCACAGGAAGCGGCAAACCACGGACAGACCATGCGCTTCAGCACAACCGCGGCATGTGCTTGCTCGCCACCGATCTTGTTTCAGCATTTGGTCTGTTTCGCAACCTTGCGAACAAGGACCCGGAGAGGCAGCATTTCGACAGCTTCCGCTGCTGCGCTACGTATCGCGACCGCCTCGAGATTCTCCAGACTCCAAAGTCTCGCGAGTTGCTTGCATTTTGGGATGCGTATTTTGGGCGTGCGGATGTAGGGTGTGGTCCCGAGCGTCGACAAGCCCCTGTCCGTGATGTGCAGCCGTGGCAACAGCGTGGCATTCACTTCACTGACAAGGAGCTGCAGTTCATGTTGTAATCCATCCTCTTCACGCTGTTTTCTGTTGCTCAATTAAATGTGCGCGTCATACTTTTGCAAGTTGAACGAGTTTGAGTTGTCGGACTGTTTTGGACTGTTGTAGCAATTGCGACTATTGCTGCGTATTCTTGTCAGCGGGTCGACTCGCTGATGATGTAGGTAGTTGATGTTTTGCTTTGGGTCAACGACCGAATCAAGAATGTCGTTGAACTTGACGCCCCTCCTCCTTTTGCTTGTCGTCGTCCTACTGATCAAAAAGGCCGCTCTCTTTAGAAAGCAGGTGGGGAAACGCTGTTGAAATCTAGCACATTTCTTCGATGAAAGCTGATCGCCCTCGCATCTTGCATCTTGGACGAACGCGGTTGACTCTTGCCGCTCTTTACGACAGTGTCTGTCCCTCTCTTTGTCAGGGCAGCATGTTTGTCGACCGCTATCACGAGCAGCATGTCTTTTGTGGTGCACAGGCGGGCAATGTCTCGGGGCTCCGTTGTCAATTACGCTGCAGTTTACCACGAGTTCTGACTTTACTTTCCGAGCCACTAAGACACGACACGAGTTTATTTTTTTGGGCTTTTTGAGAGGTAGGACTTGGCAAACAACAAATGCGAGGAACAACAACAACAACAACAACAACAACAACAACAACAACAACAACAACAACAACAACAACAACAACAACAACAACAACTGAATCGCCGTCCATGCAAAACACAGGCAACGATTAGCCGCGGGCAAAAGACAGGTTCACGCTTCGGCACGGGGAACAATTCAGAAGGTGGAGCACGAAAGCAGAGAGCGGTACAGAGAACGAGCAACGTGTCCCAGGACAGGCAACAGGAAACACAAAGTACTAGCTCTTTGGTGGTCTCAACTACTCAGTGGAAGAGCGGTCTTGGTCCGCAGGACCAGCAGCAGCATCATCAGAAGCAGGGTGCACGCCAGCAGGAGTGACGGCTTCTTCCAACGCTTCGCGAGGAGTTTGACAGCATCCTCGGCGGCATCCTCGGCAGGCGCCACGTCAGGCGGAGCGACAAGCGCCTGATCTTGCGCATCGACAGCATCGACAACAGCATCGACAACAGCATCGACAACAGCATCGACAGCAGTCTTGGCAGGACCAGGGTCAGCATCTTCGACAGGAGTAGCGGCAGCAGCCTCGACAGGAGCCTTGACAGGAGCAGACCCAGCGGAGGTCGAGGAAGCAACAAATACCAAAGTGGCCCAAGAGGGTATCGCTGGCTTGAACTTAATCAGAGGGAAGATGGCGAACGACAGCTCTGGGTCAGTCTCCGTCCTCGCGTCCCCAAACACCTTGTTCTTGAACTCGTCACGGAGCACTTTCTTGGCCTTTTCACCGTAAAGCTCACGTAGCCCGTGGGGTCCAGACGTGTAGAAGAACCCCTGAATGTGAATTGGGATCTGTGTCTCCTTCTTCTGCCGCGGCATCAGCTGGAAGAGCGCAACGAACAGTGCCGAGCGAATCAGCAGCTGTCTCTGAGCAGCCTTGACAGGCTTTGGAGTGCGCTTGATCTCCACCAGTTGCACCCCAACATGAGGCTGCACAGGGTCATCAAGTGGTGCCATGGCATCGCACTCCACTTCGCCCAAATGCAGATTGAGCGTCGGCTTCAAGCGAGTGTGGATGCTGACGGCAACCAAGAGTCCGAGCTTGCCGCAGAGCATTTCGTGAAGGCTGGGAGACAACTCTGGCAGGGAAGAATGGTCGGTTGCCTTGTTGCACATGCCCTGGAACTCCGTTGCAGCATCGTGAAGCAGCCCCCCAAAGACTTCAGCCTGGCGGGCGCGATTGTCAAAGTCAGGCCAAAGGATGCGCAACTTTGCCTCGAGGGCAGGTTGATCCACGAGGTGCGAGAGCAGCCCGCCAGCGCCTGCGAGACTTGGCTTGATTTTCATCCAGTCGAGCGTAGGAGCAGAGCCGGGCATCGCCATCTCGCCGAACAAGGCATTCGCGGCCACCTCGGCATCCTTGAACAGAGTTGTAAGTTGCTCTTGATTCAGCGAGCCCACAGCAGGCAACCTTGCGACCACGAAGTTGAGTTCGTACATGAAGCGCAGAAAGTAGCCAGAGTCCTGCCACAGGTTCAATAGTGAAGAACACGCAAGCAACGGTAAGCTGCACTGTGCGGACAATGATCGCCCTCACAACTTTCAACGTTGTGTTGACTTACCCAGAGCCGATCAGCGATCTCGCGAGTGTGGCTCTGGACGTCCATGAGCTCAAACAGGCGTGCGCTCTGGGGATTCTGGTGAAATTCGCGATCAAAAGACGAAGGAATGACGATGAGTTGCCGAGAACGCACGAACACCAACTGCAACATGCTATTAGTGGTAGTCTTACCGCCTGCAGAAGCGCGACAACGACTTTGAGCGCCTCCTTGAGTGAAGCTAACTTCACGTTGGGCACAAGCGACGAGTCCTTCGTCAGCACCTCAAAGAGGGCTTCGGTCATCGCACCCTGCTGTATCTGCACATCTTTTACGTCTTTCTGCACATCTTTTACGTCTTTCTGCACATCTTTTACGTCTTTCTGCACGTCTGTGATTTGCGCTGTAAGGTGATCCTTCATGTCTTTCACTTCATTCCGCAACGAGCCAATCGCTTCTATAATCCTGTACAATGCGTAGCCAGAGCAGAGTTTGCGACACATTCAAAGCATTTTGTGTGATTAGTCGCTTGTTCTCGAATACGAAACACTAACCAACTGCTGCTGGCTTGCCAAAGAAACGAGGGACAAACAACAACTTCCAACCTCCCTCCCTCTGTCCCTCCTTCCCACCCCCCCCCAAAGCAAAAAAGAAGAAGAAAAACGAACGAAAAACAAAATCAAAATCAAAATGGTCAACAGAGCAACGGGATTACTGGAAGGAAAGAGAAAGGAAAGCAGAAAAACACAAGCAAAGAACAAAAAAAAAAAAAAACACAATCAAGAAAACAAAGGCGAAGCCCAAGAGCGCATCGCGCAACCCTTGCGCCATAGTGACACCCAACAACATCAATCAGCAACACGCCATTCTGTCATGGACAGACAGAGAAGGCCATTCATCCACGCATCTCATCACTGCATCATGGGGTTTCATCCCATTTCCAGCATCTCTTTTCGCCATCCCCTCCTGCCGACCGTCGATTCCAACGGCGAGCAAGAACCATTAACAATCGCAACGCAATGCCAATGACACTTCATCAACGCATTGGAGTCTCGTCTCGACGTCTCCAAGGAGGAGTGGGTTGAGAAAAAAAAAACCGCGAAAAAAATATGGCGGGAAATCAGTTGCAGATGAACGCGCGTTTTTGAAACAAGCGTTTTGAAACAAAGGACAGATTCACTGCCAGCATCACACTGCCCGCATCGCACTGCGGACATCCCTCCTGGATAGAGCATAGTGCATTTAGTCAGCAGCGTTTGTCGGTTTGGGCGATGGGGGGAGGGGAAGCGGTGGACTGCTCCCGAGGGACGGAGAGGGACACCGCGCTTCTTTTTTCTTTTTTTTTTTCGCGCCTTCAACCAAAGCCGCAAACGAACTCACGGGAGTGGAAGGGCAGCAAGCTCCTCAGGCGTGCTCGCAGCGGTCGTGCTTGCAGCGGTCGTGCTTGCAGCGGTCGTGCTTGCAGCCGTTGTGCTCGCAGCGGTCGTGCTTTCAGCCGTTGTGCTCGCAGCGGTCGTGCTTGCAGCAGTCGTGCGAGCGCCGCCACGAGTGCCGCCACGAGCGCCGCCACGAGCGCCGCCACGACCGCCGCCACGAGCGCCGCCTCCACCACGTCTCGAAGTAGTGCTCATGATCGCCAAAAACACCAGAGAACGACAGACAAAAACGTGAAAAGGTAATTGTAACAAAAAGCGACTGTTCTCTAACTCAACACCCAAAACGGCGAGATAGGGATTGACAAGAATCGATGAAAGCGTTTTCAATTCGAGTTGAGGTGCGCGATGGGGTGGCCAAATAATGCGAGGAACTTGCAGTTGTGTGAACGACTCGAGTTCGTCGTCGCAGTCAGTCCACTGGTCCTCGTCGTCATCTTCAGTGTATTGCGCCTCGCTATCATCAACAGTAGCAGCGTTGTTGTGACTGGCAAGCTTGGCGTCTTGTTCGTAACGCTCGAACGACGAATCGAGACTGCTGCTGCTGTCCTTCGAGTCGTCATTCGTCGTCGGCTCTGACGAAGAGCTGGAGAATGTGTCATCCAACTGTGTCAAGTGCATGTAAGATTTTCATTGTAGAACGGTTCTCTGCAAGATAACATGATGACAGCGATGGGTTCAAGTTTTGCTTTACCGAGTGGGCCATCCAGGGCATGTCGAGAGGCAGAGGCTTCACTGCGTCCTCAGCCAGATGATGGAACCGTGTGTCCGGATGGTGTGTCATCTGCCCAGAAGCAGGGAGAGGCGATAGGATGGTGGTCATTCGAGCTGTCGACGGGCAATGGATGGAAAATGGTGAAAAAGCAGCTTTTCTGGCGCCGACCAACGGAGAAACCAAAGATGATCAAACAAGAAAAAACAAAAAGAGTAATTCTAACTTTCTAAATGTCGATTACTTCGTTTTGACGCAAGCAGCTAAATCACAGTCAGGTGCAACCAGGTGCTTCAGACATCTTGTCGACTTTGTGGTCAAGATTCGGAAACCAGCTTTGGATTCATTGTCCCCGTCCGCCGCCCTCTTCAAGCACGCTACAATGCTTTCATTCCGCATTGTGGAGTTACTTGGACACGTCTTAGTATGCGTCCAAGTAGAGCAGAGTTTGAGCATCACTAGTTCGCCAGCAGAAACATCTACGAAAAAGGCTTCTCCCCTTCCCGACCTCCTCCTCCTCCTCCTCCTCCTCCTCTCTTCCCCTCGCTCCAGTGAGCGCCCATAATTACATGCTCAATAGGAAACAGGATGTGGCTACTCATTGGTTGCAGCCATGGAACTTGGTGTTGTTGATTGGAAGTCGTAGAGGATCACGAAACCACACCCTTCTGCCCCCCCCCTTGCATCGCAGATCATGCTGTTTTGATAATGTTGATGCTTGTGGTGATGAAGACGCATGTGACAGGGATGGGCTGGCGTGTCAACCTTCTCTCGCCCTGCGCTTTCAAATTAGAAAGAACGACAAATAGATCGGCGTTGTCGAGTGGAGTTGATAGATTTTGGGTTGGTTGTTTTCGTGGCAGAGTTCCGTAGCATCGAACAAAACAAGTCCCTCTGCAATAGTTCCTGTTGTGAATAGAAATCTACTTGAGCTGACCTTAGCAAGGGGGAGGAAGGGGTCTCGGAGTGAAAAGGGAAGGTTTGGGAGGGGGAGCCACTGTCTTCCTTTGCATAATACAATTGTTCAATTTCTTATTATTGCATCGTCATGTCGCTCCAACCCGCTTGCAATGCAAGAGTGATTGTGCAATGGTCTTTCGGTTTTTTGTTTTTTTTTCCATTTAATTTTCAACTTTGAGCTTGAATATATTTATTTGCTCGCTCTCCTAAAAGATCGTCGATCCAAAAGGTTAAAGCTTCCGCGTCCTCGATTTTACAATGTCCAAGTCCGAACTCGCCTGCGTTTACGCTGCCCTCATCCTCCACGACGACGACGTCGCCGTCACCGTAAGTGCAACACCCTCTCTTTCATGGTTGACAACTGCTTGTGGGGGGAATGGGGAAAGGAGGGGGCGCCCGAAGCTTGAAGCGAAAGAAAGAAAGAAAAAATTGGCTTTTTTTTTTTTTTAACTTGGCTCGCGATGGCCTGGCCTTCTGGCCGTGAGCGCTCTGGACTTCCCTTCCAGCCTGCGCGCGCCTCTGCGTTGGCTTGGTTGCCAGGTGCGTTGGTGGACATGCCCAGTGCACTGTTCAGTGCAACGCGAACTTGAACAAACGAAAAGGCAAAAAAAAAAAAAAAAAAATCAACCACGCGGTTCAAGATCTTTGTCTTTTTTTTTTTTTTTTTCTTTGTCTTTTTTCTTTCTCTGCTTGCTTTGGTTCTCGTCTGCTTCTCCGCTCTTGCCTCTCACAGAGGGAAGCAGTTGAAGCGAGGTGTTAACACTGTGTGCCCTTTCGAAGCTGGTCTGTGCTGCAGCGCTGCGGCTGACATACGATTTGTTCAAATGCGTTGTGCAATATTGGCTTTTTTTTTTCTTTTTTTCTTTTTTTTTTTCTTCTTTGGCCATCGTTTCGTCGCTCACCCCCGTTCCACCTTGTGTTTCACCCCTCCCTCACACAGGCCGACAAGATCTCCAAGCTGATCTCGGCCGCCAAGATCGACGTTGAGGCTTACTGGCCCGCTCTCTTCGCCAAGGCTCTTGAGGGCCGCTCGATTGGCGACCTCATCGCCAACGTCGGTGCTGCTGGCGCTGCCCCCGCTGCCGCTGCCGCCCCCGCCGCCGCTGCCAAGACTGAGGCCAAGAAGGAGGAGCCCAAGAAGGAGGAGAAGAAGAAGGAGGAGTCCGAGGAGGGCGACATGGGCTTCGGTAAGCTTGCTTGACTTGGGTTTTTTTCTCCCTCTTTGACCCGTGTGTTTGCCATGCGGTTTTTTTTTTTTGTTTTTTCTTCCTCTTTGATTTTTTTTTTCAATCCTTTCTCCTTTGCTCCGCTGTCTCGGTCATTGAAGAGACCACCATCTTTTATCGTGATGACATACCTAATGCTTTCATTTCACAGTTTGGATGACGCACAGCCCATTGGTGCTTGTGCGATTGAGATCAACTAGTATTCCTGACGTTTTCTTCCTTTCCTCTCCTCTCTTGTTCTCTTTCGTTCTCTTTCTTTCATGCTTTTGTTCGGTTGAACGCTATGATGCAATTAAACCTCTCGGGTTGGCCTTGTTCTCACCTTTCTCGCTCTTTGTGTGCCCCTTGTCAGGTCTTTTCGATTAAGCACCTTCTGCTTCCGTTCACTTCACTCCCAATCCCCGATTTCTCTCGGTGGCTTCCCGCATCGATGTCTAGTGCAGTGCCTTGCTGTGTGTTTGCCACAAAACAAACTGTCCCTTTTGTTCTGTGAATGAAAAATGTCGGTGTTCAAAACCCATTCCAACTTTTCCGTTGATCCGAACTCGGATACAAGTGTGCAGTATCAGAACAACCGAGAGGCGAGGTTGCAATTTCGTCTATTAACAGAAGGAATAACATAGTGGTACAGGATGACTAACAGTACAAAAAGTGAGGTACGGACGAACGTTTCCCCCTTTCTTTGTTTTTTCAGGCCTCCTCGGCTTCGCCAAGGTCTGCATTCAACAAGAGGGGCTGGTGCTGCTCTGGTTCATCATTGTCAGGAGCAAGACGGCTCCGTGTGCAGCAGTTTCCAGAACAGAGCACACTTGTTGCGGTTGCGCACTGTACAATGGCGAATGCGAGCAGAATGCAGGCGAAAATGGTGGCGCCCCACTCGAATCCGACAGCTGGAACGATAGCTCCTCCCATGATGGGCCCAATAAACTCTCCGAGCGAGAAGATGCATGCGGCAATCACAGACACTGCGTCCGACAAGGCGTCGTCGTTCGGATGCCGCGTTGCGCCCGCCGCAATCAGCTCGGGGACGATCGGGACGCAGGCTACGCTAATTGAGAGACCAATGGCTGCCATGGAGGTCCATGCGACTGCCTCGGTCTGTGGCAAAAACGGAAGCAATGGGCTCGGGCCAACAATGAGGTAGGCAATCACGGACAGGACCGAGCCGACAGCCATCAACGCTAGCGGCGAGATGCGTTCGGCTAGCATGCCAACCAGCGGCGAAGCGACGCCATAGACGATGGAGATGACGAGAAACATGATGCCGACAGTGCCGGGCGACATGTTGAACGTGTCGCCGCAAAACGTGGACAGCGACGGATCCAGATAGGTGATGGCCGCAATGCTAAGAATCGCCGCAAAGCATCCAACCCAAATGCGAGGAATGCGCAGCAGCTTTCGTGGCGTGGCAGGCGGTAGCAATGCATGTGAAGAAGAGCGTTTGCGCGTGTCCGTATGCGCCGCAGGGTTTTGTTTGGCTGCCTCGATGGAGTCGATCGCAGTCACTCCTTGAGATGACGACGCAGGAATACACAGCAGAACGAGCGGAATGGTGCAAAACTCCAGACCGCCGCAAACGAGAAACGGTAGTCGGAATCCTTGCCAGTCATACAGAAATCTGGCCCCAACAACGCGCGCGACAATACGGAAACAGCATAGGAGAGCATGGTCAGTACTACGTTTGGGCAATTGACACTCTCGTGCCATGCTTTTGGTTGGAAAAGAGACGTTGGTGGAATCGGAGACTTTGCAAACCAACAATTTTTTACACACATACCCGCCAAGCGGAGCGCCGCCGCAATATCCAAGGCCCGATGCAATGCCAATGGCACCAAGCGCAGATGCCCGAGTATCCTTAAACTCTGCTGCGGCGATTGCGAGAGCGGCCGTTCCGACAAACGCCGACCCGACTCCCTCGATCAAGCGCAGTATGACGCAACCCGAGAAGAAGGCCGCGCCGTCGGGCAGAAGCGTCGTGAATCCAAACAGCATGGTGGAAGACGCCTCGATGACAAGGCCCGTCAGGAGCAGTCGTCGCCGCCCGAGCTTGGCCATGAGGCCGCCTGCGAACGGCGACACGACCACGACGGCCGCCGCCAGAGACGCAAAGACCCATCCCGCGGCCGTCTGGCTCACAGACTTTGCATGCGCTTCGTCCGTGTAGAACGGCGCAATGAACGAGTAGACGACGGAAGTGGCCAGCTCGATGGTGAAGAGCGCGGCAAAGACGGCTCTCCGACGTGCTGTGGAGCGACGTAGAGCAGATGGGTCTGGCTTGAGCGGCATCGTAGCATCAGCGACAATAGCAGAGGTTGTCGTTGTCGTCGTCGTCGTCGTCGTCGTCGTCGTCGTCGTTGCTTCTACTGGCAGTGGTGGTAGTGCTGGTAGTGCTGGTAGTGGTGGTGGTGGTTGAGAGTGATGCTCCATTGCTGTAATCGTTCCGTTTCTGAGATTACGTAAACCAAGTCAGCTGTAACTCTTCCTTTATTGCAAACATCAGAATAAAAAGGAGAGTGAACAACAAATTCAAACACTTCCAACATTCAACCATCCTCCACTTTGTCTACCCGGCTCTGTCTCTTCTGTACTCAAACTTGCGCACTCTGCACACTCTGCTGCGATCCTCTGACAATTTTGTTGCGCAATGTCAATGACTGAGCTAACTTCTTGTTGTTATTTGCTGTCGTCGTATTCATCCATGTCGTTTGTCAATGCCAACCCTCTCCCTCTCCGTCTCCCTCTCCGTCTCCCTCTCCCTTCGTTCCGCCAACCCTGTCTTCCCTTCAGCACGTCGTTTCAATCGCCAAGTGTTGCCAAACCTCGATCGACTTTGATGCACTATTGCTTTATGCTTATGCTTTGGCTTTGGCTTTGGCTTGGTTGCTCCAGTCTTCTTCGTTCTTGTTCTCTCTTGGCCCTTTTGAGATGCGTCTCGCCCGCCATGTGTCGGCATCACTGTCGGCCGTCTCTGCCGCGTCGCCGCTGCTTCCCTCTTCCGCTGCCTCTGCTGCGTCTGCCTTGTCATCAGCATCATCATCATCGGTGGTGATGAGGGGACCCAGCACTGCTGCAGCAACTGCGCGGTCGTTTGCAATGCTGGCTGCTGCTGGAGTGACCGCGTGGACCAGCGCGCCCTCCATCACTGCCTCTGCGCCGGCTCCAGCGCCGCAGCATGACTCGCAGTCCCAGGCTCAGCCTCAGCCTCAGGCTGGCAAGCCCCGTCGTCGCAAGGTCGTGGACGACGAGCCGCCAAAGCCAGTCCGCAAGGAACCGCCGCCGCCGCCGCCGCCTCGCTTTGCCGGTCGCAGCAGCAGCAGCACCAGCACCAGCGCAAGTCATCACTCTGGCGCGCCGACGCACTACCAACATGGCACCTCGTTTCCCAACAAGCGGGCTGCTGTCCCGTTCTTCCAGAAGGCGCCATCATCGTCTGTGCGGCCCCGCTCTGCCTACGACGCGCGCCCTCTTCCTCCCCGCCATTCTGGATTCCAATCCTCCTCGTCGTCATCATCGTTAAACTCAGCGTCATCATCGTCGTCAGCGGCGTCGTTTGCACAGAGTCGATTGGACAGCTCAACACGACCCGAATCGTTCGACAAGTCGGCCGTTGTCGAGGATCCCATCAACCGACCGATCCATTACATTTCCACCGACGCCGAGGTCGAGGCTTTCCTCCCGATATTGGCAGCCGCTGAGACGATCGGCCTGGACACCGAGTTTCTGAGCTTCCCTCGCTACACGCCGCAGTTGTGCGTGTTGCAGCTGTCGACCGAGACGGATCTCGGCATTGTCGACGCGCTGTCCATCAGTCCTGAAATGCTGAAGAAGCTCTGCTTGCGAATCTGCGAAAAGCCAGTCATTGTGCACTCGTGCTCGTCCGATTGTGCCATTCTGTACGATATTGCTGGAACCTTGCCCGCGAAAGTGTTTGACACCCAAATTGCGGCTGCGTTCTGCTACCCAATCATGATGATGGGCTACGGCCAGTTGGTTGAGACTCTGTTCGAAGTCCAGGTCGACAAGTCACTCACTCTGACAGACTGGTCGCTGCGCCCTCTGAAAAAGGACGAGGTGGCATATGCCATCAGCGATGTCGTGCACCTCCACGCCATTCGTGACAAGCTGAATGCTCGTATTGCCGAGCTTGGCCGCACAGAGTGGTTTGAAAGCGAAATGGCGTCGGCCGTCTCCCCTGCCAAGCTCATGTCTGCCATTCCGTGGGATGCCTGGAAGTTGATTCGTCGCATTGGAAAATTGGTAAGTGAGATTTCTTGCAGTTTTTTTTTTCGGTTGTTGGATTTTCATTTATTTTCATTTCAAACCATCTCCGCTCGTCTTGAATCGTTCGTGTTGTTTCTTACCTTTGTGAAAAAAACTCCGTTTGTGCGAACAACCAACTTTGACGACGTCTGCAGCGCGATACGGCGAGCTTGTCTGTCGTTCGTGAACTTGCCGCTTGGCGAGAGACATACGCCAAGGAGCAGAACATGGCGCCCATCCGCATCATCCGCGACGAGATTCTCATTGCAATCGCTTCGGCGCAGCCCACCACTTTCGAGCAACTCAACCGCATGCAATCATCCAAGAACTTTTCGCGCCACAACGAGGCCTTGCTGCGCGTCGTCCAGGCTGGCATCAGCGTGCCGGAAGAGCAGCGCCCTCCCATGCCGCCACCGCCAAATCCCATTGCGGACATTTTGCAGCAGCAGTTGCGTCTGTGGGCGCGTATCAAAAGTGCCCAAATGAGCATTGCCCCCGATCTCTTGCTGACCAACCAGCTCGCTACGCAGCTCAGCGAGGCTCCGCCTGCAGATTTCGGTAATCGGGCTTGAATGTTTGCGCAACTTTTGTTGTTGGGAAGGGAGAGAAGGGGTGTCGTGTCGTCACGTTAGTCGTTGCACGCCGAATGTGGTGCTCTTGCTAACCTATTGGAGAGGGGGTGTGTTGGATTGGTTTAGATAAAATTTGCATCGAAAGCTTGCAAGGCTGGCGCGAGGAACTTGTTTGCCACGATCTGATTGCGATGCATCACGGTCACTTGAGTTTGGTACGTCTCGTTGTTCAAACCCCATTCTGCAACCTGATGACCTGTGTTGAAGTGCCTAACCTTGGTGTATTTTTTTTTTTGCCTCGCTTTTGTTTGTTGACATCAACTTTGATCAACCCCGCTGTAGCGCTACAATCCCGTCACTGACCAGGTGGAGACGGCAATGCAAGAAAACATCCAGGCTCCGCCTCAAGCCGCTTAACGACCACGCAACCAAGTGGAGCACGGACACGGACATGCGAACAATACTTCCAATTCGAACAGCACGCAGGTTCTCTGAACATGCATTTTCATCAAGTTTGTTTTTTTTTTTTTTTCCTCAACTATTGAATCTATTAAATTCCCAACCAAAACGCCTCATGAACCGAAAATACACAACGGATGCTCACTGATCGTGCAGTCGCTCCAGAGACCATGTCACAGAACACACAGGAGTATCACACAACACACTCTGACTTTACAAAAGACCTTCGCGTTCAAACCAACGATTTGGGCACAATTCTGACTTGCAGTGGCTTGTGCCAATCCTTCACCTCGTCGTGATAGTACACGTACGCTCGCGAAGCTTCTGCCGTGTACTGTCCTGGAGTCTTGGCGAGGACGTCCAGCACGAGCGAGGTCACGGACGATTGGGGCCGGCTGGCGTCCTGGCTGTAGGGCATTGACCTCCAGTACAAGATGACGTCCCGATCGCGAAGCTCGTAGAAGCTCACGTCGCCCTGTCGGACCCATTCTTGGAGCTGCTCCTGGCGCGGCTCAAACCCAGAAGGAAGAGCAACGATGGCAACAACCATGCCGGTTCCACCTGCGACAGACTTTGCATCCAAACCAGTGCGATCGGTCTGAATATTGACGACAACGCTGCCCATCTGTCCTTCGACAAAGTCGGCAGAGGCAGGGTGGGGCGGATTGAGCGAAAGACTGAGGCGCACGCGCGATGATTGCCGGTGGCCATCTCCTGGAGCGGCCAGAGTTGAGCGCTGTACTCCCGCGGCCTCATTGGCGCGGTACTTGGTTGTCCAGGAGAAGCGCAAGCGCAGTTTTGGCACGCTCACGCTCACACTCAACGTACGACGACGAGACGCCGTGGATGCGACGACGTTGAAAGCAGTTAGTGTTGCCTGCGGGTCGTTGGAGGGAGGGCGCTCGAGCAGACGCAGACGCGACAAGTCAATCGTCAGCGGCTGTGCGCCTGTGGTAGAGGCGTCAAACGGAACTTGACCAAGAACGTCGCCATCCACCTTCACAGTCACCACACCGCTCTCGCGGACACGAGTGGCGGTCGCTTCGTACTGCATGATGGCCTTGAGCGCAAGCACGGTCGCTTGGGTAGAGCCAAATCGTCCCTCGGCGCACCGAGTCGCCAGCCATCGCAGTGCAGACTCGATGGCGGCGGCATTTTGAGTGTAGTCATTCATCCAGGCGAGAATGGCAATGCTGGTCGTCTCGATATCCAACGACTCACCCGAGGACCGCGTGATGGTCGTGGCCGCATTGGTCACATGACCATCCTCCTGTTGAGACGCATGCAGACGCAGGGCAAGCTCAGAGCCTCGCTTGCGATCGCCCACATTGTACAGGGCAGCGGCCAGCAATCCGACATAGTACGAGTCCTTGTTGCCCTGTTCGTAGTCGGCATACAAGGCTTCAATCTCGGGCTCAAGACCGCGGAGGCCAGCTGCAGTGAGTGCCCAGACAATGTACGCGCTGAACAACAAGAACAACCCAAAAAAAAAAAAGGTTGGGGGGGGGGGAAACGAGTCAGTCAGCGCTCCACTCGTAATCGCAATCAATGCACAACAAGAAACAAACGACGACAGGCTCCATCCAAACAGCAAAACCGAACAGGCTTACTTGGTCACGTCTTTCGGCGCACCACCAAAACTGTCTAGTTGCTTTGCATCGAGCAAGAACTGGCCCTTGCCGTCGCGCCGGGAGAGGAGCCAGGTTTTGGTGCGCTCGAGCATTTCAGCGTCGACGTTCAGGACTTGCGCCATCTCGATAAACTGCAACAGTCCGTACGCGGTCAATGCCTCGTGCGCGGGTGCCGCACCAAACCACTCAAAGCCACCTGGAACCGTGCCAGCTGCTGCGGGCGCATCTTTGACCTCATAGCTGATGAGCCGTTGGTACCCGCGCTCGAGCATTGCGCGTGCACCCTCGACGTCAAAGCCTTCGTCGGGATGCGAGATCATGTACTGGAGCGCCATCGTCAGCGGGTAGGTGGTGGAGCTGGTTTGCTCAAAGCAGCCATACGGCTCTTGGATGAGCGCTTTGATGGCGGCAGTCAGCGAGGCGATGGGAGACAAGTACACCAAAAAGGTGGACTGGTCGGAAAGCGCAATGGCCGAGTCGCCAAAGACCAGCTCGTGCTCAAATCCAGCCTCCTCGTCCGGAATCACACCGCCTAGGGACAGCGTGATAGGGAAACCGCGCTCAACAGCAGTGGTGGAACGGACTTGAACATCGGCAAAGAACGAAGGGCTTGCGCTCTTTGCCGCTACGGAAACCTGCAAGGGCCCTTCTGCAGCGGCTGCCACAAAGAACGGAATGTAAGTGCGCAGCGTCTGTCCGCTTGGAATGACCACCCCGGAGGCTGCGTAGGCCAGACCCTCTGCTGACGTCTGCAGCCGAATTCCAGCCGTTTTCCACGCAGTCCAGTCGTGTGCGTACTTTGCCAAGGGAAACTGAGCCAGAACACTGCTGACATCACCCCGGGTCTGAGAGGAATCCGATGGCTTCCATGCGTTCACGAGCTTTTCCGTAATGTGCGCCAGAGGCAAACTCGTGCTGTCCAGCGGAATGCACCACGAGACGTTTGCCGCAGCAACCAAGTCAATTGTCGCGCTGGTCGTGCCTGGATTGCTGAGCGTGATGGGGACGAGCAGCAAATCGCCAGCCGTAACGTGCGCCGGCAAGGCAGTGTTGAGATGGAAGGGGAGCTTCGACGTCACCAGAGTCCGCTGAGTAAATCCAAACGAAGACGAATTCGATCCGGCCACTCGTGCAACGCCATCGGCAACGACACGGAAGCTGGTGACGGCGTCAGAGAGTGAAAAGCTGATGAGAACTGAACCTGTAGTCGGCGATAATCGCAGCGAGGGACAAAAACCAAACAAACACAAAGGGGGGTTAGTAGGCAAGAACGTCACGAACAAGAACCAAATCGCCAACTGAAAACGCATCAAACCTTGTGCGTTGGTTCGAAGACTCGGAGCCCAGAAGATCGTTTCAGAAAAGTCGTCACGGACACCAGGCGTCTTGTTTGCTCGCGGCTTGTGCGAAAAGTGCCTCAGCAGCGACAAGTTATCGCGGACTGGCATGTAAACTGGAGGACGCTTCTTGAACATCCCGCCAATCGCAATGTCACCGGCCGGTGCAAAACCAGCATCTGGAGGAAGAGGGGCGTCCGCATCGTGGTCGAGAGGCGCAGGTGCCATGGGTTCCATTGCGGCAAGTTCGCCTTCAGCGGCAAAGAACACATCAGGCGCCGCTGCGTTCGCCAACATGGGAACGGCGGCAGCTGCAGCATCTTCAGCCATGTCAACCATCGGGGGTGCCGGCATGGCAAACTCGACACCATCGTCTTGCGCTGCCATCGCCATGGCCATTTTTTCCATAACGGGCGCGGCACCGCCTGCCAAATTGGCAAACATTCGGTTACGCACTGTGCAAGCGCACCAGTCCAGAAGCAGAGACCGCAGATCGTAAGTGAATCGTGATTTCAAACACCCAAAAAGCAAGATCAAGCGCCAAAAAAAAAAAAAAAAAAAAAAGGAAAATACGTACTTCCACCTCGTCGGAACATGGGCTCAATCTAGGCACAAACAAAGAGTCAGGCAACAACAAGCAATGTACGAACAAATGGTAAGTGCAAGGCGGCAGTTGGCAGCCATCTGCAAAACAAAAAAATGCGCGCTACCATCGAAGTGCCTAGCGTGCGCTTGCGCTTGCCATTGACATTCTCATCATCACCGTAGAGCACGGCACTCAGTGAGCCCCAGGAATCCTCAGACCACACCCAGCCCTGGGTTCCGAGAAGCAGATCAATCTTCTCTTGAAGCGAGGCTTCGTCATAGACGGAAGCATCGTTCGGCTCAGGAGCCTCGAATAATTCGTTGTACGCAGGTGCATCCAGCATGTGTCGCGCTTCGTCGCCCAAGTAAGCTTGCACTGGAACGGACGCTGCGCGCCGACGGCGCTCCACGAGAGTGAGGGCAGAATCATCCGTGACATGCACGCCGATGAGCGCATCACGAACAGCGTGCCCACTCGCATCGCGCGCCGTCAGCTTCACAGTGACGCTGCCCGATGGGATCAGCTGGCTTTCGGGGCTGACCACTTCGGCCACAAGTTGCATGGCAGCTGCGGGATGGCGGAAGACTGTCTTGACAGCGACGACGCGGAATTCCGAATTTCTAAAAGATGCAAACACACAAAGGAGGCAAACACACAAAAGAGGCAAACAACAATGACGAGGTGAGCATCCAGTAGGTGCGCAAAACGACATGTGTGACACAAAGCTGGCCGACGCACGGGTGAATGGGGCTCGGCTCCAGCACAACCACACGCAGCACACCGTCGTAGCTGCCTGCGTTGAGAGAGAAGGACGTCGGAGTCTGCCGCGAGGTCACGCGGACTTCGCGTTGGTCAATGTCGAGCTCGCGACGTGCGAGAACCACCTTGTACTTGCCAACACGAAGAGTACTCAGCTCGGCGTGCACCATGTTGCCCTCGACACGGGCGTTGGTCACAGTTGCTACGCCAGACACGCCGATGGGCACCTCGACCGTGGAGGTGATTTGAGTCGGGCTGATCACTCGAAGAAAGTACGAGACGTGGAGCGCACCCCCAGCCGGATCGGCATCTGCAACGTTGGTGGCAACATCGACAGGCACAAACGACAGATGGGCTCGACCCTCATGCTTGGTCGCGGCGGTCGCAATGACCTTCAGGGTGGCCTGTCGCACATGTGCACCTGCGGGTACTCTGCGCTCAACGAGCTCCACAGTGACATCGACGGGCTCCTCCTTGTCTGGATCTTGGTTGTTTTCCGACTTTGGGCTGATGGCTTCGACGTAGAGACCTGCCGGAAGTCCGGGCACGACTGCTCCACTCTATCCAACAACAAGCGCGACATTGAGCGCGACGTTAGTTTGCAGCAGAGCGAGGGAAAAAAGAAAACCATGGAGCGTGTGCAAGCTGCGGGAGATGGCGTACCTCGGGGAAGACGCGGAGAACAACGGTCGTCTGAATCAACGGCACCGTTTTCGCCGTGGTCTCGAGCTTTCCGTCGTCGTTCACGGTCACGGAAAGAGTCGGGGAGTCGACCAAGCTGTTGGACAGCGTGAACGAAAAGCTGGCCTGGCCAGGCTTGTCAAGCTCGGCAAATCCAAAAGCCAAAAGCCCATCGCGGGAGTGAAGACGGTACTCGATCGTTGCCCGTGAGGTAAGCGTTCCATCAGTGCGCTTCGACTATTGCCATGGGCGTGACACCGGAGTGCACCATAAAAAAAATGAGCGCGCGCGGATTTGTGCAGGGGCAGCAAGTGGCGCGCCAAATCAGAATCAGCAATTTACCGTCAACGTCGCCTCGACACGATCGCCAATCTTGTATGCTTTCTTGTCCAAGTCCAGCGATAGAATCAACGAGGGATTGGAGAACTGGCGCACTGCAAACACGCGCTCTGCTGGCGGAGCACTAACAAATAAAAACAACATCGTCAGGCACAACCAGGGCTCAAACATGCATCACACTTTTACTGCACATACCGATCGGTAGACGACTTGATGAGAATCTTGTAGTCGCCGCCGGGCAAGTCTCGCGGAATGGTCCAGATGGTCGACATGACCGAGTTGTTGGCAGCGAGCGATTCGAACGCGGCGACAATCGCGCCCGACGGACCCTTGATCTCCACGGTACGCGTGCATTCATGCGTGGCAAACATGGCAGACGTGGCACCCAGCTGACTCGCAGTCTCGTCCGAGACGGGTGCCACGTCACCGAGCCAAGAGCACTGGAAGCTCTGGTCGAGCGGCATGGGCTGGCGTGTCAGGGCGTCGACGACGAGTGCGCGCACATACACGCGCTCTCCCGGGCGATACACGGGCTTGTCTGTCTCCACGTACGTCGCCCAGCGTCCGCTGTCCGAGGTGGCGGACGGATATGCGCGCTGCAAGTCAGACTCGCTTGCCGAGGTCATCAGCGACATGGCTGGCAGTCGCTCTTCGGCGTCGCCTGCAGTCATTCATAGTTGTGTAGGTTGATCACACAAGCAACACATGCACAGAGCACACCACACGCAGCCACACAAAGTGAGTCAGTATTGGAAAAGTGACGCGTCATCACGAGTATCGCTTGTTGCTTTCTCCCCCCTCCGCCTCCGCTGCTTCTCTTCGCCCAGCGTCAAGCAATGCAAAGAGAGGGGGAAGCCAATGAACAAAGTAGAACAAGCAAGCAGAAACGCATCCAAAGCGACTTGCTGGAGCGCAATGAGCAATGAACAACTGGGACATGCACTTCACACCTATGACCGTTTACCTTGCTGAGAAACGACGCCTGGTCGAGGCCGCTTCACAAACCGACGAGGGGCGAGGTCCTGAGCTTCGCCTTGGCCGAATTGGCCTTCGTTGCCCATGGCGTGGCCCCCGCGGTGGTGGTGGTGCTCGTGGTCGTGCGGGTGGGGCGGGACGCCTGGGAATCCAGGGTGGCTTTCCGTCGCCTGCATCCACCGTCCATGCGTCGGGGCATACACAAACACGTAGCCAGCCCACAGCAGCGCAATCATGGCTGTGAGTATTGCCAGCCGGCGAGCGCTCAACCGCGACATGACCTGCTCAGAAAACAAGAAAAGAAAAAGAATAAAGAATGAGCTGAAGCTCCAATCCGAATTTCCAGCTGTAAATGAACAAACACAATGAGTGCAGCTACCTCGGAAATCGGCGGTATCCATCGTTTGATCCACTTTCATGTTGTAATGTAATTGTTTGTTTGGTTGCCATGTTCGCTTCCTGATGCAAATTGCAGCAGTTCCGCGCTCCTCGTCGCGCTTTTCCAGATCATCATCATCAGCATCCGTATCTTCCTCTTCCTCTTCTTCTCCATCCTAGCCTTCCCCTCCTTGTCGCGCTCTGACTCCATGGACGCGCAGACATCTGTTTCTCCCCTTTTTCGTTTTTTTACCCGCCGTTTCAGCTGGTCGTTAAGCTCCCTTCTTCTTCTCCCTCCTCTCCTCCCTCTTCTGCATATCCGTTTCTTCCCTCTCTTTCTCTCTTCCCCCGCCCCCTCTCTCCCCTTCCCCTCGCTTTGACCCCTTCCTTCGGTTTCCCATCGCTCGCCGTCGTTGCAATCATCAAGCATATGTTTTTTATTTTCCCGTCCAACCCCGATTTGGGATTCCTCGCAGTCCATTTCCTTTGAAAGAAACAAGCAAAGCACAATGTCCGCCACCTGGTCCACTGGTCTCTTCTCGATCTTCGACGACATGCAGATCTGTACGTGTCTCCTCACTTCCACCACTGTCAATCGCGCTTTGTAGTCGGACGTGTGCGCCGCTGCAGCTGAACAAAGAACCGGCTTTTTTTTTTCCAATTTACGCTTGGGATTGATTGACGGCAAATACAAAAAAAAAAAAAAAAAAAAAAAAAAAAATCCAATGCTTTTTGTTATGGATTGATTTTTTGAAAAAATAATCCGCAAAAATGGTGAAAAATGGAAAAAAAAATGAAAAATAATTAATATTTGAATTGCAAAAAATGGAGCTTTTTTTTTCCTTTCATTTTGTTCTCTTTTTGGGCTGCGCTGCAGAGTAAGCGAGATGGCGGGAAGTGCTTGTCGATGAAGGCGTCTGTGGCTGGTGGGGGGCGGTTTTTGTTGTGCGCTTTCTTGAATGTGCCGCTCGTCGTCGAACGTGGGTTTGTTTTTTTGTTTTTTTGTTTTTGTTTATGATTTATTTGAACCAACTTTTTTTTGTTCTTTTTCCTTTGTGTGCATCCATAGTCCTGTATGGCTCGCTCGCCCCCGTCCCGCTCATGCTCAACAACGCCCCGCTCATGCTCAACAACGCCACCGAGATCCTCGGCGGAAAGGCTGCCTTCGGCCTCGACGGCGAGTCGTGCGCCAAGCCCTGCTTCTCGGCTGGCTGCCGTGGCACTGATGGTGTTTTCTGCACCAACGGCGTCATCTTCCAGATCCTCCCCTGCGTTTACATTATGTGGCGCTCTGCCCTCCGTACCAAGTACGGCGTCCAGGTACGTCCCCATCCGCTTTGCTCGATGGTCGTCTCTGTCTTTGTTGTTGTTTTAGCAGTGGACCCCTTTTTCTGCTCCCTTCGTGACGCATTTTGTCAATCCGTCGTCGATGATTGAAAAACAAAAAAACCAAAAAAAAAAAAAAAGCACGCGGTTGAATTTTTTCAACACAAAAAAAATGATTCTTTTTTTTTTTCCTTTGCAGTTTTGTTTTGTCTTTGAGTCGCTGTGCTTTGGTGCGCACCAGGTGGCAGCGTGTGTGTAGCGTGTGTGCCTGTCCGTGCGCTGCTTGGCCAGCTCCTGCGCAGAGACACGTCTTTTGTGCGCTTTTTTTTTTTCGCGCTCTTTTTTTTTTTTTTTTTTTTTCAAAATGCTGCTCTTGAGTGACGTCTCTTTCGCTCGTTCGATGGGCAGTTTTTCCGCTCGTGTGGTTGTACAGTTGTGTGCGAAGTGTCTTTGCTTAGCTGTGAAGATGCGCCGCGCAGCCGTCTGTTTTCGACTCTTTTTTTTTGCGACTTTGTGAACGGACGCGATCGATCTTTTCGATTTTTGGTTTTAGTATTATTTTCGTATTATTCTTTGGAATCACCAAAAAACCCTTCTCTTTTTTTTCAAAAATATTTCTTTTCTTTTTTCGTTTTTTTTTTTTTCCATGGAATGGCATTTTTTTGTTCTACTTCTTTCTTTCAAAAAACCCGTTTGCATCATCTTCAATCGTCTTCATTCATTCATTGGATTCTCTGTGCGGTTTCCCCCCCTGGTTTTTGCTTGAAACTCACCTTTCGTTTTTGGTTTTTGGGACTTTTTGCTGCGAATTTCCATTCAAAACAAAAACAGGGCAACATGCTCGGCGACATCATCGCTTGCTGCCTTTGCTACCAGTGCGCTGTCATGCAGGATGCTCGTGAGCTCAAGCTCAAGGGTGCCCTCTACCACGACGCCAAGCCCCCGCAGGCCTAAACTGCGCGTTGGTGATCCTGCCCGCGCTTGCTCAAAGTCATCCTCTGCTCAGTGTGCCGGCATGACCCATCGGTCCCTTCGATGTCGTGCCTGAGTGTCTTGTTCCCTCTTTTTGTGTGCTTCCTTTTGCTTCTCCCCCTTGTTGTGTTGGCGCATGATGGCTTTATGGTGTTGCGATTGTTTTCAAATGTCAGTTCGATTTCCCCCCTTTGTTCAGAGTTTTTCATTCACCCTTCCATTCCATTAGCATTGTCAACAAGCTCAGCTCATTTCTGTCTTTTTTTGTTTTCTTTGCCCTACTTTGTTGACCATGCAACGTGGCCCTTCGATCGCTCCTGCTGCTTCTTCTTCTTCTTCTTCTTCTTCTTCTGCTGCTGCTGCTGCGTCTGCCGCCGCTGCGGTCGGGGCTGGCAGCACCAACGCCGGCCCTCGATCATCTGGCATGGGCATGGGCATGAGCATGGCTGCTGCTGGTGGTGGTGGCCTGCTCGGTGGGCCCAGCGACTCCCCGCTTGTCAGCTTGAATCCCGCGCTCAATTCGTTCGCGCCGACCGGCAGGGACCCTGCTGAGGACAGCGACCCGTTCGCCATCTTCCGCAAGCCGAGCGCGTTTGCTGTGCTTGACGATCCCTTCGCTGCCATCGCTGCACCGACCTCGTCGACCAAGTTCGCTGCTGGTCAGCATGCGTACGCTTCGCCCGATGGCCAGGCCAGGATTGAGGAGGTTGTGCGCGCCGCCGAGCTTCGGCCAGCTGGAGCGCCTCAAGCAGCTCGTCGCGCAAGAAGGCCCGCGGATTCTCGGCGCTCGGACGGCGGCCGGTCTGTGCGCGCTGCACTGGGCTGCGCTGGGCGAGCATGTGGAAGTACTTGAGTTCATCCTGTCGTACTCGACCGAAGGGCCCAATGCCATCCCTGCCTCAGCAACTGCTGCTGCAACGGACATGGGCAATAGCAGCAGCAGCAGCAGCAACAACAACAACAGTGATGCCTCATCGAACGGTGCCAAGGTCGTCTCGTTGGTCGACACGGTCGAGCCGTGGATGCTCGAACTCGCTCCCGAGCTTGCTGCAGCGTTCGCACAAGCCCCGCCGACGCAGGCATCCGCGCCACATCCCGGCCATCGTGGTGCTGCCGCCGGTGGTGCTGCTGCTGCTGCCAACCCATACGCATTCAGCGTCGATGATCGCATTCCGGATGGATCCACAGCGCTGCATTTGGCCTGCAAAGGCGGCTCGGGCCCCATCATCCACAGTCTGCTCGTGCATGGCGCCGACCCGTACCTGCTCGATGGCAAAGGGTTTAACACGCTCCATCTCGCGGCTCAGCGCGGCCACATTGTCGTGACGCAATTCCTGCTGCACAACGTTGCGCTCGATGTCAACACCCGCGACAAGGAGGGTCGCACGCCGCTCATGTGGGCCGTCTTCAACAAGGTGGACATGGCCATGGTGTCCATGCTCATGAAGGAAGGCGCCCAGGTGAACGCCACCGACATGAACAACTCGACCGCGTTGCACCTGGCGGCGCGCTCGGGCAACAGTGCCGCATGGCGCGCTCTGCTCGAGGCGAAGGCCACCATGGGTCACGACTCGCGCAAAATGACGCCGTTGCAGCGTGCAGAAGAGGCTGGCCATGGCTCGCTGATTGAGTACTATGAGCAAAACCGCGCAGCCTCCTCCTCCAAGCGCAAGACCATCCCCGAAGCCCGCAAAAAGCTCTACCAAAAGTATGGCAGTGTGATTGGCCTGCCAGTCGTGCTGTTCGTCGTGTCCGCTCTTCCCCTGTGGCAAGGCCTCATCTTGCTGGCGTTGCTCGGCTTTCTCTTTGGACGCGTGTCGCCAATGCTGCAGCTCGCGAACGGCGGTGGGCTCAACACGGGATTGGTGTCGCTTGGCCACACTGCCTACTGGACGGCAGTGGTGCTCTATTTCGCCATTGGTGTCTACGACAATGGCGTTGCCCTCCGCGTGCACGGCATTTTTATTGCGACTTGCGCCGTCCTGCTGTACTTTTGGTGGCGCGTCGTCACGACCGATCCCGGTGTCATCCAGCCAAAGACCCATGGCGCAGACCCGAGCGACAGCCGGCGTCAGCTGTTGCGTCAACTCTTGGTCGAAAACGTCTCGGACCGGCAATTCTGCGCCACCTGCTCGGTGCGCAAGCCTCTTCGTTCAAAGCACTGCGCCGTGTGCAACGTCTGTGTCGCACGGTTTGACCACCATTGCCCGTGGATTGGTGTGTGCGTGGGCGCCAAAAACCATCGCTACTTTGTCCTGTTTGTCACGTTTTTGCTGGCATGCACAAGCTGGTTTGTCTACATGATTGGCGCCTACACGCAGCATCGGATGGCGCAACTGCCTCCTGTCCAGCTGGATTGGCACTGGCTTGTTCCCCCTGGTGTCGAGTTTTTGTGGCGCTCGTTCAACATTGCACCCAGCCTGATCTACTTTGCCGTCTTTACCATGATTTTTGTTGCCTTTGTGCTGACCGTCTGCGTCACGCAATTCCGACAAATCTTCATGAACTTGACCACCAACGAGATGGCCAACTTTGGCCGCTACGCGTACTTGCAGCGTGTCAAGTCGGCGCAAGAACTGACCGTTGAGCGTGCCAAGGCCACGGCCGAACTGCAGGCTGAGCGTCGCAAACAGGCTGCTGCCGACAAGAAGAAGCCAGTGGACGCCGAGGCCGCTGCCGCCGACGCCGACACTGCCGCTGCGGAAGCCGCATCGAGCGTTGCCACTGTCGCCTACTTTAATCCGTTTGACGCGGGTCCGCTTCGCAATCTTCTCGAGTTCTTCGGTGCTGGAGGCAACGCAAAGTATTCTTGGGATGCTATTTATGATGTTCCCGAGCACCTCAAGCCCCGCTTGACGGCTGGCGAGTTGTCCGTGATCATTGCTTGATGATGAGTATTCTGGTTGATCTAAACCGTGCTTGTTGCTTCTTCTTTGCTCTGTCGTCAGTGGTCATTCGAATCGATCAATTTATTGAACAATGCAGGATGGTTGGGAATTATAAAATGCCCAAATGTGCGCACACAATCGCAATCCATGACAATCATTCCATACACATGTCGTTCAGATCAACAACTCGAACGGCCCCACAGGTCGCTACACCATGTCAAAGAAAAAGTCCAGACCTGCAATGTGAAATGAAACCAAATCAAACTGAGAATGTGAGCAAATCACCTGATGAGGAAACAGAAACGGATGCCGAATAGTGAGAATAAAAATCTCCAGACCTTGGCCAAGCTCCCAAAAGGCAACGCCGATCGATTGCTTGTGAGCCAACTGGAGACGACGGAACAAGGAGAACACCGTGGGGTAAAAGACAATGTGCCGGCCGCGCTTGTCCATGTAATTGAGCACATGCTCTGCCAATTCTTCTTCCCATTCGAGCATTGGCTCGTGGAGTTCCAAAATTTTCAGATACTCGTCTGCAAGCAACGAAGAGGCGTGGAAGTCGCCTTTTTCGTCGTCACAGTAGTCGTTGCCATAAAAGTTGACGCCAAGGAAGATCTTGTTCTGCAATTCCAGAGTCTGGTTCTCGGGCATCACGCGTTCGAGGGTGGAGTGCAGCCATGGCATGGGAGCGTTTGGACCAGGCCTGATTCAACGACAAGGGACGTCAGAAAATGGAACAACAATCAACGACAACCGTCAAAATGAGTATTAGCTTTGTTTGGTTTTGTGAGGGGTTTTTACCTGTCTGCAGAGGAAAAGTCATATGTCATGAGTTGGAACTTGTCCACGAATGGTGACAGTTTCTGCAGCTCTTCAAAGTCAAAGTCGCTGGCGGACCCGCGACGCGGCTGCCAATTGCAAAATAAAGAGAGGCGTTGAGTTGAATTCGTTCACAAGTGTGTGAAGGCCATCACGTCAAACACTCGGGCTGATCGTACCATCGCAGTAAGCACAAGAACTTTGCCAAGAGGCTTCAGCATGGACGAAAGGAGTTCAAGAAAGTTGTAAACCGGCGGGTATGGCGAAAACTTTCGGAAGCCCATGGAGGCAAAATCAATCACAAGCCCATCGTAATTCCGCTTCCTGTGAAGATCGGAAGAGAAATAGAAAATGTCAGAGCATTTCAAAGCAAGTGGGGCGATTTGACAGCGATCGTGAGTCAGCGGGCAGCCCAAGAAAACCTCAGCACTTGACATCTCACTTGATTTCTGCCACAATGGCTTTGGCAACAGCATTGCTCGAAGTCGTAGAAGAAAGCAGTTGGATCACGCTTTGGCCACTCATCTCCTCAAACATGAAACGCGGCACAATCCTCGGCGGAGGATAGTCGAGAAAGTTTGGATGAGGAGTCCGGAGGCCGTCCAGCCAAGCTTTGTCGACGTTGTGGCCGCCCACAAGTTGCAACTTTTTGCCCGACTCGCCACCTCTACAAGGGGTTCAATGCAGACCACGCGAGGCAGAAACGCAATCGTTACGAGCGAAATGAGATGTGCAACAAAAGCGCCCGTTTCCGTCCACATGTCTGGCAACCCAAAGCCCCTGAACAAGACTCGCCATACTTGCGAATTTGGTACCACACTGGACTGATGTACGTCAGCTTGTGGCGGAAGCGTGTCGCGACTTCATACCCGCGTGAATTCCTATGGGAGCAAATATCGGTTGAGACCATTCGACGCGATTCGCCAAAGCAGCGACGGGTGAGACGACTGCGTACCATGGGGTGACATAGCCGAGAGTGTCTTGAGTAAAAGTCTTGGGACTGTCGTCTGCCACGCGATCGTGGTTGAACATGATATCTGGCGTGGTGAGCTGTCACAATAAGACCAAGTAAGTCATCATCCAACGCAAGATAGCTGTTGTTGGGAGGCCTGCTTTCATTGGTGAGATGATCGAGTTCATGGACGACGCCTGTATCGCTAAACGCACCGCGGGGGTCAGCAGCTTGCGATCGTGCAGATTGGCGTACTTGGGCTCGCTCAGCGAGTGACCGCGCTCGCCACGCTCACGGTCCGCCATCCACGAGACGTACTCGGACTCCTCGGTGCCGGTGGTGCCGCTGGACGACGGATCGGCTGCATCAGAGACCGGCGGCGGCGGCGACTGCGACTCGGCGCTGACTGCTGCTACGAGCAAAGCCAGAAGCGCCAAAAGCACGGAAATTCGCATTGAAAATGGATTGAAAAAAAAAACTGAGATCAAAAGGAAATACTAGAAACTAACTGCATTCTATTCGTCTATTGTGAACATGGAGAGAGTGCTCGTAAAGTCATGGTCTTGTCGCCACCGCTGGGCTTTTGTTGTAAAAACTGAGACGGAGCAAGAACAACTAGGATTTAATAAAGTACATTCAAACGAGCGGCGCTGCTGCTGCTGCTGCTGCTGCTGCTTGACTCCGCTTTCAATCAATATCGTCGGCACTTCGCCTTCCTCCAACAGCATCCACCAACAAGGAACGACGGAAGTCTGCCAGCCGCATTGGTCGGAATTGAGCGCTTGGAGAACTTGACACATCAGCATCAGCAGCCGCTGCTCCCTCGGCGTCCATCCACTCGCGGAGGGGAATAACCGCCGCCGTCCGACATAGCTCGTGCAGATCGCTGCCAGAGTATCCGTCAGTCATGGTTGCGAGCGCTTCGTAATCAAACCCTTCTTCGAGACGCTCGTTTGCCAAAATGACCTTCAGAATGTCGCAGCGTTGCCTTCGTGCTGGAAGAGGCACCGCAAACGTCTTGGGCATTCGCCGGAGAATAGCCTTGTCCACGTCGTACGGGCGATTCGTCGCGCCCATGATGACAATGCGGGAAGTGTGTCGGTCGGTGCCGAGCCCATCCCACAGCGTCATGAACTGCGATTTGATGAGGGCCGTGGCCTCGTGGTCGGACGACTGGCGCTCGCGAAGGAAGGCGTCAATCTCGTCAATAAACACAATGGCAGGCTGCAGCTTTTCAGCGAGCGTGAACACTGCTGCCACGAGCTTCTGGGACTCGCCGTACCACTTTTCCATGAGGGAGGCGATCTGCAGATTGATAAACACGCAGCCGGATTCGCGTGCAACCACCTTTGCCAGCATGGTCTTGCCGCATCCGGGGGGTCCATGCAACAGAACACCCGTTGGCGCGTGAAGCAGCTTGCTGCCCGTGGCAAACAGGTCTGGCCGACGGAATGGCAACACCAGGCACTCCTTCAGCTCGGCCGCGGTCTTGTCCAATCCACCGATGCTAGACCAGGTCACATCAATATCCGTCGGGTCGACGATATCTGCAGCGATCAGCGCCTCGTACTCTGTGAGCTGCAATCACAAGAAGGAGAAATGAGTTCAATGAGGAAATGAGGGTGGAGTAGATTTTTTTTTATTGTCGGCTCCGCTCTCCGATTGAGCGGGGGGGGTTGTTTTTTGTTTTTGCGTTCAACTGTTCCGTCTTTGGAATACAGAACCAAACGTTTCTCAGACAGACTTGTGTAGTTAAGGTTTACCTTGATGTTGTTGCGATTGAGCCTTCGCAGCATGGATTGACCGCGCTCGCGAGCGACGTCCTTCTTCTGCACAGCACAAACAGGGAAGGGGTGTAGTGAGGAGTCAAGATCAAGCAAGCAGGCGACGCAGGCGAGTGAGTATGAACTCAGGGTCTGTGGCTAGGACAGCGTCATGTGCGCGACTGCTGTGGACCAACGAGCTCCCCACCCCCTCCCAGCAGCTTGTCAAGACCTGAGTGAGCACTTGGAACAGTCAGAGCGTGTGTGTGAGTGAAGGGGACGATGGGGGACTGGGCTGCGTCGTCGTCGTCGAACACTCAGCCAGCCGCATGGACCAAAGGAGATGCCCACCCGCTGCAACGAAGGCACATTCGAGCACCAGCCGAGGTATGGGAGTGCTCTGTTGGGGGAATGACATCCAAGGCAGCTTTTTTCCAATGCGGGTACTACCTTGCGCATGGGATCCATCGCGTGCATGAGATAGCGCACAGCAAGAAAGCCGACAAGCTGCGAAAGCCCAAAGATGAGCACGTCGGCGCGAGTGATTTTCATTGGGAGTGTTGTGGCTGTATTGACAACCAATGAAAACGGAAAAATGACTAGATGAGAAGATGGATGGAGGAGATGTGAGGAAAAAAATACCATGGATGGAGCGTTGAACTCACAGAGCGAACTGAACGGTTGAAGAACGGCGAACTGAACGGCGAGCTGAATGTTGTTGAACTGAATGTTGAATCTCGAGCTCTAGCTTGCACCGCTTTACTCACTCGACTCAGATCGTCAGATCCGTCTCGTTCAAAACCCCCTTTTGCTCTCCATGTTCCAAACTCCAATCCTCGCGTATTTCCGCTCACTGAATCCCCATTCTATTCCTGCACACTTTCAAATGTAGTAGTCCAGTCCCAGTTTTCACAAATCACAAAACATCTCTGAGAAATGGAGTTTGAGACGACTGTCATGCAAAAGCAGGAGTGCTTTGTCTATCGCCTCCCTCCGCGCCCCTCCAACCGCGGCTTCCGGTAACCTCGCTTATTGTCATTGTCATTTGTCGGTGGTCTTTGTTTGTTTTGTTTGTTTGAGCCTCAATGGTTGAAATCATCGAGTGTTTTTCTTTTCTTTTTCTTTTTTTTTTTCTCTTTTTTTTTTCTTTTTTTTTTTCTCTTTTTTTTTCTTTTTTTTTTTTGTATGGCTTTCCATTGCAACTCAAACCCCTTCGTCTCGTTTGGCTCACCAACCCCCCCCCATCTTGTTTGCTTTTTGCTCTTCAACAAATAGGGCTGCTGATTGGGACTTGGAGCACCCCATCTGGTCTGGCCGCATCAAGGTCGTCACGCAAGGCGACACTATCACGATCAAGCTCGAAGACAAATCCACTGGTAAAGAATCAAAGGAAAAAAAAAAAAAAAAAAAAAAAAAAAAAAAAAAAAAAAAAAAAAAAAAAAAGAGCGAGCAACGATTTGTGTGTGCAACAGTGTTCCCGCGTCAGTCTGGCTGGTGGCCTCTGTTTTTGGAGGGATGTTTGGGGGGGGGATGTGAAGGCGTCTCGCTTGTACTTTGACACCCCGCACGGAGGTGGGAGGAATGGAACGAGCAACAACGAACGGCCGTATGAAAATCGGTTCTTTACCGTCGCTCTTGCAAACACTGTGGGACAGTGGGGACAGCGCAGCAACGTTGGGCAGCATTGCGCTTGCGTTCTGTGCGGGAATCGCGACTCTTTTGCAAGAGCAAGGCTTGGTCCGGAACGAGACCGTTCATTCAGCAGACTGACTGCTGCACTGACAAACCGCATCTAACTTGTTGCATTGTAGGCGAGCTGTTCGCGCCTTGCCCCGTGGACGCCTTCCCGGGTACAGCAGTCGAGGCTGTCATTGACAGCAGCCGCTATTTTGTGTTGCGCATCGTCGATCCCTCCGGTAAGTCCCGATGGATGGGACATTGGTCTTTTTGTCTTTTTTCCCCCTCCTGTTCACACTCTTGTGCTGACATTCTGCTCGTCTGCGCCAGGCCGACATGCCTTTATTGGTCTTGGATTTGCGGATCGAGGAGACTCGTTTGATCTCCAAGTCGCACTTCAAGATCACTTCAAGTTCCTGCACAGCAGCCGCGAGATTGAAAAGCAAGCTGCCATGGCGAAGGCCAATCCCCAGCCCTCGCTTGACCTTGGATTCAAGGCCGGCGAGAAGCTCCACATCAACTTTGGCGTAAGTCTTTGATTCCTTTGTTCACTTTTCGTTGCGGCTGGGTTTGGGGGTTTGGTTTGCGCTCGGCGGCGTGACTTTGCATTTTTGCAAACCGATTTCTCGACACGATATCTCAACTCGACTCTTCCACCTCGCTGGGCCTTCCCTGCACAGAAAAAGACGGGAATCGAGGCTGGACACGCTTCTTCCGCTTCGGCAAATTCCAACGCGTCCTCATTCATCTTGCCGCCTCCTCCAGCATCAGGATCGACCGTGATTGCCCCTCCGCCCAGCAACGGCGGCTCGCGCGTACGAGGCCATCAACAACAAGCGCCAGCGACCGCGACCTCCTCTTTCTTTGGCGCCCCAGCTCCTGCCGCAACCGCGAGCCCAAGTCTCGCTGGCTTTGGTCAGGCTCCACCGCCCCAGCAAAACTTTGCTGCCGATCCGTTCGGAGGCGGCTGGGGCCAGCCTGCTGCTCCCGCTGCCGCCCCTCAAGCTTCGAAGGATGCTTTCGACTGGACCAAGTTTTGAAGTCGCTTTTCAAGTGTCTGTTTTCACAATTTTGTCCGTCCGCGAGCTCTTTGGAACATTTGTGGGTTTGAGCGTTCATCCGTGTCATGTAGTATTGCGTGTGTAGAGAATGTGTGCGTTATTGGAAAATACAAGTACAATGAAATTGGAGTCGTTCACTTTTGGTGTCTTTGGCCGAAGGCACAGTTTCGGCAGGCAGAACTCGGTCGTGCGCAAACTAACTTGCTGTAGTAGGCACGACTGGAGCCTCAGGACTTGACGTGCCACGCCACACGCTCACTACAACCATCCCAAAGGCGATATTCAAAACCACACTAGCGATTCCTGCCACGAGGAATGGAGAGAATGGAATCAGCCGTGTTAGATGCAGCAGCACTTGGCTGGCACGATCCACGAGTGCGAGCTGCAGATTGGGAGACTCTTGCACTGGGGATGGAGATCGCAGCCGATCCAGTTCTTCAAATTCCTCGGCAAGATTCGGCAAAGAGGCTGGCACAAGGGGTTCGATGTTCATCTGTGTGGTCGTACTTGCTTCATGAATGGAAGGGGAATCGATTTGCATCATTTCCAAGTCGCGTTTCGCCCACTACAAGCGAACGAGAAAACAACCTCCAAAATGTCAGAGCGACACCACAACAACCAAAACCAAACAAGCCAACTCTCGCAAAACAGAACAGCTTGAACTCACCAGCGACACCGGAGGTCGCAGAGGCGAAGGGCGATCAGGCAGTACGATTGAGGCTGGAAGAATAAGATTGGATAGTCGCGGCTTCAGCCTGGGCGATGAATCCAAGTCCGCCAAACTGCTAACTGCCGGAGACGGCGGGAGCGACACAGACGGCGATGGTGCTGAGCCTGAGGAAGTCCTGCCCAGTCCATGCAAGGGTTTAGGGGTGGAGCGGTCCCTCGCCTTGCCTGCATCATGAAGCGATAGTGCATCCAAAGCCAAATGCTCTCGCTCGTCTTCGTGCGCACAGTGGTGTCCATATTCTGATGGCGCCGGCGAGTACGAACGCGATGCAGGAAGCGATGTGGAAACGACAAGGGGCACCGTCGTCACAGACGATAACGAGTGCACAATAGACACGAACGAAAAGACAAGGCCGTTCTACGTGTGGCCCAACAGGTCAAGTGAGTGGCGCTTTTTTTTTTTCCTTTTTTTTTTTGTTGTTTTTGCAGCAACGTGCGCTGTCGCTGGATTGTCGGCAAAGTGGGGGAGAAAACACATACCGTGACGGATAAACCGAAAAGCAGAGCAATAGCCATTGAGGAATGCTTGGAATTGGATACAAACCCAACGATGCTCAAAAAAATCAATGTCAAGCAGCTCTGTCAAGCGGTGCAATTCGACATTCAGTCAGCCAACTCTACAAATCCCAAATGTGGCAAAACTCAACAAGGTCTCCAACCAGGATACTCACTCGAATTAACAACGACCAGAGATGAAGCCGTTGAAGTCGTTTCTTTTTGGCTCGGCAAATGAGCAAAACTGCAAAGAGCTGCAACAATGACATGTAAGGCAAATAGCTGGTAAGAGCTGTTTCAATGGCGACGGCTGGAAACTGCATTGCATGTTGCCCCTGGTTGGTGGTGAAGAGCGTGTCAACCAGGGCAGGAGCTAATTTATAAAGGCTCCCTGACACGGCCACAGCAATTGTTTGCCCAAACCACGAATAGTGGAGGTCTGATTGTAGCCCTAGCTCAAAGTCTACGACAGAACACGACAGGGCCGCAACAAGAACGGTGAGCATACCATGTCGCCAAAGTGTGTACAAAACGACAAACTCTAAACATACCGTCTTCAAGTAATGCACCCAGCGTGACCAAGACGAGCAGCCAGTCCAAGATGGAAGCAGCCACTTGTGTACATGCCACAAGACCTATCTCGATGTGAGGTCGTATTGACTTCTGTCAAGTTGCACGCTGTTGTGAGCATTGGAACAGTCACACCACACAACGCCAGAAGCACCACAAACAGGAATAGGTCGCTGGTGTGTTCTATTGATGAGCTCTTCAACTCGCTGGAGAGTTTCGGCCTCCCGCTGCCGGACGAGCTCGGATTGCACGGCTGCGGTGCATCGACCGCAGAGTGAAAATATCCGTTCAAGCCGGAGTCGGTAGGCGTCCACTTCCTCGTCAAATGCATTCTGGTTGATGTAAGATTGGCAGCAGCATTCAATGAGTTTTTGTTTTCGTTCAGAGTGGCAGCAAGCTGCAACCTTTCAAACCAAAAAAAAAAAAACTGAGAATTTCAATTCGATACCTCGTTTTGCGGCTCGAATGATGCTAGCTGCGCCATCTTGATTTCCTGATTCCGACTACATGATGTGCACAGCACAGGATGCGACTGCTGCAAGTTCGCTGGCTGCTGACCAAAGCGCCATGTCGGCGTTTGGGCGGATAGGGCCAAAGAGGCCACGTGAAACCGCGGATTGAGGCTCTCGTCCGCCTGGCCCGGGATTGGCTGGTTGTAATCGCCATCCTGTTGTGTGGATTGCATTGTGTGGAACGGTGAGCGAGCGGGTGGCGCGCCACTGCTGGGAGAGCGAGTGGAGCGAAATCTCGGCCTCTCTCTACTATCGACTTTGACAGGGAGAAGTACGTGGCAGCTGAAGCATTACCTCGTCGAATCCGTTGTACTGAAGGCATGACGTGCATGTCCACGAGTTGACGGCGTCGACGGCGACTTGGCAGCGGAATCGACAAAACCAGCACTCGACAGACGCAACAGTTTGGCTTGGCCGATGCTTGGCGACCAACCCGCCCCAAATCGATCGCCACATGAGACGGGGGGAGAGTGAGCTGGAGCTTAATGTGGAGACTATTGATGGAATTGATGGATGAACACAAAATAGATGAAGCTACGATTGGTTGTGTGAGGCGAAAACAAAATCGCACGACTTATGCAGAAGAGGGAGGTGGAACTGTGCAATAGATGCAAGTGTATTACAAACGTATGGTACGACAGCACATGCACAACCAACCGAATCCAAGCGAAATTCAAAGTCAACAGGCATTGTTTTTGTCTCGGGAACCAAAAAAAAAAAAGTCCGTTCACTTGCGCTTGCCGGTAGGCCTGAATTCGTGGAATTAGGTGTCAGAGCAAGTAGACAGAGTGTGTCACGACGCAAACAAGATCAGTGAGAGACAGGGCGCGATAAAAACTCAACTCTTAACACCCTCTACTCACTTGTCGTTCTCCGAGAACACGTTCAGCATAAGAGTATCGGCTTCGAGATAGACGCGGTTGGGCGACTGAGCAATGCTCTCGGCGATTTCGCGTGCAGCCTCGATGCGGCGCAACTGAAGGAAACCAGGGTTCTTTTGGATGGCAACACCGACCATCTTGGCTGCAGCTGCCTCACCCTCGGCCTTGACAATCTTCTCCTGTCGATCTTGCTTGGCCTTCTCGACGATGAACTGCGCACGTTGTGCCTCCTGTTGTGCTACTTGCTTGGCTTCGACGGCGCTGCTGTACTCTCGCGAAAAGCCAAGGTCGGTAATCGAAACATCGTCAATGACAATGTTGAAATCTGTAGCGCGATCAATCAGCTGCTGGGCAATCAAGCGGCTGACTTTCTCGCGTTGGGTAATGAGCTGGGAAGCGTTGAAGCGCGCCACCACGCTCTTGAGTGTCTCGTTGACGATCGACGGGAGCACTCGCTCGTCGGCATCAGGACCAAGCTGTCGGAAAACGGTGGCAAGTTGGTTGACGTTTGGTCGAGAAAGGACACGGATGGTGATGTTGACCATTTGGAGATCTGAAAGCGGAATGAGAGGGGGGGGCAAAAGGCGTGAGCTCCAAAACAAAACAAAAAAAAAAAAAACAAAGGAGACTTCAAAGACCTGGAGATTGCGCATGCTCCATCAACACGCACAATGCAATCTGCACAGCAATAGCAACATTCAGGTACCTTTGCTGCCTGTCAGTGATGTGATGCGGTGCGGCTTTGAGCGAACGTCGAAATCAATGGGATGGTGAAACCACGGCACCCTTGATTGTGAACAATGCGCCAGAAGCGTGATGGCACGTTTGTAAGTGTTTTGTACCACTATCGGATACCCATATCAAAAACGCCGTTGTAGACTCATCGACGATTGCTACAAAAACTCACTTGAAGTGGAGACCTTCGGCGTATACCTCGTCCTTGACGCCACCGAGGCGGCTGAAAATGATGGCGCGGTGACCTTGGTCCACTGTCAAGATTGGCCAACCACGACCACAACGCATCAGAGAGTGAGTGACTCCAGGTCAAAGCCAAAGCCAAAATGCGTTCCAAGCAATGAAGCGCAATAGAAAATGGAGAGATCTCCATTGACCTCTCTTCCTCCCCTCCTCCCGCTCCAAACCCATGGCGGTCATGTTCTCCCAGTCGCAGTCGATCGGACGCGTTTTGACGTTGCGTTGTCGTCATCACCAGCTGCTGTCTGTGTGCTCCCAGAACGAAGAACAAGTCTGCCTGCGTTTCGGGAAAGCAGCCCTTGGACCGCCAAGACAAATCCGTTCCGTCCATTGCAGCGTCCATTGCTGCTGCTGCTGCGGAGACACGACGGTTGGGTGCAATGTGCAACTTGTGTGTAGACTTACCAGTGTAGACAGACTCGGACAGGCCCCAGAGCGCACCCGCGCCAAGGAACAGGGTGCCGGCAGCGCCGCCAGCAAAACGGCTGGAGAGCATTCGAGCAGCGCCAGCCATGATTATGATGAAAAAGTGATGGTGGTTGGAAGTGGAGTGAGGCCGAGCCCAATTTCGCTCATCGTGAAATCGTGTTTGGGTTTTTTGGCGTACTGCATGATTGTGTGGCGGTGAATAGGACATGTCGATGAAAATTGAGTGTTTTTCGAGATGCAGTGCCAAACCCTGCGAAAGACGAGCCGATACGTCAGTGATTGGAGCGTCTGATCGTGCGCTTTGCTTAGCTGATCGGTTGGAAATATCATTGCTTGTTAAATTTTGGTGGTTGAGCGCGTCCTTTGAGGCGATGCTGTCCCGGTGCGGCTCATCAAAGGTTTGCCGGTTTTGTTTGGTTGAGAATTGCCGCTTGTCGAGGTGATTTTGCGACCGTTCTTTGTGCGTTTGTATCGTTTTAATTGTGTTCTACGTGATAGATGTTATTTAGATGTGGTGATGGGTGTGGTTCTGTGCGATTGTGTTGGTGGACGGCGTTTCTCGGGTGAAAGCGAAAGATCGTCTTGCAATGTAGGTTTTCATGCTTGGCTAGGGGTGTTTTTTTTTTTTTTTTTTTTTTTTTTTTTTTTTTTTTTTTTTTGCTGGTTTCGTTCAAAAGTACTGTACAAAAAAATGCGCAATGACAAGCTATCCAAAAGCATCCCAATACGCTGGAATACACTAAATCCTACCCTCGTCGGCTGTACGGATACGATACGACTCTGGATATTGCAAGATCACGCTTCGCTGTATTCGACATCAGAGGCTACAGTGCATCCACAGACAGACTTCACCAACGACGACCTTGATCGTCGTATATGACCCTGAGTGCTTCGAATAGCGCATCCTTGGCAGACGGGCTGAATCGAACTTGAACTTCCGAGCCATCGCCTATTTGTCCAACGATGGGATGACTCGCTGGCTCGATCGTCAGAAGGTCAAAGGTCGAGCTGAGAGCAGTCGGTTTCGCAGTAAAACTGTATGGAAAACATCTGTCATTTCGGACAATCAATTTAACCTCGCGGTCACCGGTGCTGTCGGTAGGCGTCGTCCTCTCACGCAACACTTGAATTGCTTTCACACGGATTGCGTTTTCAGGCACTGTGACCTTCAAAACATCGTTGACCTCATTGCCAAAAACAGACCGCAATCGCTTGATGTGCTGTACACCTTGCCAGTAATGCGCTTCGTTCATGAGGCGCTCGGCAATCTCGGTTGGCAGTGCGGGCAGAGCTGCTGCCGATTGATCCTCCAGCTCCGGTCCGCTGATTAGCAAGTGGAACACGGTCTGAACGTCTTCAGCACTTGCAAATCGTGGAAGTAAGGAGAATGCAAGAGGATTTATCTGGTAGTCGATGCTGCGCAACCATCAAGCAGGCAAGAAAACCCAAGAAGACGTGAGCAAGATCCAGACCATCGATTTAAGAAACATGTGCATCAACAATCGGCTCTATTGTCAAGGGACGAGAGCCTACTCTAGTCGCGTTAGAATGCTGTCGCCAGTGCAGGCATGGACGAGCGCTTGAACGCCAACATTGCCAATGCAGTTAAATCGCAGACTGTCGCCCAAACGGTGAGCAGGAGAACAATATCCGACTGACAAAGCGCACAGCAACTTACTTGATCCAATTCAGGTGTGAGTTCAGTTTGCGTGCTTCGGCAATTGCCTGCGCTCCAGCATCGCCAATCTGATTCACGTCCAGACTGTTGCTCTCTATCAGTTAGCACTCAATGTCTTCGGCTGAAGCCACCCCACTCGCATGCATCCGTCAACTTACAACAGGATAGTCAGCGTCTTGTTCACTTTGAGTGCTTCGGCAATCGCCTGCGCACCAGCATCGTCAATCTGATTTCCAGACAGACTGTTGTTCTCCAGCAGTTAGCACTCTCAATGCCTTCGGCTGAACCCACTCCCTTACATGCATCAGTTAGAAGAGAACCTTCATACCGAAACTCTCTCAGCGTCTTGTTTGCTTTAAGAGCCTCAGCGATCGCCCGAGCTTCAGCCACGCCAATCAGTTCATCGCACAGTCTGTTGCTCCGCTTTGTCAACATGCGCGCTGTCACACACACTTTCCAACAAACACGGCTGGATCTCACCTGTGACATTTTTTCGCATTCTTGATTCTGTCATAGAACTGGCGCTGTCGTTCGGTCATGCTCTGATACGCCAGCATTGGGAGAGCGCAGGCGCAAACAGCTTAACAACCAACAAGGACTGTCGCTCACCAAAAAAGGCCTCAAGTAGATTCAATGCCCCCCAATGGCCCTATTGTCGAATCGTGCTCTCTTCCAGATTCATACCTGGCTTTCATGTGCATACTTTACCGTACTCTGTGAGCGCCGTGGCGGACGAACGGGGAACTGCATTGAATTTTGGTGCTGGAGTGCAGTACCATGAAGAGTATTTGACTTTTGATTTCATTTCATTTCATGTCGTATCGCATTGTCTCAGTCCAACATTTTGTTTTCAAACAGGAAGCACTTTGCAATCAATCATGGGTGTCCCGGCAATGTTTCGTTACTTGTCGAACAAGTTCCCAAAGCTTGTTACGCCATGCGCGGAGACCCCGTCGACAGTGGTACTGCGCAAGCTGACACCCCCGCATGCTCTTGAATCGAGAGTCACCCTAGTAGAGAGAGAGAGAGCGAGAGTTGCGCGACGGACGAAGGACATGAGCGTCGTTGAATGCTCCACACATGGAAAAGGGTCGATGGGAGAGTGAAAGAGAAGAGAGAGCGTTTTGCATTGCCTGAGTTTTTTTTTTTTTTTTTTTTTTTGGTGTCGTTTCCATTGCGTTGCCTTTGAGCTGACCCCCGTTTCGCACTGCTTCTGCCCGCTCACTCGTCCAACTCACGTTTGTGTGTGCTTGCTTTTGTGTTTGTGTCTCACAGATCAATGGCACCAAGGTCCCGATCGACACGAGCAGGCCAAACCCAAACCAGCAAGAGTTTGACAACCTCTACCTTGACATGAACGGTCTCATCCACCCATGCTGTCACCCCATCGACAGGTACATGCCAACGAAAACAAAACAAACAAAACAAAAAAAGGCGTCGCTTTTGCTTGTCACTCTACTCGGTGCCGTGTTTCGTGGTGGCCTATTCTGTTTGCTGCGCCATGCTTGGAATCGTTCTCCACCCAACTCCTTTTGGTTTGATGGTCTGCATTGTGGTTGGCATACTCACACATCTTGGTCTAAATCTGTTGTTTGACAGACCGCCGCCTGCGTCCGAGGACGAAATGATGGTGCTGATTTTCGAATACATTGAGCGGATTTTCGCGATCGTCCGCCCCCGCAAGCTTGTGTACATGGCTATTGACGGCGTTGCACCTCGTGCCAAGATGAACCAGCAGGTAATCCAAGCGCCCATGACAATCATTACAAGACACCGTTCCCCCCTCCCCTTGGGCCAGCAACACTAACTTTGATCAAACTTCATTCGCCTCGCTAGCGTTCTCGCCGATTCCGCGCCGTCCGAGAGGCTGCCGAAAGCGCCACCAAGCTTGCCGAGTTGCGCGCCAAGTTGGAAGCTGATGGTACGAATGCTCTATGACTTGTTGCGGTTGCCAATGGAATAATTCTTCTTAAAATCCGGTGTCTGTCTGCTCCATGTCTTTTCCCCGCCTCCCTTTGCCCTCCATCAGGCGTTCGACTGCCCCAAAAGAAAGGCCACAAGTTTGACTCGAACTGCATCACTCCCGGCACAGAGTTCATGGAGCAGCTGGCTGTGTGTCTCCGCTACTTTATCCACCGAAAGCTGATGGAAGATCCTGGCTGGCAGAACATCAAGGTCATCCTCTCGGACGCCAACGTTCCCGGCGAGGGCGAGCACAAAATCATGGACTACATCCGCCATCAGCGTGCGCACCCCGAGTACGATCCCAACATCAAGCACGTCATGTACGGCGCGGACGCCGATCTCATCATGCTCGGCTTGGCAACGCACGAGATTAGCTTTACCATCATTCGAGAGGAGTTTGTGCCCAACACACCGAAACCCTGCAGCATCTGCAACCAAATGGGCCACGAGAGCACCGAATGCCGCGGAGAGGCTTCCGTGCCTGACTCTACCGTCGAAGCCGCCCCTGCAAGCGGGCCCAAAAACTTTATCTTCATCTCGATTCCCATTCTCCGCGAGTACCTCTCGCACGAATTGCTCATTAGCGAGCGGCTGCCGTTCGAGTTTGACATTGAGCGTGCGATCGACGATTGGGTGTTTATGTGCTTTTTCGTCGGAAACGACTTTTTGCCCCACCTCCCCTCGCTCGAAATCCGCGAGGGTGCCCTCGAGACGCTCTTGAGCATTTACCGTCGCCGCCTGCCGAGCATGGGCGGATTCATCACCGACAGTGGTCAGGTTGTTGTTGAGCGTGCCCTCGAGATTCTCCGCGAGATCGGCACCATGGAAGACAGCATCTTCCAACGCCGGCACTCCGAAGACGAGCGCCAGAAGCGAAACGAGCAGCGTCGCGAGCAAGACCGCAAGCGTCGCGAACAGAGCGAACGCACCTGGTCTCCTTCCATGCAATTGTCTCAGCTCGGGGGCCCTTCTTCGAGCTCGCCTGCTCAACGCGCCCCACTCTTCTCCCATCCTCCTGGTTCTTCATCAGGCCCTGCTCACTCGTCTGGCTCATCTGCACTTCCAAAGCCGCCTGTGCAGAGCGACGCCGAGGGCCACCAAGCGAAAAAGATCAAGCCCGACAACTCTGCCAATCGCGACGCTGCCAAGGCACTCAAGGCTGCCCTCAGCGGCAACGCGACGGAAAGTGTTTTGGATGCCGCTGCAGCTGAGGCGGCCAACGCGGCGACCAGCGGCGACGCGCCTGTGGAGACCAGCAGCAGCATGGCGACCGACCAGGAGCCTCCGAAAGGCGTAAAGCGAGCTCACTCGGAGACAGATACGACACCAAGCGTTTCTCGTGACAACTCGCTCGCCAGCGAGTTTACGTTCGCGCCCGCGCCTGCTGAAGAAGCGCCCGCTGCAGCTGCCACCGCGACACCCGCGCTAGCTCGGGCATCCACTTCGTCACGCTCAAACACCCCTGCGCGCGGCGGCGATGAGGATGGCGAGGACGGCGGTGACAATGACGAGGTTCGCCTTTGGGAGCAAGGCTGGAAGGAGCGCTACTACCAAAACAAGTTCCACGTTTCTGCCGACGACAATGATTTCCGATCCAAGCTGGCTGCCGCGTATCTCGAAGGGCTCTGCTGGGTGCTGCAGTACTACTACCAGGGCGTGCCGTCGTGGAAGTGGTATTATCCCTACCATTACGCTCCGTTCGCGTCTGACTTGCCCGCCGCCACCAACGTCAACACCAAGTTCGACAAAGGACCGCGCCCCTTCCGTCCGCTCGAGCAGCTGATGGGCGTGCTTCCCGCTGCCAGTGGCAACTTTGTGCCCAAGACGTGGGCCAAGCTGATGAGCGACGACGAGTCCCCAATCCTCGACTTTTATCCCACCGAGTTTGAGGTCGACATGAACGGCAAGAAGGCTGCATGGATGGGCGTTGTGCTTTTGCCCTTCATTGAAGAAAAACGGCTGCTGGATACCCTGAAAACTGTGTACGACGACCTCCGCCCCGAGGAGGTGGAGCGAAACAAGCTCGGATACGAGGTTGTCTACGTGGGACACAAGCACGCCGGTTTCGACAGCATGTGCACCATCTACAGCAACAGCGCGCCCCCGCTGCCCACAGAAATCGAACCAAAGCTGTTCCAACAGATGGCTGGCAAGCTCGATCACGATGATGCGGTCTGTCTTCCCGGTAGCACATTCATCTCTCCTCTCCTCGAGTTTGGCCAAGAGTCGCTCGACAACAACCAAGCAATCAGTGCCAAGTACTTTATGCCAGAGTATCCCCGTGATTTCATCTTCAAGGCGACCATTCATCCCGCCGCCACACGTCCCCCGCCGTTGCTTACGCCTCAGGATTTCGAGGGCAAGAACAAGCAAATGCGTGGATACAGCCAACACAACAATGTCATCAACCACGACATGAACCGACCCCAGATGTCTCTCAACCCAGCCTGGCTTCCTCACTCTGGCGGCGGCGGCGGCGGCGGGTATGTTACTTTTTGTTTGAGATTGGATTGTGTTTGATGTTGGTACGAACTCTCTCGCTTACTTGTGGTGTTCTTTTTTTTTTGGTCGATCATCTTTGTAGCGATCGTGGTGGTTTCCGGCGCCACGACAGCGATGACCGTCGTAACAATGGACAACAACGCTTCGATCCTTACTATGGAAACCGAAATCAAGGTGGCCAGGGCTACCCGCGTGAAGACCGCGGTGGCTACGAGCAACGTGGCGGCTACGAGCACCGCGGGGGATACCGCGGAGGTCGAGGTGGTTTCAATGGAAGTCGTGGCGGCCATGATGGCTCCGACAATCGCGGCGGTTACGAGGGCAATCGCGGCGGTTATGAGGGCAATCGCGGCGGTTATGAGGGCAACCGTGGCGGTTATGAGGGCAACCGTGGCGGGTACGAGGGCAACCGCGGTGGCCAGTACAACCATCGTGGCGGGTACGACAACCACCGAGGAGGATACGGCGGCGGTGCCAGCAATTCTCCGTACGCGTCTCGCCCGCTGCCTTCTCACTATGTGCAGCCACCCCAGCAGCAGCAGCCACAACACCACCACCAACAACACCAACACCAACAAGGTTATAACGGAGGATATGGTGGAGCGTCTGCGCCTCCTGCCGCCGCCCCTCAGTACGGGTACGATTCGCGTGCCCACGGCGGTCGACCTCCGCAGCAAGGCTACTACACGGGACCTGCGGCCCAATCCTATCCGCCGCAGCAGCAACAACAGCCGCACCACCAGAATCAGGGGCAGCAGTACGGCGGTCCTCAGCAAGGCGGCTACCAACAGCCCCGACCAGGCACCTCGCCGTACGCTCGCCGCTAATCTTTATCGACTCTTGTTGTTTGTATCCCTTTTCCACTCTTTCGGGTGCACTGGCCTTCGTTTTTTATGTTTTGTAGTAAACAATTCCAGTTCTTGTCCTGTTGCTGTCCTGAACATTGACCGAGAGCTCCTCTCCTCTGTGTTTGTCATGTCTGCGATGTACGTGTCTGTTTGTGTGTGTGTGTGTCCATGCATGTAAGCATCAAAACGATGAAAATGTTTGACGTATTATACATAAAAAGCACGCTCAGTGCCCTGGCGAGTTTCCCCGCCCTCTTCCACGAGCCCATGCTCAGGTTAAAAACAAAAAAGGATTTCAGTTCTTGGATGCAGCGGCAGCGACGGCTGGGGCGACAGCAGCGGCGGGCTTGATGGCCTGCACAAGGACGGCGTTGAGCAAGGCAACAGCAACAATCAGGGCGCCGCCGGGAATGGTCCAGTTGAGCAAGTTCATGATGTTCGAATTACGAGCCCGAGCGAAACACTGTTCAAGTCCAAGCCGGCGACCACAACACGGCAGCAAGCAGGAAGAGCATGGAAACAGAGTGAGATCGTTGCTTTTAGCTTGGCAGTTGTTGCAGTGCAGCTCGAATCCAGCAGCCAGCGATCGAGGACACGCAATGAGGCGAGCAATGAAGGTTGTTGGAACAAAAGGGGGATGGGGGGGGGGGGAAGGTGCATGGGGTTTGGGAGGGCGATTGGGAAGGACGCGAAAGCCCCAATGCATCCCAATACACTTTGCATAGACAGGCTTACCTTGGATTTGGAAAAGTGACTGTGCGTGAGGACTGCAGCCAAATCAATCAATCAATCAATACCAAATATTAAATGAGTATGACAGAGTCAGCGATACTGCGAATGGGTTACCCAAGAGCGAGAGAGAGAGAGAGAGATAGAGAGAGAGATAGAGAGAGATGAAGCCGAGTTTTCCAGCCAGCCAGCCAGCGTCACCACTCTTCTACTTTTATGAAAACCTTTTCAATCCTGCCCTCCTCTTCGCTCCCCAATCATATTCATGCCAAGCTCAGACTTTTCGCCCAAAACCGCACAAACCGCACTCTTTTATTTTTTCAATTTTTTCGATTTTTTCAATTTTTTTTATTTGTTTGAGCTTCAATTCAAACACACAAGCAAAAAGCAAAGCAGCAAGCAGCGACTTTATCTCCCGCTTCCTCATTGCGATCATGGCGTCTGGACTCATGAAAATCGACCCAGAGCAGCTGTACGAGCGCCAGGAGCGCATCGGCAAGGGCTCCTTTGGAGAGGTATTCAAAGGGTAAGCCAAAAGTCAACCGGGGCTGCTTTCGTTCGTAGGGGAGCGGAAGCGGCCTGTCCTGTTCTTCAATCCAAACTATGTGGGGCAAGCGCGACTGTTCGAGCTGCTGAGCTGTTGAACTGGCGACGGAAACCGTTCAGTGGACTGACGCAAAAGTCAACTCAATGCAATTCAATGCAATTCCAGCCTTTTTTTTTTTTTTTTTTTCCTCTTCCTTCTGCGTATTGACCTGACCCCTCTTTGCTTTGCTTTGCTGCTGTGCGCTTGCATGCTTGCATGGCTGTCGTTGTCGCAGAATCGAGCGCACTTCGCGGATGCCCGTCGCGATTAAAATCATCGACCTCGAGGCGGCCGAAGACGACATTGAGGACATCCAGCAGGAAATTGCGCACCTCTCGCAATGCGACAGTGCGTATGTGACGCGGTACTTTGGGTCGTACTGCAAGGGGCCGCAGCTGTGGATTATCATGGAGTACCTCGGCGGCGGCTCGGTGCTCACGCTGCTCAAGCCCGGCCCGATCGACGAGGTTCACATTGCCATCATTATGCGCGAGATGCTCTTTGGCCTGGACTACCTCCACCAGAATGGCAAAATTCATCGTGACATCAAGGCCGCCAACGTACTGTTGTCGAGCGACGGCCAGGTCAAGCTGGCCGACTTTGGTGTCTCTGGTCAGTTGACCTCGACCATGTCCAAGCGCAACACTTTTGTTGGCACTCCGTTCTGGATGGCACCTGAGGTCATCAAGCAGTCTGGTTATGATTGCAAGGTGTGTGTGTGTGAGTGAGTGAGTGAGTGTGTGTGTGTGTGCGACAGGTACTTGCCCCACTTTCGACTGATTTGACTCACACACATTATCCTTTCTCTCATCTTCCTAGGCTGATATCTGGTCGCTGGGCATCTCCGCAATTGAAATGGCAAAGGCTGAGCCACCACACGCAAACATTCATCCTATGAAGGTACTCTTCATCATTCCCAAGGACCCTGCTCCAGTGCTTCACGGCATGTTTACGAAAGCCTTCAAAGAGTTTGTAGCACTGTGCTTGAACAAGAATGCTGCCGAAGTAAGATTGATTCCGTCTCGTTTTGCTTTTGCTGTGCTTGAGCGGGTCTTGTGGGCTATCTGCTCTTTCGTTTTTGTGTGAGCTTGCAGCTGAACGATCGTTTTGCTGCTGTTTATTGACATTCAGCGTCCTTCGGCGCGAGAGCTGCTAAAGCACCGTTTTATCGTTCGCGCAAAGCGAACGCAATATCTCCAAGAACTAGTCGAGCGATATCAGCAATGGGTGGCTGTCCAGGGCGAACAAGATCACGGCGACTCGACCAACGCTTCAAGGTGAGCCTCGCTTTTTTTTTTTCGATTTGTTTCGGTTTGTTGTTTTGTTTCGGTTTGTTTTGTTTTGTTTCGGTTTGTTTGGTTCGGTTTCGGTTTGAGTTTCCGCTAGCAATGCTTGTCTCACTTGTCTTGCATCGGATTTTGCGTGCGACATTTCCAGTGCTGCAACCGTCGACGCGGATGAAGAAGCCTGGATTTACGAAACAGTCAAAACAATGAAACATCAACGCAAGGTGAGAGACCAATTCCAGGCTTATTGTACCCCTGTCAACACGTCTGTTGATTGACAGCTTGTTGTTCATTCGGTTGTTACTAGGCTGCGCTACAACGACAAGATAGCGACTCGACCATGTTGGGCGATGATAGGTAAAAAAAAAAAGCTGTCTGGTTGCGTGTGTCCTCCCTCCGCCCTCTCTTCTCGGGTTTGGCCATCAAGCTCATCATGTTCTGCTCTTCCATTTTCTGATTCAACAGCTTGGCAGGTGGATTGCCAAGACCTTCAGGCACCGACAAGAGTTCCATCTATTCGACAATCAACTCGCGCACTGAAAACCCGACGCTTAGCGGCGCTTCGGCGAACACGACAGGGAGTGCAGCTTCCGGCACACCCTCAAACACTAGCGATGCTGTTGATGTCAAGACTTCATCATTGAGCGCACTCTCGGGACTGCTTCTTCCTTCGATCGAGGCGCTGAAGGGAGAATCGACCGAAGGCAACAAGGCACTCGTGTTGCTCGCCGAAGCCTTGCAGCGGGCGGAAGCTGCCCAACCAGGTGTGGCATTAAGTCTGGTCGATCGGATAGCAGACCAGGCAGCCGGCGTAACGCTGCGTCGCAACGGTGTCGTCACTCCCTCCACTGCCCCAAGCGGCACGTTTGCTACCACAAGCGGCAGCACTGCGGCCAATGTCCGAGGCACTGCAGAGTATCTTTTTGCGCGCTGGATGAACAAGTGTGTTGAGGTGGACGGCAAGGCTTTCAAGTAGCCAAAATGGATATGGTTTTTGAGATTGCCGCGTTCCTGTGACGTCGGCTTCACCTTGCATTTGCGGTTTTTTTTGCGTGTGTATGTGTTTTCTCTGATGTACTGTGATGAGATGCGTATTTTCCCCCCTCTAGTTTCTTGCCAGCTTGGCCTGATGACAAACTCTGAAATGGAGAACAAAAAAAAAAAAAAAACGCAGACCCCTCACTATTCAAAGCAACTCTCCAGGTTTGTCTCAAGGTCCTGACTTGACTTTCGAAACTACTAGGACACAAAGACACGGTCGTCGCTGGGTCACTTTTCATTTCTTTTTCTTTGCTTTTTTCCTATTCACAATGGTAAGCTTTTTTTTTTTTTTTTTTTTTTTTGCTTTTTTTTTTTCGCTTGTTCTCCATTCAACCCCCACATTGGAACCACGCGTTCCACTCGTCCCGGCTCGGTTTGATCTCTGTCATCCAAGCACCCTTGTTCTTCTTGCCATTCTTCACTGTTGTCTCATTGCCCTCTGGTTGTTGGATGATTTTGTATGGGGTTTTCGCTGACTTTGAGATCTCTTCGTTTTTTTTCTTCTTCGTTCTGTGTGATTGCTCCCTCCCCCTACAGCCTCTCCGCCTCGACATCAAGGTACGACTCCATTATATCCGCCATCCACTGCCCTCTGCGCAACCCCTTTGTTCCCTCGGTCTTCTCCTCCCTCCCCCTCTTTCGTCCTTGATTCACTTGCTCTGGTCCATTGTTCCATTGCGTTTCTGTCGAGCTGGCGTTTTTCACTCCTCCCCCTCCAGTCTCACCCCCCTTCGCCCCGCGTCGCCACAATCGCTTCTCTTCCTTCGTCTCACTCTCAACTCGCTCCCCGTAAAGTGGCGCGCACGGCCCAATCACAACACGCCACCCAACAAGTCCCTTTCAATTCACCACGGCTTTGGCTGGAAGTTTTTTTTTTTTTTTTTTTTTTTTTTTCCCTTTGGTCCATTCAATCGATTTGCAGAGATCGCCAACAAAAACACTCCCCTCACTTTCGTCGCCCGTCAACTCGACCACCTCCTTCTCACGGTTGTGCGTGTGACTTTCATACACTCGTCCTTGTGTCTTGCTTTTTGTGCGACTCACCCGACCTTGTCTCCTTCTTGCTCGAAATACTACAACGCAGCGAAAGCTCTCGGCGCGCTCTGATCGTGTCAAGAGCGTCGACTTGCATCCGGTTGAGCCGTGGGTGGTCTGCTCGTTGTACAATGGATCCATCCACATCTGGAACTTCGAGACGCAGGTCACGGTCAAGACCTTTGAGGTGACTGAGTTGCCCATCCGCGCCGTTCGTTTCATTCCTCGCAAGAACTGGATTGTTGCCGGCGCCGATGATATGGCTGTTCGTGTCTTCAACTACAACACGAGCGAGAAGGTGCATTCGTTCGAGGCGCATTCGGACTACATTCGCTCGCTGGCCGTGCACCCCACTCTTCCCTACTTGCTCACATCGTCCGACGACATGACCATCAAGCTCTGGGACTGGGATCGCAACTGGACGTGCGTGCAGGTCTTTGAAGGCCATTCCCACTATGTCATGATGGTCACGTTCAACCCAAAGGACACCAACACATTCGCCTCCGCCTCTTTGGACAAGACCATCAAGGTCTGGCAGCTCGGCTCGTCCGTGCCCAACTTTACGCTCGAGGGCCACGAACGAGGCGTGAACGCTGTGAGCTACTTTGAGGGAGGCGAGAAGCCCTACCTCGTTTCTGGCGCAGACGACCACCTCGTCAAGGTCTGGGACTACCAGAACAAGTCTTGCGTCCAAACCCTCGACGGCCACTCGCAGAACGTGTCTGTTGTGTGCTTCCACCCCGAGCTTCCCATCATTCTTTCGGGCTCAGAGGACGGAACGATTCGTGTCTGGCACGCCAACACGTACCGCCTGGAGAGCACGCTCAACTACGGCCTGGAGCGCGTGTGGGCCATTGCTCACCTCCGCGGATCCAACGCCATCGCGCTGGGCTACGACGAGGGCACAATCGTCATCAAGCTCGGCCGAGAGGAGCCTGCCATGTCCATGGACTCGTCCGGCAAGATTATCTGGGCGCGCCATTCAGAGATTCAGCAAGCCAACATCAAGGCCATTGCTGACGGCGCTGCTGAGGTCGAGGACGGCGAGCGCATTCCCATCAGCACCAAGGAGCTCGGCAGCTGTGAGGTCTATCCTCAAACGCTCTCGCACAACCCGAACGGCCGCTTTGTTGTGGTCTGCGGCGATGGCGAGTACACGATCTACACTGCGCTTGCTTGGCGCAACAAGGCCTTTGGCAGCGCTCTCGAGTTTGTGTGGTCGGCCGATTCCAGCGAGTACGCCACCCGCGAGAGCCACTCGACCATCAAAATCTTCCGCAACTTTAAGGAGCGCAAGGTGATCAAGCCCGACTTTAGCGCCGAAGGCATCTTTGGCGGCGCGCTTCTCGGCATTCGCGCATCCAACTTTATCGCCTTCTACGACTGGGAGACGACCGACCTGGTTCGTCGCATCGACCTCGTGCCCAAGTCTGTGATTTGGTCTGACAGCGGTTCGCTCGTAGCCCTCACCACCGACGATGCTTTTTACATTTTGCGCTTCAACCGCGATGCTGTTCAGCAACACCAAGACAGCAAGCAGCCCATCCCCGACGAAGGCATTGAAACCTCCTTTGACTCTGTTGGCGATCATTCTGACGTTGTTCGCACCGGCGTCTGGGTCGGCGACTGCTTCCTCTACACTAGCGCCAAGAACCGTGTCAACTATTTTATCGGAGGCGAGCTCGTCACTCTGGCCCACCTTGACTCGCCGCTCTATTTGCTCGGCTACATCGCCGAGCACAACCGTGTCTACCTCTGCGACAAGGACTTGAACGTTGTTAGCTTCTACCTTTCGGTGTCTGTGCTCGAGTACGAAACTGCCGTCATGCGCCAAGATTTCGCCGCCGCCGAAGCCATTCTGCCGCGCATTCCTCCAAAGCAACGCAACCGCGTCGCCCACTTTTTGGAGAAGCAGGGCTTCAAGGAGCAGGCACTAGCAGTCAGTGACGATCTTGAGCACAAGTTTGATCTCGCTGTCCAGCTCAAGAAGCTTAACGTGGCTTACGAGATGGCCAAGCACGCCGAGTCTGAGCTCAAGTGGCGACAGGTAAGTGGTTTTATTTTTTCTTTCGTGGCAGGAGAAGTTCGGCTTGCTCTTTTTTCCCTCCTTTTCTCTTGTGTGCGTGTGTGTCTGACTCGACTGGCATGTCTTCTCTGCGTTCATCCAGCTGGGTGAGCTCGCTTTCAGTGCTTGGGACTTGCGCCTGGCCGAAGAGTGTCTCTTCCAAGCAAAAGATCTTGGTGGCTTGCTGCTGCTGTTCAGGTACGTCGCCTCCTCCTCCTTCATCTGCTTGCATGTTCTTGGTACTTTCCTTGAAACTCCATCCATCTATCTGCTGAATCCATCTCATCTTTTGCTGGTTGTCTTGGCTACGCAGCTGCATTGGTAATGGAAACTCAATCCACAAGCTGGGCCAGCTTGCGATCGATGTCGGTCAGAACAACATTGCCTTTGTCTGCTACTTTTTGACAGGCGATCTCGAGCACTGCTTGGACTTGCTCTGCTCGACTGGTCGCTTGCCCGAAGCAGCCTTCTTTGCCCGTACATACCTGCCCAGCAAAGTTTCGAGCGTCGTGCGACTATGGCGCGAGAATCTCGCCACCACCAACAAGAAGGCCGCCGAGTCGCTTGCCGATCCGATGGAGTACGAGAATCTCTTCCCCGATCTCAGCTTTGCGCTCACTGCCGAGCGACTGATGAAGGCAACGCGTTTGCGACCCGTCCCCGCTGGCCAGTACGCCAACTTTAAGGACGAGCCCTCGCGCAACGTCATTGAGGAAGTCAAGCAGCTTTCTCCGGAAGCCATTGCTCGTCTCGAGCAGCAGCTCCTCGGTGGCTCTCCGCCGTCCCAACAAGCCCCGCAACCATCCTCACAACAGCCGCCCGAGCAGCCACAGCCAGCACAAGCAGCTCCTGCTCCCGCTGTCCGACAGGAGTCCATTCCTGAGCGTATCTCAACTCCTCCGCTTCCAATTGCTGTAAGTTTTTGATGTTTGTGGTTGTGTCCTTTTCTCGCCCCTTCTCGCCTCTTCTCGTTTTTTCTGTTTGGACTTTTGACTCACCTTCTGATCGCGGTCTCTCTCCCCTCTCGCTTTCACAGGAGCCAGCATCCCCTGAACGTACACCGCTTGCCCACGCCGCACCCAGTGGCGGCCTTCAAGCGCCCGGCTCGCCGCTGCCTTCGGCAAATATCAGCTCGGCTCCCGCCTCTCCACAGCAGCCCCGCGCTCCCCCTGCATCTGCGGCCTCGACCGCGCCCAACACCCCTGCAAAGAGCGCTCTCGCTGTTTCCTCTAGCGACGATCTTGATATCGATCTTGACGAAGATGTGGGCGAGATTGGAGACTTCAACGATGACGATGACTTGCTCGGCGACGAGTAAAGTTGTGGCACACAGCGTTCATTGAAACATCAAGTTTTCTTCTTGCTTATTCTTTTTGTTTTGTTGCTGTTATTGTCGATGAGTTTGTATTGTGTTGCTATTCTGACTGTAATTCTTTTTCTTTTTTTTTTGCTGTCAACGTACTTGTTATTTGTTTGGGATTACATTTTCAGTCTCCATCATCAGGATTTCGTGTATTCCATAGTTCATGTTGCCCAAAGCATACAGCGCCATGCCAGATTAACCCAGTCGCTATTCATTTGATAGTTGAAAACACCCCCCCCCACACGCCATCATCATGCAATCACATCCTTGTTGCCTTTCGTGGTGACAATCCGGTTGTCTCGGAAACGCATCATTTTCTTGCGATTATCCCAAACGCGACTTGTGTCAATCTTTCCAATTCGGTTTTCTTCTCCCTCGACGTGGCTTTTGATGGCGTATCGATCAACTGTTGAGCCGGAAACAGTAGCACAAGTTAGCAAAACGTAAAGTCATGCACACCGCGAGAAAAAAAAGAAAAAAAGAAAGAAGAACAAAAAAAAAAAACCAAAAAAAAAAAAAACCCCAAACAAAAAACAAACCACCAAGAAACTCGCGAACGCTTGCCACTTACGCATGACTTGACGCGTCTTTGTATCGAGGGTCTCGGAGCATACATCCGCAAGGCCAAATGTTTGCAGGTTTGATTTGTTGTGCTGGGTTGCATCGCTGGATGAAGCAGCCTGACTGAGTCGAGCGGCACAGGCGTCGGGGTCGTTGTTACAAAGACCCAAATAATACTCGATGGTTGAGACGTTTTCATGGGGGTAGATCTCGCAGAGCATCGCTACAACAGCGGGATCGGAGGATGCTGACGCCGCAATTTTGGGACTCGGCGCGGAGGGAGGCGCAGTGTCCTCCGAACTGGAGGTTTTGGCGAAAACCACAGGAGCCGTTGTATTATGAAAAAGCGCACCCTTTGTGCTTGTCGAGGCAAGCCGCGGGTGAGGGGTAGTCTTTGCTGGTGGGTGGTTTTTGCTCGACTCGCGCTGGTGTTTCGAAGGCTTCAACGTCGCTCCTTTGGCGCTGTCGGTTTCCGATGGCAGCTGAACAAGCGCTTCCGCGCAGGCAGAAACATCACCACCGGCTGCAGCAAGCTCGAAAGAAATCACATCGAGAGTTAGATGTGGGAAGAGCGCCAAGAGGTTGTGGACTTGCTCGTCCAACGGATCTTGTCGTTCAGGTTGTGCAGTAGCAACGGCGCCTGCGCCAGGCGAGGGTGCTTGCTTTTGTTGCTTGTTGGTTTTGGTGGGCTGCTGCTGGTGGGATGCGTTGCGATTTTTCTGTGACTTTGAAGATGGATTTGCTGCCGTTGACGAAACGTGTGCGCTCGATGCAATGCCATCCACGGGGGCGACATCAGCACGCTGCGATGCATAGGACACTGGCTTGCGCTCACATACGGCAAAATCCGCACTCGGGGTGCTTGGGTCCGACTTGCGCAGTGCCGAGTCCCCAGAGTCCAGATTCCCAGCCTCTAGCACTCGAGTTCTCGATAGGGACGGGGACGACGCTGTTCCGGTTGTGAACAAGGCCAGCGTCTCGGATCGCAGTCCACCCAGGGGATGCGGGGACACGGGCACGTCCAAGGGCGAGAGTTGTTGGGGTGCTGGTGCTCCTCCACCTGAAATTGGACCTGCCGGGCTCGAGTGAGTCTGTGACGCTGGCTGTGGTTGTGGTGATGACACTTCAGACGCGGTCGCAAAGGTCGGCGGCACGTTCAAATTGGAGAGTGAGACGGACAAGGCCGAATCCGGAGTGCTTGGGACACTTGACAGGGCGGACATGGACAGCTGGTGCTCGCGGTGATATTCCTGCAAGAACTCTAGAAATCCACGAACGGCCTCGGGACCATTGACGAGTTGCTCAAAGCCCGGAAGATACATGCTCAGCAAGTCGACAAATTCGAACGAGTCGGCAGAAAAGTCGCCCGCAGTCCACAAGTCGCTCAGAAAACTGTGTCACGACAGAGAGTACAAGGTACGATTTCGTTAACGAAGGCGGGGGTGGGGTGGGGGGGGCAGTGGGCAGAGGAGGAGAGTGAGCGTTTTGGCGGGAAATGCTCAAACGAACATCCAACGAATGAACCCCGTGCGTCGCAACCTCGCATGCCGCCTCCCCTGTGTTCACCAGCTTGCATGTTGCTCAATTTGAGGGGGGGGGCGGGCAAGCAGGCATGACGCAACCTGGACTGGGCTCTCCTCATCGGCTTTTGTTCCCGCCACTTCTCCCGCTCTCTCTCCCACTCTCCAATACGATGCAACTGACCTGACAATGTAGCTCTCGATGACATTTTCAACACACGCATCAGGCATGAGCTCTGCCAGAAATGACAGGAAGCGCTCCTTGAGGAAGGTGTCTGGAGCAGGCGCAGTCGTGCTGCTGCTGGCGAGCGGCATTGGGGAACAAGAAGACTGAACGAACAGCAGGGCCAGGTTGCTGGATGGACGACCACTACTACTACTACTGCTATTGCTGCTCGCACTACTTGTGCCATTATTGGAGCTGAAATAACTGCTCGTGATGCTATTGCTAGCAGACATCTGGGAGGCAGACACGGCCGCACTCGGCAATTCGGGGCCGCTGCCGTCGAGGTTCTGCCGCTGCTCTTCTGGCCGCCTCGTACATTTGTTTTTCAAGTAAATATTGAGAATTCTCAATGGCCGGAAATTGTGAATCCCTCAGGCGAATGATGAATGCGTCGCAAATTCGTGTGTGGAGCACCAAAATAGATTTCAGCGGAAAATCGAAAAAAAAAAAAAAAGAGACTGGGAATTGCATTGGCGAGAAAACTGTCATCAAAAAAAAAAAAAAAAAAAAAAAAAGGATTTCGAGGAAGACCAAAAATTTCAAGGAATAAGAAAATCAGCAAAAGATGGTGACTTTGCGTTGAAAATGGTTGGGTGGTTGAACAATGAAGGTCAAAATAAAATTAGTATAGACGAAAAAATGCTGTACATACATGCATGACGAGTGAACATTCAAAGCGCGTTCTGCCTAAATCTTCCCGGCTTGCGACTCGACATGTAGCACCGATCGAGTAACAACGTCGGTCAGCAGGTGGTCGCCGCCAAGAGCACGAATCATGCCGCAAACGACATGCCATTCGCTGGAGAGACGAGCATCCGCGGAGACGTTGCTGACAAACTCAATAATGTCGTTTCGAAGAGAACGCTGCTCCTCAGTGAGGAGCGGATCGTACTGTGGCTTGAGCAGATAGGCAGCTGTGGTGGAAGCCTCGGAGCTCAGGTAATCCAGGAAAATATCGAGGCGACGGGCTGCGATGGCAATCGAGTCGGTCGAAACGTAGAACGGAGGGAAGGCCGGGTTCTGGTTGCCCTCAGACAAATGGTCCTGCGCACTGTCAAACGGTTGGCTGTGGGTGCTGTGGATGGTAGGGTTACTTGAGATGGAGGAAGAGCGATCGCGAGCTGCGTCTGCTTGCATGGGAACCATGTACAGGTCATCTTTCCACAGCATGTCGACGATTCGATTGCGGATGAGCGTGAGGGAAGTGCCGAACTGGGTTCCAGCTCTGATGGTGGCGGGCAGGCTGCCTGCCGTCGAAGATGCCAAGGTGGTGCTTGCCGAGCCAACCGGTATCGACGGCTCGTTGGTTTTTGGCGGAGCGGTGGCGAGTGCCGTTAGTCCCGCCAAGGCTGCCGGTTGACTCGCGAGATCATTCACGATCGCCGCTGCGGAAACGACGGGTGCCGAGCTGCTCGTAGTGCTTCGAATGGCGCGTCGCACCTCGTCAACGACGCGATGAAAGTTGTCGTCCTGCAGCGAAAATCCCACAAACAACATGTGCCGTGTGATGAGCAGCGACTGCACAATGCCTTGAAGGGCCGATCGCCGTGTAGCATAGCGCATGTAGTCTTCGCGCGTCAAGACAATGTCCTCCGGGTGACTGGCGCAACCATGCATCTTGAGAATCCACCGGTCGCAATTCGAGGCGGCCGAGTACGGAAGCACGGCAACCCGGAGATTTGCCGCCTGCGACGCTATTTCAAACATTTGGTCGTAATTCGTCGTAACGACCTCTTTGACGGGGAGTCCCGCCAAGAGAGCTGAGGCAAGAGTGCACTGCAGAAGAATGGAAAACAAACAAACAAACAAACAAACGAACGACAGAGGTGAGAATGCCAAATCACTTTGTTTTGTGTGTGTATGTGTGTGCGTTGAACGAGAAGAGGTATGCATTCGTTACCTGCTTCACAGCAACGCGACGCGCAACCGCCTTTGCCAGCTCCAACGAACCGCCAATGTGCAGCTCAACCACTCGGGCACTGTCGAGATAGTTCTACAAAAGCCATTCCTCCATGAGGTCAGAGGCAAGTGCAATCGGACGAGCCGCTTTGAAGCAATCCAGTTGAAAAATGCATACCATCGTCTGGAGGACATGGCGTTCTTCAGCTGTCATGCCGGCCTCACTCGCGAGATCATCAATCAATCCGCTCCAGGACGGCAGACCAGCGCCAGTGCTACTGCCGGCACCAAGGAACAGGACCAAGTCACCGCTCTTGGCTGCTTGCGCAAGGCGCTGAGCTTGCTTGATCAGTTCTGAGTCGAGCAATTCCCACGTTTCCTCAAAGCGCCGTCGCAGAATTTGAATCGCAGCAAACTTGGAGCGGTCATTCAGGACGAGGCAAATGTCGATTCTGTGCAGACGAGCTGCGTTGTACAGCACAGGCATGAGCAGGGCCACGACACCTCCAGCGGCTCTGGTCCAAGGAGAAAGAGAGCACGCAAGAAAAATAATGGTGAGCCAGGCCACGCTCTGGCGCTACATTCAGTCCCAATGCACCAATCCAATACGACAATAAAAAGAACAATCGGCACTGACTGTTCTGCTCCGCCTTTGCCGGTACCGACGAGTGGAAGACCAATCAGATGCTTTGCCCGACGAAATCGGGGCTCGGAGCGCTTCAAGTGCGCGGAGACCTCTTGAAAGAAGAGCTTGGCACCCTCAATGTACCATGTAATGTCCTGGCAAAAGTGTCGATTGTGGTTGCTCGCCAGTTCATTGGCGGAATGGACCTCCGTGTCGCATTTGCTACATAAATCGGCGTCGTCTTGTGTGCAATGCACAACTGCGGTTGAGTCATGGCACAGGTTGCATTTTGGAAGCTGCGCAGAGCCGGAGGAGGAGGAGTAGGAGGAAGGGAAAAGAATATCAAACTCATTCAGCAACGGCGCGGGAGTCAAACAACAACGCCAACCAGAGCTGAGCAAAGCGCGTACCTTGATTCCTCCAACATTCACGAGCCACGGCTCGCTCAAGTCCGGCGAAAACGTGTCCACCCGTTTGATGCGCACACCATCATTCTTCCAATCCGCGGGCTTCGGGCCTGGCTCAATGTAGCCAGTTTTGCTCCAACAGCTCTCAATCACCATGTTCTCGTCCGTGGGAACCATCCAGGCATCGCACGCCAACTTTGTGAGATCTCCTAGAGCCACAAACACCTGCGCATAATCGACACAGTTGAGAACACCTTCTGCCATGCTTTCGCCCCTCAACGTCCGAAAGGCATTTTAAAATCCAGGACGCCTGTCAACATACATGTCCACGCTCGTCAATGTTCTTCGAGTCTGGAAACTCAGCTAGCCTCTGCGGAGAGTTCATCACGTCCTCCAACGAGCCGGCACGAGACGGGCGCGAAATACGAGCGTGGCCAGTCCTGGCGGCGGAGCTTGGTGAGCCGACGGGTTTGAATTGTGATGCCCCAACGGAAAACTTTCGCGGAGAACTCAACCCAACGGGGCGCGGTAGCCCTGGTGTTGGTGTTTTGCTTGCAGAGTCATCGCTGGTGATTGAATTTTCGGCAGCAGGCTGTGTGTGTAGGAACGATGGCTCTTCAAACAGTTCTTGTGTCGAGTCTAGCAGCTTGGTAGTAGGCACGACTTCCTCAACGTGAGAGTCAGCAGAGTTCGCGACATTCCCATTTGTTTCAGCTCGGGAATCTTCAGGGACTTCTTCTTGGTCTTGGTTGAACTGATGCGGAACTGATTCATCATGCTGGGATTGTTGGGGCTCGAGGTCTTGTTGTGGAGCCATAGGAGCTGACGCAGGATTCAATTGCGCTCTGGCAGTGTCGCCCGCTTGCATCCGAGATGTCTGACTTTGTGGTTGGCGTTGTGGCGACTGAGGCGGAGTTGAGCGAGTGGACATCGTCGTCCGACTTGGCGATTTTGGCGTGTTTGACGCGGAATAACGCGACGCAGCATTCATTGTAGAAGCGTGCTCATGATGAGACGATGACAGTGATGATAATGACGGCGATGATCCCTGTTCAGATCCAGACAACTTTGTCGCTGAGCCAGTCTGAGCAGCAGTATTCGTGCGATTTGGGATGCCTGGAACGGGCTTGGAGACAGACGCTTGTCTTGGTGGTTGTGATGACGAGCCATTTGCATGGTGATGATGATGCGCACCATTCATGGCTTGCGGGCGCTGCTGCGTGAGCTGGTGATGACTCGCGTTCGTATGAGCGTGAGAACGGGGCGACGCCATGCGGGAGCCAGCTGCATTCAACATTGCGTAGCCTGCGCCTGTGCTATGAGGACTAAGACTGCTGCTCGGGTTTGGATTCGGATGAGGAGTGGGACTCGGACTGCTGGTGCGTTGGCTGCTGGGCGCCGTTGAAGCAGTTGAAGCAGCAACAGCAGCAACAGCAGCACTCACTTCTGTCCCGCCAGCACGACCAGCACGGTGCATGGAGGACTCTGATGCATGGTGTGCATGTGCATGCGAATGGCTGTTGGCAATGCTGGTAGAGTCCGCCATTGACGGCGCTGATTTGGATGGATTGCTTGAAATTGAACCAAAAACACTCAAACGCTCAGAAAATCTTAGAAAAAAACAGGACTGCGGTGCTCAGACAGTCATCCACTTGTTTTTTCAAAGCAAGTGCTCGTTCGTTCTCAAAATCTGATTTCCATCCAATCGATTCAGTCTTCATTCAATCGTAAACGCTCAGAAAATCAGGAAAACAAAAGCCATGGATCCTGAGATGATGCGGATTATGGGGTTTGCCTCGTTTGGCGGCAGTGGCGCGACTGCGGCATCATCCTTGGCATCTTCATCCTCATCGTCGAATGTGAATGCAGCCAAGATGGCCGCAGCGAAGAGTGGAGTGAAGCGAAGTCACAACGCAATGGCAGCGATCAGCAACTACGACGACGACGACGACGACGACGACGACGTCGATCAAGATCAAGATCAAGATCAAGACAAGGATCAAGATCAAGATCAAGATCAAGAGCGTGGTCATGATCGAGCTGGTGCTGCATTGCACGCAGTGAAGCGAGCACGGCAGGACGACGACGACGACGACGACGACGAGGATGATGATGTGGGACCAATGCCAGCGCCGTCGTCCAGTGTAGGCCCAGCTGCAAATGCGACGAAAAGCACAAGCAGTGCCATGCCAATGGGACGCAAGGATGACGACAAGGGTCAGGGCAAGGATCAGAACGAGGACGACGAAGACGATGATGACACGTTCATGCCGCCGCTCCCGCCAAGCCACGCCAAGAAGGACGACGACGACAATGACGATGACGATGACGACGACGATGATGACGATGACGATGACGGAGAGCCCGTGGACGAGCGCACAGAGCGACTGAACAAGATGCCCGTTTCGCACGAAATCACGCTGGTGCATGGCAAGAAGCCCGTATCCGCACTGGCGTTGGATCCGTCTGGCGCACGACTCGTAACAGGCGGCCACGACTACCTCATGCAGTTCTGGGACTTTGCGGGCATGGATCGGTCGTTCAAGTCGTTCAAATCGGTCGAGCCACTTGGCCGCTATCCCATTCGCGCTCTGCAGTACAATTCAACCGGTGATATGCTTGCCGTAGTTTCTACTGGACCTCAGGTACAGTTTTTTTTTCCGTGCTTCTAGAGGGGGGGGGGTTCTCGGATTTGGTGTGAGAATCTCCCGTGGTCATTCACTCGAACATCTCACCGTTTTGTCGCTTTGGTGTAGCTTCGAACCTACGACCGCGATGGTAACTACTTGCTCGAGTCAGTCCGAGGTGACATGTACTTGAGTGATATGGGTAACACGAAAGGGCACACTGGAACCATCACCGGAGTGGCGTGGAGTCCGCGAGAAAAATCAGTGTTTGTGTCTTCCTCGCACGATGGAAGCATTCGCGTGTGGGACGTCAATGTTCATGTGGCTGGCTCCAAGATTACACAACACAAAGATTTAATCCGGATAAAGAACGGGCACGGGCGCAAGGCCTACGCGGCATGCGTGTCCTATTCGCCGGATGGCGCCTATATCGCCGCGGGCGTGGAAGACGGCTCGATTCAGGTGTACAAGTCGAGCAGCCCTTACTTGCGCCCCGCCATTGTCATTAAGAATGCGCACGAGACGGATGCGAATCGCCACATTAGCTGCGTTCGTGTGTCCCGCGATGGCAAGCACCTGCTGAGTCGTGGCATGGACCATACCATGAAGCTGTTTGATTTGCGCAAGTACAACAAGCCGCTGCAAGTCTTCCCCGACCTTCTCAACTTCCACGAGGAGACAGAGTGCGGCTTCAGCCCTGACGATCGCATGGTGTTTACCGGGACCTCCCTTCCTCCGCCCGAAGCGCGTGTCGCGACTGCCGAGCCACAAAGCGGGTCGCTCGTGTTCTTCGAGGCTTCCGACAACTTTGAGCGCATCCGAGCGCTGGGCGTCACCGGCAATGGCGACGTAATTGGCTGTCTGTGGCATCCTCGCCTCAATCAAATCGTTGCTGGCTGCTCCACTGGCGAGGCCAAGGTTCTCTACAGTCCTCACTTCAGCGTCCGTGGTGCAACGCTGTGCGCTTCGCGAGCTCCTCGCCGAGCCGACACGGCAGACTACCAGGTCAACATTGGCAAGGACTTCAAGATTTACACGCCATACGCGTTGCCAATGTATCGCGTAAGGCGGCCTTTGGTCGTTCGAACGTTCAGTGCTTGTTGCTTGATTTTCTTGCGTCCATGCGCTGATTTTTTTGTTTTGCTTTTTTTGTTTTGGGTGGTCTGTTTGAATTTTTTTTTTTAAATCTGTTGTTGCCAAATTCCGCAACTTCAGGAGGAAAAGCCGCGATCCGAGAAGCGTGCCCTCATCAAGGCCCGCGCCGATCCCCTCAAGTCCAAGCGCCCAGAAATGCCCGTCACCGGCCGTGGTGCCGATGGTCGCACTGGTGTCGAAACATGGACGCAACAGGCAGCCAAGACGTTGGTCAAGGACAAGCTGCGCGAAGAAGACCCGCGTGAAGCCATCCTGCGACATGCCCAAGCTGCTGCGGACAATCCCGTCTTTACCAAAGCCTACCAAAAAACCCAACCCAATCCGCTATTTGACGAGCATGCTGGAGAGGGCGATGCTGGAAGCGATCTTCCCTGAAAAGCCTTGCATTGTTTGGTTGGCGTCGTTGTTTTGGTTTGGTTTGACTTTTGTCGCAAAGTAAACAAGATTAGAAGATTAGAAGATTTAGAAGATTAGAACGTGTCAGTCTATTACGAAATCCGACATAGCTTGACGAAAGGGGTGGCTCAAACAACCACACACCGACGTCAGTTTTAAAAACAACAAAGCACAAAAACACACTCCTTGCAACAGATGAAAAATCTCAAGCAAGCGCCTTATTGGGGCTTGTCGCTATCGTCTTCTTCAGCCTTGGGGTCTTTTGGCTTGGCTGGCGGGACGCCAGTGGCAATGGCTCCCAAAACGCTTTGGATGCGGGGATCCGAAGGATCGACACCGGGGAGTGAGCCGAGCACAGAGTTCAAAAAGCTCGGGTCCATCATGGATGTTGCGGGGTTGGGTGCAATGCTGGTGCTGGCCGCTGCTGCTGGTTGTGATGCTGACGCCGCCGATTCAGCGCCTGCAGCCATGGACATTTGCACAGCAAGGGCAAGCTGCTCGTCTTCTGACATGGTGTCCATGCTCATCGGCGCCTCAGTTGGGTTGCCGCCGACGGACATGGACAGTGCCTGGGCGAGGAGAGCCGCCTCATCATCGTCCTGCGACATGGGCACCGGCGCTGCTGCAGCGGGTTGGGCGTCGCCAGCAGGTGCGCCGCCGGCACGTCGACTTTCCGCTTCCTGTCGCTGCCGCTCTTCTTCCATGGAAACACGAAGGGCAAGAGCGAGCTCGGGGTCCAGGCTGGGATCGACGCCAAACTCAAAGCCGCCGCCGCTGCCGGCACCGTCGCCGCCAGGAATGCCGCGCATGGGGTTGCCGTCTTCGCTCATGAACAACGGGGACGACATGACAATGTTTGACAGCACATGCGGGCCTGGTGGCACCGTGATGAGATGCGAGTTGGCGTCCTTGTTGACGGCGGCAATCAGGGCCTCCAGCTTGAGCGTGTTTTCAGCCTCCTCGCCAAAGTTGATAATGTCGAGGGCAATGTTGTTCTTCTTGAGCTTCTTGCCAAGCTGTTGTGGTTTAAAATAAGAAGAAGAAGAAGAAGAGACAGGTGAGCATTGGGAGACGGCATTGCTCGCTTGCTTGAAAACACAAACCTTGACGAGATCAGCCTCCAGCTCGGTGACAGGGCTTCCGACAAAGGCCATGATACGTTGGCGCTGATCCTTGTTGCCTCGGTGCTTCAATGCGAGCTGGGAAAAGAGCGCCAACGTTGAAGAGAGGCATGAGCGTGCAGGTCTCAACAACAAAAGAGTTTAGGCTTTGAATGACCTACCGTGGCGACGTTGATGGCGCTGCTGAGCGAGATCTGGTCTCGCAGCTTGACTGTGTGCATGTTTGTGATGATGTGGCCCATGTTGGATGTCAGATTGACGACCATCTCTGGTCTGTTGTACGCACGCAACGCAACACAACAAAAACGAGTGAGAATAGAGCAAATCTCGCGGTTTTTTTTCCCCGCCGTTTTCCCTCGGCTGGTGCAGTGCATTGAACGCATTCGCCACCCAAAGTCGTCGCTGGACTTTTGAGTTGACGACGAAACGCATTGCATCGAATACAAAGCAAAAAAAAAAAAAAGTTCGAGAAACTCGATTTTCGAGAATGAAAATGGCTTACTTTCCAGCGGCGGCGAGGATGCCGACCGAGCTCTCTGCGTCTTGCTCCATCTTGAGTTCGCAGACGAGGACAACGGCGTCGTGCTGAGCGAGTGTGGGGCGGGGAGGGTGGGGGTCGTGGGGTGCATGGAGAGTCCAAAGCAGAGTGAGTCGACCAAGTGAAACAAAAAAAAAAAAAAAAAAGTCAATGGAAAAGTCAATGGAAAAAAAAAAAAAAAAAAAAAAAACGGTCACAAAAAAAAAAAAAAAAAAAAAAAAAAAAAGCGACCAAGACGACGACGACGACGACGACGACGACGGCGCTGGTGCAACAGCCTCAAAGAGCATGCAATCAGACAGAGAAGCAGGCGCGAGATCGATGCCCGTCACAACGCATGGCAGTCCCACCCCCGCCCGATCGACTGGTCGTCTCGGTCATTGAACGCTGCTCGGCTTCTTTTTTTTTTTTTTTTTGTTTCTTCCTTGGCCCAAAGCAAAGGAGCAGCGATGATGCGTTCTCTTACCTGTGCTTCACGCCGTGTCGGGATGTAGTCGCCGTTGCGCATCCACTCGCTGTTGTCGATGCTGAGCAGCCCAAAAAAAAAAAAAGAAAAGAAAAAAAAAGCGATAAAAATCGGTGAGTTTATACGGATTACTAACGAAACCAAAGCAAAGGCTCCTTACCAAACGATAGTTGCTTCTTTGACCATTTTGTGAGACAAAAAATCAAGAATGAGTGCTCGAGTTTTTCGAGCTTGTTTCCTCGTGTTCTCAGCATCGTTGACATTTGCAACCACTGCCTCGATTTGGATCTGTCATTTCACTCTTTTTTCTTTCTTTCTTAAAATTTGGACTCGTTTCCTTACCGACAGAAGCCATCCTTTTTATATTTTTGGCAGGTTGTCAAAACCAAAGAAGGAACGAACTCAAGTTTTCTATTTTTTTAACTGGTTTTTTGAACTATTCTTTTTGTTCGCCTTCTCTCGAAAGCGTCCTCCGACTCGTTGCGTCGCGCCTCTCGCTTGATACAAGTTGGAGAAACTGTGGTGAATGGTTCGCATTCTGCAAGCGATACAGCAGGGCGCACACTTGATCCGCACAATGTCTCGAAAGCGCTTGATAGTGGGCTGCTGCGTGGTTGCCATGCTGCTTCTCCAGCTGACGCTGTGGCAGCGCGCGACCAAAGATGATTCCCGCGCTGAATACGACGGATCGCTGCTGCACGGTTCCACGGGAAAGCAGCAGCAAAACGAGGACACCGCGTTGGCGGGGTTGGATGCTGCCGAACTGCTCGCGGCTGCCACCTCCACGCGCGACTTTGGCGCTCTGCCCGCTTGGGCCCTGGCTGATCCCGCTGTTGTTGCGACGTTCGACACACCTGCACTGGCTGACTTGTTCCTGCCTCCGCCGGCGCCTGCGGTTGCGCCACCGATTCTCTGGCACGGCGACGGCTTTGCGCTGATGAATGTGACAGGTAATCCGCTCGACCAGCTCCGCGTCGTCAGCGGCGTCTCCTGGCTGCCTCCCGTGCTGGACGTCCCGCCAGTCCCTCGTCCTGCAAGCCAAGAGGCCCTGGCACACAGCGCCAAGATTGAGCGCGAGGTCGCGGCGGCGTCCCGTTCGATGCCTGACACTGGTTCCGTGGCTGCTCAGCTCGGCTTCACCGTGTCGCACCCGCTCGACCGCAACATGACCTTCTCGCCTCGCTTGCCCATCAAGGTAGCTGCCTGGATGGACCCGTTCACACACGCATGCTTTGATCCGGAAGCCCACCTGTACTTGATCAACGTGACCACATGGAAGGAGGAGATGGAAGCCATCCAGCCCGACGTGCTCATCATCGAGTCGGTGTGGAATGCCGCTTGGAATGGATTTCTACGCTCCAAGACGCCCGACAATAACGTCCTGGTCGACGTGCTCAACTATGCCAACGAACTCCAAATCCCGTCCGTGTTCTGGAACAAGGAAGACCCTCCGAACTTTAACAAGTTTATCAACTCGACCTTCATTCGGCACGTGTCGGCCCTGTTTACGACCGAGGCGCGCGCCGTTCCGATGTACATGCAAGTCTTGGGTCACGACCATGTCTTTGTCTCGTCGTTTGCTGCCCAGCCCGTCATCCACTCGCCTGTGCGCTCGCACCGCCCGCGAACTCCCGGCTATGCCTTTGCTGGGACGTATGCGTACACTACGCGCTATCTCCACCGTGGCCCCGATCTTGACATGATGCTCGCACCCGCCTTCAAGCGCGGCCTGGCCATCTTTGATCGCAACCTGGCCATCAACCCGTACCCCGTCTTTCTGCACCCCTTCCCTCCGCAGTACAACTCGAGCTTGCGCGGCGCTCTCGACTACTCGTCGGTCGTGAACGCGTACAAGATGTTTGACTCGTACCTGAATGTCAACTCGGTCAACGACTCGAGCACCATGTTCTCCCGGCGCGCCCTCGAGATTTCGATGAGCGGCACGCCCGTCATTACGAACGTGTCGCCCGCTATTCGCCGAATGCTGAGCTCCGAGGGCGTCCGGGTTGTGCGTTCCACCGAAGATGCCGAGCGGTACATGACCGAGTTTGAGAATCCGCTCGTGCGCGAGAGGGTGGCTCTCACTGCCCAACGTCGCATTCTTGCCGCGGAAACCTACGAGCTTCGTCTCCGCGCAATCATCATGGCCGTAGGGCTGAATGACAAGTTTCCACCACAGCCACATGGCGTGACGGTCGTTGCTACCCTGCAGTACGCACAACCGGCTCCAGGAACTCGTGCCGCAGTGCTGGTTGCCGAGCAACTCGCTGCCGCAGCTGGCGGTGACAGTGAACTCGTACCGCTCGTGGAAGACGATCCGGTGACGGACATTGACGACTGCATCTTCCCGGAGCTGGTCGAGTATGTTCAGACGTTCAAGCGGCTGCAGTACGCTGACAAAGAGTTGGTGATTTGTGTGGCGGGCCATCCGTCGCTTCCAACCAAGAAGTCGCATGCGCGTCGCGTTCCCCGCTGCTCGCCCGAGCGGCTGTATCGCAAGTCCGCCATTCAGGCCTTCCTCGCCGTGGCGTTCCCGGACGTTCAAGCCGTCATTGCCGAATCGCTCGACTGGTCCAAAGCTGCTTGCATGAATTATGCCATCAAAGTGACCGGCAACGTCCCTTCTGCCAAGCCGTACCTGCTCTTCCTCGACCCAGTTCAGTTCTACGGCGCCAACTTTTTGAAGGACGCGATTCCTGCGTTTAGCTACACGGACGCGGAAATTGTCGGCAAGAGCGCAGTGCAGACTGTCTTGTCGCCCGACTTGCAGGAGGCGGCGCACCTCATTACTCTGCCCATTTCGCGCTACGAGCACGCCGTATCGATTCAAGACCCGCTGGCGGTTGGGTTGTTTACGTGGCAGCCAACCTGCGAACACGAGTATGTCAACACGATTGCGGCCGCTCCATCCGCCGTGTTCAAGCGCTCCATGTTCCAGCGGCTCTCGGTCAAGTTTGTCGCCTCGAGCGATTCGCCGTTGGAGGATTTGATTGCCGATTGCACCGAGCTTGGCGTGGTCATGTATTCGGCGAATCGCCACAACTTTGTGTATGTTCCCCCGCAAGTTGTTCAGCACCATGCAGACCATCCGTCAGAGGCTGGTCACGGTCCTGTGGTTGGCAGTCCCATTACCGCGAACATGGTCGAGTATGTGAGCTGGTAGTGTGGCTTGTGCTGTTCCAGCGATTTGATGTGCCTCTTTTATTTGTATCTTTTGATGTACTTTATTGATGTGAGTGAGTGCGTCCGTGTTTCGACTCCTCAAGTTGAGATTATCTTGCAGTAGTTTTTGTTCAGACCTTGCAAACAACGTTTCGCTTTGTGTGTTTATGCATTTTTCACTCGCAGCGACCGACTCTACATTTTTGATGTCCAGTCTTTTCTATTCCATTGCAGGACCAGCTGCCGAGATTGGCAAAAAAAAAGCACACAACGAACTTCACACCAAACAACAACACACACAAAAAGAGCAACAGCAACAACGCACAAAAAGAGCAACAGCAACAACGCACAAAAAAGAGCAACAACAAGACAAACATGCAAATCGTTTCACCTCCTCCTCCCTTTTCCCAATCTTAAACGCAACGCATTCACATCCTAGTTGGAGCAGTTTCCACACAACAGTTGTCCGTTGACAGAGTACATGGCCGCGCCAACGGCGAATGGCTTTCGGCACTGCACGCACGTCAAGCAGTCCATGTGATAGGGAGATTTGCCGCGGAAGCGGATGTTTTGGCCACTGCCAAAGCCCTTATGGCAAGCGACGCAGACAATGCAGTTAGGATGGAACTTTTGCCCATCGACCTCCATGAAGCTGCCAACGAGGGCTTGCGAGCATGCAAAGCACTTTGGTGCGTATTTCTTCTCGTAGTCGTTCGAGCAGTACAGCTTCCCGTTGTGCTCAATGAAACCGCCGTTGATCACCTCCTTGCACTCTGCGCACGCAAAGCAAGCAACATGCCATTGCTTGTCGAGGGCGCGGATGCCGGAGCTGTCGATTCGTTTGTTGCAAGCGGCGCAAGTGCTTGAGAGATTCACGGTCGTCTTGGACACCAATTTAAAGTGCTCTTCGCAATACGGGTTGCCATTGTACGGCCGGTAGGATTGGGCAGTGAGGGTCTTGTCGCAGCTGGCACAGCGCAAGCAGTGCTTGTGGTACCAGCCCGAAACCTCGCCCTCGCAGAGAAAAGCGTCGTTGTCGTGTGTCGGACGATCGCACTGCGGGCAAACTCGGTCGCAGCACGTGTCGCACACAAAGCCGTCGGCACAGTCGCCAAAGCTGTCTCCGTGCTCGATGGGCTTCTTGCAGCCGGCGCACTTCATGCATGTCAAGTGGTAGTATGTCTCGCCAACCGATGTGAATTCGCCGAGCAGAAACTCGCCGCACGTCCCGCACTTTTTGCCAAACAGTGTGTTGTAGTCATCCAAGCAGTACAGCTGGCCCTCGTGGTCCATCATGTTGCTTCCGAGGACGTCCATGCAGACTGGAGGGGGGGGGAGGCACCCACAAAGCCGCAGTTGTCAGTGCATGTTGCATGATGGCAATTGCGTCTCAGTTGTTGTTGTGGCGCGCTGACACTTACCCGAGCAGACCAGGCATGCATTGTGGTATATCTTGCCATTGACTGAGCTCACGTCCTTCTCGCACGGTAGCGAGCATTTGGTGCAATCACGGGCTATGAGATTTTCGCATCGGTCAAAATTCAGACAGAGTGAGTCAGTCAGTCAGGATCATCCCCAGTGTGCCGGTTCCACTCCCTTCCAATCCAGCAGCGATCTTGCTTCCACATTCAGCCATCTCAAGTCCACCACCACCACCACCCGCCGTGTCAGCACACTCTGGTTTTTTGACATGGACTTGGAGGGCGTGCGGGAACGGCAAGTGTTGGCCTTTCCAAAAGAGGGACCGGCCTGCCTCTGATGCTTCAACTTTTGCCAAATGCCAGCAACACCAAGGCCACCATGGCCACCACGCTCAGGCCGAGGCGCCAACGAGGCCGCGACCAACCCGAATGCAAATCCAAAAAGGGGCATGTCAAGGATTCAAACCTTCCAAATGCAAGAATAAAAGTAAAATAAAAACAAAATAAAAATAAAAGAATAAAAAAAAAAAAAAAAAACGAACAAAACCACAGTTTGGAGAAAGTGAAGCAGACCCAGCAGCCACCCAAATCCACAAGACGTCGATCGCATTGGCAAGAGTGGTGCAGACAGGAGCGGGGAGGAGCGAGACCCGAGTGCGTGCAAAGACTGTGTTGAACTGATTTTTTAGACAAGTCTTTTCACGTCAATCAAACAAAGCATTCCGCAGGCAATGCCCTGTCAGATGAAGCCTGGCGACACACACATCTCCCAAACCCGGATGCTCAGCATCAGCCAGAGTCGGGACAATTGGGCGTGCGCGGCCTCCTCCGCGTCGCTCAGGGGTCGAGTGAGAGCGAGATGAGTTTGACAGGTCAAAAAAATAATCCGAAAATGAAAAAAAAGAAGCACACAACTTGCCACCAGCAATCTTGCTCAAACCAGAGCGAATGTTAGAGTTGGGAGGAGAAGAAGAGAGAGAAAGATAGAGAAGAGTCGATGGGGGAGCTGAGACGGCATGGCGTGCGAGTAAAGCCAGAATCGGAGCGGACTGTTCTTCGTCGAGCTGGGTCTTGTCTTACGCATTGAAAAACTGTGGTGAATGCAATGGACTGGACTGTGTTGGGATTTGGGTTGTTGACTTGCGTGTGCTTCCTGTCAATGTCAAAACACAAATTGCATGCAGTGGAGACTTTGTAGTTGAAATCAGTGAAAAGAAATCGAGTGAAAAGAAATCTCGAGCGAAAAGTGTCGCCTCGCCATGTCAAGTCGACCACCAATGGACGGAAACTAGCCAATGATTGTTGAATTGTTTATTTGAAATCAAAAACAGGGAGCTCGCACATGTTGCATTTTTGGATTTGATCGAGAGTTAACAAAGCAAAAACCACGAACTGCTCAATGAATCCGAGCAAGCTCTTCCACGTACTTGAGAAGATCATCCACACTGACGGGTTGGCCGTCTCGAACGAGGCCTGTGACAACCACTTGCATCTTGTCGCGTGGGAGGTCCAAGAAACATTCAATCAAATCGCCATCAATGAATCCTTTTGCTTCCGTCAGGCGCCGCTCGTTGCAGAACGAACGCCACCTGCACCAAACCATCCCGACAAAGCATGGGGCAATGGAGCCAAAAACAATGATGAGCAAACACACAATCCAGTGGCAAAACAGAAAAAGAATCAGAAGAAGAAAAAGAAAAAAGATAACAAGCCAAAGTCCCGCGCTCTGAAAACTCACGCGCTATGGTTCAGGCCTCCAACTCCCTTGATCACTTTGGCCATGGCAGCCTGAACGAGTTGAAGGAACTCGTACTGAGAACGGGTCAGCCGAGCAATGACGCCAATGACTCCGTTGCCTGTGCCAAAAAGCGTGGACGGTTGGATTGGCTGCTCCTGCTCGTCAGGGAGCTTCATGACAAGCGAGCCTAGCAACACAAAGAGCACCAGCGACAAAGCAAAAACAAATACAAGAGAAGGTCAGCACGTCTTTTGTGGCAATCATTTTGCTCGCTTCTCCCAGCAGACTTTTGACACCTACCAGCGCGGAATTGGTTGATAAACTCGCCCACGTGAAACTCGCCCACAACCTCGAGGCGCTTGCGCTCCTCGTCGGTGGACGCTTCCAAGTTTCGGCGGCACGTGAAAATGTTAAAGGACGACTCGCCACCAATGAAGACGTCGTCGTCGAGCATGTCCACCGCAGTCACCCAATTTGGACACGTGTCTCTGATGAGGGAATCGACAAAAACAAAACATCAGCAAACCAGCAAACAACCAAACAGGGACCATAGCTCCTTCAACACTTGACGAGCAAAAACTCACTGCGCAATCTCTTCAATCGAGCTCGTGCCAGACTTGTACATCAGAAGCGAAATCGATCGCATCAGATCACCGACAATGATGAAATCACCGCGAGACTTGAGGTACAGTGTGAGAATGTGGCCATGATGACTGCACTCGGAGACAAGCTCACGGATGCCGTCGCCAGTGAGATTCCACTTGAACAAGTTGACCTTGCTGTTGATGCCTGCGAGCAGTTTGCCGTTGAACGCATTCAGCGAGTACACACAACCTTTGACATCCTTGGCGGTAACAAGGTGCAGCGCGCCCCCCGCCACGTCAAACACGAGGATGCGGCCGCGTTTGGGCTCGTCTTCGGACGGAATGACAAACGCCGTGCCAACTACAAGGTAGACGGTCGAGTCCGACGAGTCGTTGGCAAACGAGCACGAGATGAAGCTCATGATGGTTTCCGTCGAAGGAAGCTGGAACGAGTCGCGGATTTCAAACGTCTGCCCGTCAAACAAGCGGACAAAGCTGGTGTCCTCCAAGACATCCGACGGACTACGGGGCCCATCATCAAAAGCCATCGGACGCACGTTTTGCGCGCGGGCGGCGACGTTGCCAGAATTGGAGCCAACAGGAAGCGGCTCAGCAAGGGTCACGGTGGCGACACCGTAGGTGCGAGTGGGCTCGTGGTACGCAATGCGCCGAGGCATTTCGCCAAGCGGAATGGCGCGGACGTGCAACTTTTGGATTTCATCAATGGTTCCAATGGTGAGAGAGGTGCTCGACACGACCGCGAGACAGTCGGCAAAGCTTTCAGAGGTGAATGGGCAGACGTGCGTCACTTCGCGCAGATTCACATTCGAGTACAGCAGCTTGCGATTGCTCGAGTAGATGACGGTGGGTCGGTCGGAGCACGCGAAAACGTGGGTTTGCCCACGCGAAACAAACGCAGAGAGCAAAATGGGCTGCGTCCCGAGGGAAACACGCTTGTGGTCGGTCAGCTGCTGCGATAGCACATCGAACGAGTAGGTGTGCATGCTGCCATCACCGAGCGCGCACAACAGGCGGGGTTGACCTTCGAACGTGGCCATAAGAATGGAGCGCGGGATGATCTGGCCTTCGAGGGGTTGCACGAGCACTTGCTCCAGGGTGGGAACGCTGAGCACGCGGACTGTAATGTCCGTCCACAAGCCCACGGCACAGACTTGCGACAGAGGTTGACCACCGATGGGTGTAATGTCGACACAAGCAATTTCGTGGTCCATTCGAGCGTGGCCGATTGGCACAAGGTTGCCGGAAGCTTCGACAGAGAGGCACACGAGATGGCCGCCTCCGCAAGCTACCAGCACTTGAAAGTCGTTGCTGCTCGCCATGGTAATGCGCGTGCCGGGGGCGTACCTATCCGGGACGCTGGCAGGGGACCAGCTCGCAACGAGCGCCTGAGTGGAGCAGTTCACCAGACGCACCTCAGTGGCCGTGACTTGCAAAAATTGGTCACCGCTGACATTGGCACAGTGCAAGGTTTGGCTGTTTTGGTCGAGGCCTGGGATTTGCATCTCCTCGAGTTCCTCGCCTGACGACATGCCGAGCAAGCGCGTTTCTCCAATGAATGACACGACAAGAATCGAACGATAGAGTGCAGCTTCCGTCGGCTTCAAAGACCAAATGCCCTTGATGCCGGGCAGCTCAATGGTGGCCTGCTCTTCAATACCAACGCCGTTTCGCACAACACGGAGCGAGCCGTCCTTGAAGGCACCAGAGCACGTAACGACCTGGCACTGGCCTTGCCTCTCGAGATCCACGACAGCCATGTCACAAATCGGGCCAAGATTGCTGAACGACTCCAAAACTGTGTGTGTGTGTGTGTGTGTGTGTGTGTGTGTGTGTGTGTGTGTGTGTGTGTGTGTGTGTGTGTGTGTGTGTGTGTGTGTGTGTGTGTGTGTGTGTGTGTGTGTGTGTGTGTGTGTGTGTGTGTGTGTGTGTGTCTGTGTGTGTGTGTGTGTGTGTGTGTGTGTGTGTGTGTGTGTGTGTGTGTGTGTTTGTGTGTGTTGTGCACAAACGCAAAGGTGCTTGGTGTGAGGTAAAGGAATCATCTCGCCGGACACCTTCGACGACAAAATCGCTGCTTACCCCGAACAAACGACCCGGTCTCGTCGCGCTCAGTGGCAAGACGCAGCAATTGAGAGTCGCCAAATTGAGAGCCACCAAATACCACGCCATTGTCAAGGTAAGTCAAGCACGAAAGAATGGAGGTGACACCCAAACGGTCAATCTTGATGGCTGTGACTTTGTCTTGCCGGTCGTGCGTCAGAAGCACTGAGAGGAGATTGCCCTCAGAGTCGGCAAGCAAAAACCTGTTGGTGTCAATCACCGAGTAGCACTTGATGATGGCAGGACGCATGGCCACAGAGCGGAAGGCGCTACCAGAGTGGTACGTGATGGTTTGCTCGCCAACAATCAACACGCCTCCCAAAGGCTGAACGCAAGCACGACAACAACACAGCAAGAGAGAGAGAGAGAGAGAGAGGAAATGAGAAACAAACGAAACAAAACAAAAGGCCGGGGGGGGGCGGGCAAAGACAATCGCAGAGGAAACGAGTGCCTACCATGAGAACTGGGATGAGCAAAGAAGCGCCTCCCTCAACGTTGTTTTGAGCCCAGGGTCCTTCGGCAAACTCCTTTTCCTTCAACAACACCTGGTATGTCTTCACATGGCGCGTCTCCTTGGTGTCCTGATACAGCACGAGGATTGTTGGGCGATCGTAGCCGCGCAGAAACTTAATGTCGAAAACTTGGAGCTCTTCCAGCCGAATGTTGAAGGCGTCCTTGAATTGGCCGTGAGGGTCGATCGGAATGACTTTGAACATGCCATTGTAGAGACGCAGGCCTATCCACACCACCAAACGCAGTGAGCAAGAGCAACCAAAGTAAAACGGTGGATGTCCCCCCCCCCACAAATCGAGTGCAGCGTTCTCACCAATGAGACGACAGTCTGGATCAATGACTCCAATGGGCCCGAGATCAGCAGGGTTTCCACTCTTGTCCTACGTCCATCGCAGGTAAGTCCAACTTTTCATTACAAGCGTGTAGACCTCGAACAACAAAACAAACGACGAGCTTTGTACCTGAAGATCGCCGTTTGCTTTTGTAACAAGCTCGCCCGTTTGCGCATCGTATGCCAGAACGGTGAATGCATATCGCTCGGTGCAAATGAAGAGTAAATCTTGTTGTGCATTCTAGCAAACAAAAATTTGGAGTGGATGAGCCAAAAAAAAACAAACAAACAAAAAAAAGCTGTCGGTCTTTCATGGCACTTACCGGTGGTCGGAACAGCTGCATGATGGCGATTCGGCCGTACATGCCGGCATCGAGCAGTCCGTGGATGCCGTCTGCGGCAATGGTGTGGATTTCAATGCGCGTCGACTGCAGCAGAGCAGAGGGAGAGTGAGTGAGTGAGAGTGAGCAAACGAACGCAACAGTGCAGCGCTCCAGAAACGGCCCTCCATGAGCGCATAGTGTGTGAGTGTGTGCGTTCTGTGTCTATGAGCGAGAGGGAGAGGGAGAGAGGGAGAGGGAGAGGGAGAGGGGCAGAAGGGCAGAAGGCGAGATCTCTCCATTCCATCCACTGTCGGTGCCCAGGAGGCGGGCAACGCGTTCGGGTCCCAACATGGATGGCAGAACGCGTTTTCTCCTTTGCTTGAGGATGAGAGTCGAGCGGAACGCGGCCAAAAGGTCGAAAATGAACGCCAAACAACACTAAAAAATAAAATAAAATAAAAAAAAAATAATAATAATACAATAAAAACGCCACATTGACATTGAAGCTGATGACCGAACGGATCGCTCGCTGCGAACGACAGCAGCGACGCGTTCAACCAGTCTTTGGTTAAGCTAAGGAATCATCAGAGCAGCGCCACTTCAACCCTCATTCATCACAGCGCCAGAACAAAGCCACGGCGCCAAACGAAAAGGAAAGAAACTTGAAACGCCGACGCACTCCTCACTCGCTCACTCACCATCACTCACTCACTCACTCGACGCTCTTCCGCATCGAAAACAGGTTCAAAACGGACCAATGTGAAGCGACACAATCAGCTCAGCAAAAGGCAAAAGCTGAACACAAACCTTCGCAATGATCAGGTTGCGCTCGTGCGGCGCAGTAAAGTTGCCAGTGACGACGTGCGTCACGACGGACGGCGGATGCGCAGTCACAATGTAGTTGAACGGCGACAGCTCGACCGCTTTGGCCGACGACGCAGCAGTCGCTGGCGCACTGGTTGAGGTCTCGCTCGTGTCCATCATGCTTGGTTTGTGTGTTGCTGGAGTCGAGCCGAAAAACAGCAAAAAATAAGAGACTGAGATCCGAGCTCTGAAGAAACGCGTCTCAGAGGCTTGGGGGTTCTTTTTGTTGTGGTTTATGTTATTCTAAATGGTATACAGTACACTTGCACTCAATCCCACTGACCATTCAGTCAGCGTTGTATTGCATTGCATTGACTTTAATTCGGTCATTCATTTTTTTTTTTTTTTTTTTTTTTTTTTTTTTTTGGCTTCGTCTGTGATGGTCGTCGTCACTCGAAGCTCGTCTGCAGCGGCCGCAGCAGGACCGATTCGCGCCACACACACGGCGTCACAGGAGCCAGCAAAGCGCCGGCACATTGCGATGGTGCTTGCGTTGGTGTTTGGCATTGCTGCCGCCGGGCTCTACGCGGCTTACGCGACGTTTCCAGAGCTGCCCTCAGAGTAACGACCCAGACCGAGACAGAGCTGCTACGTGGCCGGGGTTTTTCGTGTTTTTGTGTTTTTGGGGTTTGAACTCACAATGTGGTGTCAAAAACCTTGTTGGACTCAGGCAAAGTACGGCGCTCCGAGCAGCATTGAGCTGGCAGGGACTCGTTTCTGGCGACAAGCTCACCACAGTCAAATTGCTGAGCTCCACTTTGCAAGAGATCAAGAAAAACCACTTTGCGCACGTCCTCGCATTGTTTATGCTGACGTATATCTTGTATGGACGAGCGCACTCGTGCACTATTTGGCTGTTTGCGCGGATTCACTCAAGTTCTCCGAATTTTGGCGCTTGTTTTGGGGTTTGGCTGTATTAGCCTGCAGACATTTGCTGTGCCGGGTTCAGTTTTCCTGAGCATTCTAGCAGGCACGCTGTTTCCGTTTCCGCTGGCCCTTGCGTTGGTTTGCGTGGTATGTTTGATTCGTTTTTTGATTTTTTGTTTTTGAAGTTGTAGGTATCCCCGTTGTGGGGAAATTCCTGTCATGCTCACCACCTGCTTCTGTTGTTGGATTCTCAGTGCTCAGCCACGGGAGCATCGTTTTGCTACCTGCTTTCACGGCAGCTTGGACGACAGCTTGTCGAGCGAGCATTCCCAGAACGCCTTGCGACTTGGCGCGCGCAGGTAACGTGGAGGCAGACGTTCAGCAGCTAGATACAATCGTGACTCTGACGGAATGGTTTGCTAAATATGGGTGCGGGCTTGTGGTGCATTTGTACCATGTAGGTCGATCGGCATCGCGACAACCTGTTTTACTACCTCTTCTTTTTGCGCGTGACGCCGTTCGTCCCAAATTGGTTTATCAATGCGGCGTCTCCGCTGATTGACATGCCTCTCATCACGTTTGCCTCGTCCACATTTTTTGGTACGAATGTGCACAATGCTGGCGCCGTTGATGCGCTCTCAACGCCGCGCTCTGACTTGTTCCTGTGGTTTGTCTTTTGTCATCCCATCCAGGCGTCATCCCACTTTCATTGTTCCACATCCAAGGTGGCAAGCTCCTCAATGAACTAACAACGACCACGCCACCACTTTCTGCGTTCCTCTTATCTGGTGGTTTGGGTCTGATCGCCCTGCTGCCGACTTTGTTCAAGAACAAACTTAAAGAGCGCATGGACTGAGTTCACCCCCTCGAGAATAGCAATTTATAGAATAAATGTCTTCAGGTTTGCCAACAGTTGATGGAATCAATGTGTCTTCGGGTTCATTATGCGCATTAGTTGTTGTTTGGTTCCGGTGACCAGCATTCGTTGGATTGGGTGTCATCATTTCGACCACTTGTGACAGCCTCCAAAACTGCACCAGCACGCTAGTTTATTACATGCCTGACGAACAGCATGTTTGATTTGGGCACAAGTTTCATTTGCCTGGACGGAACACCATCAATCAGCCATGCTTGCACACAAACGGCTTTTCTGAGCCTCATTCGTATTTCGGCGGCTGGAACTGCTGGGCTTGCGGGGCCTGTTGGTACGGCTGCTGCTGCTGCGGCTGGACAGTCTTGGGGCCGCGCATTTTCCCCAAGACGAATGGAATACCAATGGCAAGCAGCAAAAGCAAACCGCCAACCAACGGACGGTAGCGAATCCAACCCAGGGCAATCACCACGAACGACAACGAGGTCGCCAGCGTCAAGTTGATCAGAAGCACACCGAAGCCGACAATCGTGCGCACGATCGGAATCCAATCAACAAGGACCCCAACAATGCTTGTCGCGGCGGCAAAGCCAAAGAACATGAGCAGCCAGCCCACAAAGCGGAAGGCCCACGACTGCACAACATTTTTGGCTTGCTCGGCCGAGAGGATGTCCTACCCGATTCAAAAATATAACCAAACAAAGCAAGAAAAAAAAAGTAAACAATACAATTCAACGTGCTCATCCTCTGCCATCGGGCCACTCACGAACCAGGATGCCTCACCTCGGCGCTACGAACGCCGGAAACCAAGAATTCCAGAGTGTGTCCATGCGACAGGTAGGGTTCGAGACGTTTTCCACTCTGGCGTGCAATGACGCTGACGCTGGAAGGGGAGGCGTGCTTGTCCGTGTTGCCTGCATAGCGGAAGCGGATGCGAAGATCACCAGCCTGAAGATCGCCACGGTGCTGAACAATGTACAACGAGCCATCCTGGACGAAGACGCTTTTGCCATTCGTGGAGGGAATTTGGGTGTGGTGCGTCAGGTCGACAGTATGCCAGTCCACAATCTGGTCAATCAACGAGGAGGATAGCTGGTAGCGACCAACGGCAACTTTGTCAGCAGTGAACGAGCGAGACGGGAAGGCAAAATCGCTGCAACAACAACAAACAAACAAACAAACGAACAAACAAACAAACAAACAAACAAACAAACAAACAAACAAACAAACAAACAAACAAACAAACAAACAAACAAACAAACAAACAAACAAACAAACAAACAAACAAACAAACAAACAAACAAACAAACAAACAAACAAACAAACAAACAAACAAACAAACAAACGAAAAAAAAAAAAAACCTGAGCAATGTCGCGTCAACAGCAGCATCGGTGTCTGAACTCCCCTCGCCACATCTACTCTACTTTTGGGTCATGATCACTGCGGTACCTAGGGTTCTCATGACCGAACGGATTGTCAAAGGTGCGATGGGACACCAAATCCGACCGCCAGTGTTTCTCATAGTAGTATGAGATCTCCTCGCGCGTACCGCCAGGCTCGTTGAACCGATGCGTCGTGGTCGTCTCCACCCACTGGTACATTTCAACCGTCCGTTCCAAGCGGGCAGCTTGAATCGAGATTCCGAATGCAGCATCCGCGACGTTCTGATCAATCAATTCACTCGTCGTGAGGCACCAGTCCCAAAAAGGCCATTCTCTCTCGGCGAGCATGTATTGCGAGAGTTGCCCTTACACTGGCAGCATGGAGCAAGCCTGTCAGGTAGACGAGGCTGCCGTCCGTATGCGTGGATTCGCGTTCCGATGACGCGAGCGCGACCACCTTGCGAAGTCCCTCGTCCAGCGCTTGAGCCATGTGGACCGTGTTGCCTTCATTCCAGAACAGCTACACAGCCCCAAGTCAGCCAGTTTGCCAATTGCAAGCCCAAAGCGACAACGAGGTGGGTAAGCATTCAACACGGCATTCACGTTGAGAATCGTCTCGTCCTGCTTTTCTCCTTCAACCGTGCGTACCAAGAAACAGGCCCCTGCAATGAGAAGCGTTCCAAACACAATGCCACCGAGACTGTTGCCGACGCGCGAGAAGAAGCCCTGGTCTTGGCGGAAGGTCGTTCGGGTGTGCGAGTACCCGCTCGATCCGCCATAACCACCACCACCACCACTCTGCGACATTGACATTGAGACGTTGCAGTAAGTAAGGAAAGAACAGAAGAAGAAAAAAGAGGAGTGATGCAATGCTTGTTTTGGCCAATGCACTTGTTCGAATGCAAGCAAGCATTCAATTGCTGGGGGGGAGATTGGTCTGTGTGTTGAAGTGCTCGAGTAGTTTTGATCAAACTCTGTTTGACTTGGACGCATAGAAAATCGTGTACTAGCAACTCCACAAGACGGAATGAAATCATTGTAGCATGCTTGCAGAGGGCAGCGGAGTTCTTGCTTGATCTGAGCGCAAGTTCGTTGTTCGGACTCGTTGTTTGTTTTGTTCTTTCGTATCCGCTTTGTGAGCCTTCTCTTTCGTGTCGATTCGCCCTTGATTTTTCTTCAATCGAATGAATGAATGAATTTTTCTCCTTCCAAATGAAGAAGCATTCACTCCTTCCAATGCAGCTGGTCGGGCAGCTCTTTTTGAACGCGCTTGTCGCGACGAGCGATTCGTTCTTGGCTCCGTCGCGTGCGGGCCACCCGTCGCCGTCCACGAGCAGCATCCGAAACCCGCCGTCCGCCACCTTGTCTGCATCCTCATCATCCTACTCTTCATCAGTATCGTCATCGCAGCGTGCTTCGCGGCCTAAACTCCAGCCATCCGCCATCGAACCCATGCAAACCGCTGCCCTTCCGGTAAACCACGCTCCGACGGTCTCTCAGTCCCGCTCCCTCCCTCTCTCTCCGTCCCTCTCTCTCTCTCTCTCTTCTCCACCCAACTCAACACCAGAACACTCACCTGTGTGTCTACGTGAGCCTATTCGTCATCGCTTCCTACGTCCCTTTCCATCCTTGCTTTTCGCGTGGCTGAGGTTTGAGGTTTCCCGTTTTTTTTTTTTTTTGGAAGGAGGTTCTTTTTTTTTTTTCAGTTTTTATTTTTTATTTTTTTATTTTTGACACCAGAGACTTGCTCTGCCGGCGACAATGATGATCATCAACAACATAATCACGATAGTGATAATTGACAGTAACAATCGCTAGAATTACGATGGTCGTTGGATGCGGTCGCCGAGACTTTTGATACTGTCGTCATTGACCACAGCTCTTGGGTTCGCTCGATTTGCTGCGGATTTGTTGCAAAAAGCTCACTTCCAACCACTTTTTGTTTCTCTGTTCCTTGGCGACGATAATGTTCGTAATAGCAATTGCAGGCAAACCGAAAGCACAGGAAGCCGAGGCAGCATCGAATCCGTCACTGCGCCTCGCGGGTCGAGGAGCTGGCTGAATTTGTCCTGAATCCTCAAGTTGACTTTGCCGCTCCGGTGAATTTGCCTAAACGAAAGGTCGAGCATCGCATGAAACTCTGGACAATTTCCGAACACGATAAGGTACCGAAACAAACAAACAAATCAAATTGAAAAACCAAATTGGGATTTTTTTGTTTCTGAATTTTCGTGTGGTTTTTTCTTCTTCTTTGATACGCAGCTTCGCCGAACCTGCGTGCTTGTTGCTTCTAAATCAACGCATTCCAACTTGCGAAGCCGCGTCATTGAACGTCTTTCGCGGCTAATATCGGCGCAAGTCGAACAGCGTCCACTGGAGAACGAGCACAACTTTGACCTCGGCGGAGACGAGTTCAGTGACAACTTCCACCTGAGCATGGATGACGATTTCACCGAGGGCATTGCTTGCAGTGGCAACACTTTCGAGAACGGCCTTCTCATGGCGTGTTCAGAGTCTGGTCTGTCGGGTCGCGAAATGGCACGAATTTTGTTGAGACGCGAAACGCTCCTTCGCAAGCTTCTCTCGGTCTTGCAAGAAACGCGTCAGATGACGCACACCACGCCATATGTGCGCATGCTCATCACCCTTGATGACATGCTCGGCAGTGAGGCTCTGCCTCTCGCCGGTCTGCTGGCTTCGAACGATGTCTGGTGCCTGACGGCGCTTCGCGGCGAGCCCTTGGACGAGCTTGTGGCACACACGTATTCCATTCTTGATCAAGTTGCATCGATGCGCGTGTCATACCAGCTCTCCAGCGGGCCTGGAATGCTCTCGATGATGTTCAGGCAATGCTCCATCGAAGATCGTGTAGAGTACAGCCTGTGCCAAGCCGACTCACCCGGCCCCGTCGACGACGACGAGCATTTTATTGATTGCTACGACTTTCCCGCAAGCGCACTGGATGACAGCGGGTCCAACTGTGCAATCGCGGCCATGTAACGGCCGTGTCAGGTTTTTTGAGTTTTGTGGTTTGTTTTTTTGGCTTGCATTGGCTAAAATCAGTGCTGCCTTCCCTCCGCATTGTACTTTACACCCCTTCATTTTGTATCCATGAGTTTTTGTATCATTAATAAACCGGCTTGAGCGTGCCTGGGTTGATCCAGTGGGTGCGTATCTGCCAAGAACCGAAATTTCTCAGCAGTGCCAAAGCTTGTGATTTCTCAGTTAAACACATTTCTCGGATCATCTCTGCAGCCACTCCATACTCGCTCTCTCGCTCTATCACAACTCATTCAGTCTTCCATATTCACATCTCGACATAGGACGACATGGGCGAGGCGGTCAACTTGCCATTCTCGCTGCACCGTCTCTTTGAGCCACGCGCGCCGCTCTTCTTCCTCAAGCCGCTCGACCAGCTGCCCTATGAGAAGGTACGCATCAAGACGAGGGGTAAACGGGGGGGGGGGAAGCGATCCGAACGAGGTGCTTTAGGAGGGGGATCGTTTGCTTGTCGTTTTTTGTAACGCTTTGTCTCGAGAGCCAGTGCGACAATGCGACAATGCGACAATGCGACGCTTGGTGGCTGTTTGCTGTGCCCCACTTTGTGTTTGCTGAAGCGCCCCGTGGGTGAGGTGGATTGAGATCGAGTGCGTACAGACCCAGAGATCTCTCCATCTTCCTGTTTCCTGTGCCCTCTTTCCCCCTCCCCCTTTTCAAACCCTACAATCGTCGTCGGTCACATAATCACATTGCACATCTCGATCGGCAATATAGTCACGCTCTCAAATGGCTTGCTGGAAGGCGATCAAAAACTCACAAACTGTTGCAACCTATTTGTTTGGATTTTTGGTTCAGAACCTGCCGTCGTACACTGGCATCGGTCATCTCGTACACAAATTTGAGAATCCTGCAGACACGCCGGCAGCAGTGTACATTCCATCCCGCCTTGAAATCCGGGCCAAGAAGGTTTGTTTTGTTCAATCCCGCATCGCTTTTGATTTAGTGAAATAATACTGACGATGTTGTCTTCCAACTTCAGCGCCAAGCGGATGAAAGTCGTCACGCGAGTGAACTCGAGACTGCCACAGCAGCATGGCATCCCAAGGAAAACCCAAACGCCACTTCCGACCCGTTCAAGACGTTGTTCATTTCGAATTTGGTATGTTTTGCTTCTGCCTTGCCTGCTACGGTTGTCGTTGCTGTTGGGACGAAACCTCACTCTTTACTCGGTCGCCCTTCTAGAGCTATGACACGACTGAGGAATCCCTCAAGCGCGAAATGGAAGAATATGGCTCAATCAAACAGGTTAAAAAAAATGACTCAAACCTTTTAGTCAAACCATTCTCGCCGCCCTGCTCCAACTCACTTTTTGTTGTCCCTTGGCATGCCTTGTTGCAGATTCACATTGTGCGAAACACTCAAACCTCCAAGCCCCGCGGCTACGCTTTCGTGGAGTTTGAGCACGAACGGGACATGAAAGGTGAGCCATCTCGGCGCTACGATTTACAATGCGTTTGTTTTTTCTATCTTGGGCTGACTGTTTGTTTTTTGCTCCCTCGCTTCAGATGCATACAAGCAAGCAGATGGTCGAAAAGTCGATGGTCGGCGAATCGTAGTTGACTTTGAGCGCGGTCGGACAATCAAGGAGTGGAAACCAAGACGATTAGGTACCAAATTTCGCGCAGAGCCGGGGGAGGGGAGGGAATGCGAAACAAGGAAACATCCACTGACATGAACTCTTCTTGCTGTCTTTCATCTTCCTGAACATTGATGCAGGAGGCGGCGTTGGCTTGCCACGACAAAATCCCAAGGATGCTGCCAAGGCGGACGGAGTGCACTCGATCGTGCCACAGCGCGCCCGCAGCCGCAGTCGTAGTCGTAGCCCTGAACGCCGCTATGATGACCGCCGCGACGACCGCCGCGACGACCGCCGGGATGATCGGCGAGATGACCGACGAGATGATCGCGATCGTGATCGTGATCGTGATTCTCGCGACCGCTACTCTGACCGCGACCGCTACTCTGACCGTGACCGACATTCTGACCGCGACCGATACTCTGACCGCGACCGTTCCGACCGTGACCGTTCCGATCGCGACCGGTCTGACCGCGACCGCGACCGTGATCGCTACGATCGAGACCGATACGATCGTCGCTAAAAGACCTGGTAACGAAGGCCGGTCACTCGATGTTTCGTTTCGTTTGTTTTTTTTGTTTTCCTCCAGTACACTCATGTTCCACTGCTACTCCCACTTCAGGAGCAGTAATCAGCAACCAACGCATCAAAGCGATTTATGTTTGTCTTGTCTGAAGTGTTTCAAGGGATACATATAAGGCCGGTGTATTTCGCGCGTGTGCATTGCAGATTTCATAACAGGCGAAAGAAGATTGCGAAAGCTCAAAGCAGAACACAACCATTCTCCGGTTGGTTTTAAGAAAAAAGCAGTGGCGCCATTTGGCCTGGCTTCAAGGAGCGACTACTTCTTGAGCGCCTCAACCTTGATAACAGAGAAATTGACACCATGTTGCTGCAATCGCTCAATCAGTGAAGTCTGAGCGAAGGCAGCTGCGGGAGTGAGCACACCGCCCTTGTACGGGATGGTTTTGCGCTCCTGAAGGAGCACGAGAGCCGACTGCACCAGGAAGATGGGCGTGGCAATGTAACCGGGCTCTGAGCAACCAAACACCAGCGTATCGCACAAGTTAGGAATGGGGAGGGTCGGGGAGGGCAGCACTATCACGAAACGACACAAGACGAACGCTCTTACCAGGGCCGGCAACACGAGTGACAATTTTCTTGTCGGGGCGCTTCGTCTCGACAGCGTCCTTGGAAGAGTAGCCAAGAGCGTAGAACGTCATGGAGAAGGACGTCGTGTTGAGCTGGCGACGGGTGGGGCCCTCATGCGAAAACAGGCCGAACGTGAAGAGCTTGGGGTGCTGTCGGGTGCAACAGATAATGCAAGCACAATTCTCACTTCAGTAAGGGGCACACTTTTCCCGCGCAGATACCAGCATGATTTGTCCAAGCACGGCACCACGGCACCACGGCACCATCGAATTGCACACTAATTTCAATTTTTGATTGGCTTTGGTTGTTACCTTCAGCAAAATCTTGCGCCCGAACGGATAGCGCGCAAACAGTTGGAAGATGGACCCGAAGAAGAAGAAGAGAATCAGCGTCCAGAACGACGAGATGGTAAAGTAGGCGCCGTATTGGATGGGGGACACGCCGCGAGCCTCGTAGTTGACACGCTGGGTGCGCCTGACAACAGACGCATCAGCACCCATGAACGGCATGCACCAGCGATCGCTCTCCTTGTGGAAAAAGGCACCTGCGCGTCGCTTGATCGGAGGGGCAACGATCGGGAGCCGCGCGCTGGCACCCGCCTGACGGCGGAGCTGATCGAGCTCGCCGCGAGCACCAAAGCCGTGCACCGCCGACTCGTAGGTGGCATAATGGCCACCCATTCCCTCCGGTCCCGAGTGAATGGACAGGTAGCTTTCAATGTTGGACACCAGCTCGGGGGTGCCAAACTGCTGCACGGCGAACGCAGTGCCCAAGTCTGCAGGAATCGAGTCAAATCCGCAAGTGTTCACGACAATGACGCCCTTCTCTTCCGCCTGCTTGTGGTACTTGAGGGCGATTGTTTCGAGGTACTGCGAGTTGCAGGGAAATGAGAAGAGTGTTTCCAACAGCCAAATAAACAGAGCACAAAGTGCACCAATCTGCCTCACCTGCGGTTCACCGCTGACGTCAAGAAAGTCGGTGCCAGCATCGATGCAAGCCTTGACGACTTGCTCTCCATAGAAGCGATACTATGAAATGGAGACAGAGTGAGATTTTGAGTTGAGTTGTTGCGTTTTCAGCTCCCAAAAGCGTGAGTGCGGCCATTTGTAAAAGTGTCGTTCGTCACATACAGGTCCAACGCAGTCGAGGATGACGCGCGCACGCTGAGCCATGGCCTTGAGCGATGCTTCGTCTGCCACGTCCGCGATGACGAGCGGGATGTTCTTGATCGACTGGTCATTCAGCGTGCTTGCGACATTGTTGAGCACCTCTGTTGCCCCGCCACCCCAAAAGCAGCAGCCAGCCAGCCAGCCAGAATGGTCAGCACACACACATACACAGACATACAAACGACCAGAACGCAAGCAATGAATCACTGCTTTCAACGAGGTGCGGATTAGTAGGAAATTATCCGTCCGCTTCCGCTTTTTTCTCAACCCGCTCTTCCAGCAATTCAGCAATGCAGCAAGCGGCTGAATCAAGGACATCCATGCATAGCTCGAAGCGTGTGTGTGTTTTTTTTCACCTTGCAGCTTGGCCTTGTTGCGACCGGCGACCGCCCAGCTCAGCTTGTCCTTGTTCGAGCGCGCAATGTCCTCGACGACCATTGCGCCAGTGAAGCCCGTCGCGCCAAACACGATGGCGTCAAACTCACGTGTCAGAGAGGACATTTTTCAAAATGGGGAAAAAATAAAAAAAAAAAATGACGACAAAAAAGACTGACAATGAAGTTTCCTCAGAGAGATGAACGAGACACGAATTGGAGAGCTCGCACGCAACGACCACGACGGACAGACCGACCAAGCGGCGTTCAATGAATTGCCACTATGCACTACTGAGAGAATATCGCTCTACAGCTCTCGTTAGGACGGAGCTACTGCACAGCAGCAGATTGATCGGAAGTCGGTCAGAATGATGGAAATTGGACGATCGCGTTTCCCCCCCGGTTTCCCGGTTTCAGCCTCAAGCAACTGGACAATGGGACACTGTTTGTCATGCTACAAACAGCTCTCCACTGACCCCTCATCGGAAAGGTCAAGTCAGTCCTTCCTTTTCCCTCCTTTGATTCCCAGATCAGCAAATGCGGATTGTTCCAGTGCTGCTGGCGTTGACTGCAGTGTTGGCGCTGACGTCGCTCTCCCGTGCGGCCCCTCGCGTCCCTGGCAAGACGCTTGTTCTGCTCGAGAACTACAGCTTGCGCCAGACGCACTCGACCTTCTTCCGTCAGCTGCAAGGTAGAAGCGCAGAAGCGGGACCAGAGACAACGACCCCTCGTTTTGTGTGCTTGCTGTTCCAGCCCTCCCATCCCCATCCCCGCCCGGGTGCAGCAATCCGGATCCAGCATCCAAAGGACAACGATTGTGAACCACGATGATGGGCTGATGAAGCGTTCGGTCGAGAATGGAGAGAGCGAGATCAGTGCACTTGGGATTGAGCTTTGGACGGATTTTTCCCCTCAACAACTCCACAAGAGGCCGTTCTCAAGCAGCGTGCTGGCATCCGATTGGGGCTTCGGCTTGAGAAACGCATTGCATTGCATTGCATTGCAGTCCATCCAAACAGCGCAACCCGACCTGAATGAATGCTGAATGCTGGGATCTCAAACGATCTCTGTTTTTTTTTTTTTTATTTTTTTTTTTTTTTTTTGGCTTTGAATCCGAAGGGTCTGATGAGACTTTGGGGGTCATGGAATAGACGCGTTTGACGCTGAGCGTTGCTCTGAGGTTGCAAATCGAGAAGCACAACGTGTGGTCTGCCAGGCGAGCGCGACGACGACGACGAGAGAGAGAGAGAGAGAGAGAGAGAGAGAGAGAGAGAGAGAGAGAGAGAGAGAGAGAGAGAGAGAGAGAACAATTTTTATTTATTATTTTCAATGGATTTTCAATGGATTTCAATTTTTTTTTTTTTTTTTTTTTTTTTTTTTTTTGGTTTTGGTTTTGGTTTTGGTTTTGGTTTACTCACAGTTTGACCCGTTTCAATCAATGAATCTGTTTTTGGTCTGCTGCTCTCATTGGACACAGAGCAAGATTTCACCCTCTCGTTTGCGCTGGCCGACGAGAAGAAGCTCTCTCTGAGCAGCTACGGCGACCGCATCTACGACAACTTGATCATCTTCGCCCCGTCTGCGGAGGAGTTTGGCGGATCGCTCACTGTGCGCTCCATTCTCGACTTTGTCGACCACGGTGGCAACGTCATTGTTGCAGGCAGCTCGAGCATTGGCGAGCCCATCCGCGAGTTTGGCAGCGAGTGCGGCTTTGAGTTTGACGAGGAGAGCGCGGCCGTCATTGATCACATCAACTTTGACTCCAAGCTCGACAACGGCGAGCACACCACCATCGTCACCGATCAGATCATCGACAACAAGGTAAGATGTTGATTTGTGTTTTGGAAGCGGCGGTGCTTTGGAAGCGGGGTTGATTTTGGTTGGTTGAGCGTATGCGGTTTATTCACTTTGCATTTCTTTTTGACTTTGTCGCCTCACCCCGCCGTCGCTACCTCATCTTGATTGCTTGAATTGTACGCCCCAATGATCAGTTGATTGCTGGCACCAACAAGGGCCGTGTTCTCTTCCGCGGCGTCGGTCTCGTGCAGGATCTGTCCAACCCCCTTACCATCCGCGTCCTGTCGGCTGAATCCACCGCATACACTTACTTTACCGACGAGAAGGTTTGTTCTGTGCCAGTCGCGTGCCGAGGAAGGATTTGCATACCGGCAGACTTATCACTTATCCTTTTCTTTTGTCTGTTGTTTCCCTTTCCCCCCCCCCTCTTTCCAAACAATGCAGATCTCGGTCGCTCCTCACGTCGTTGGCAGCAAGACAGTGTTGGTGGGTGCCTTGCAGGCGCGCAACAATGCTCGCGTTCTGTTCTCTGGCTCGCTCGATCTCTTCTCGGACGAGTTCTTCAACGCGCAAGTCAATGTTGCTGGCGCGACTGCCTCGCCATCTGCCAACCGCGACTTTGCCATCAGCGCTGCGCTCTGGACCTTCAAGCGCTCTGGTATTCTCCGTGTGAGCGGCGAACCCAAGCACCATCTTGCCGGCCAGACAACAGTTCCAGAACTGTACACTGTGTTTGACCAGATCGAGTACTCGCTTCGTGTGGAGGAGCTCGTCGACCGCAACTGGGTTGGCTACCAGGGCAATGACATGCAGCTCGAGTTTGTCATGCTCAACCCTTACTTGCGCTTGACGCTCAACAACACTGGCGACGGCGTCCAGCACGCCAGCTTCCAGGCTCCCGACGTCTATGGCGTCTTCCAGTTCCGCGTCGACTACAAGCGCACCGGCTACACTTATGTGCAAGTGCACAACCAAATCCCCGTTCGGCCGTTGCAAAACACTCAATACGAGCGATTTATTTTCTCGGCCTTCCCCTATTATGCTTCGGCCTTCTCCATGATGGGTGGCCTCTTTGTCTTCTCGCTGGTTTTCCTGTACCATCGCGAAGCCCCTGCTACCAAGAAGAACTAACTGCCAACCCATTAAGGCAGGGCTGGTGATGACAACTGTTCGCGAGCCAGGAGGTTGTGACGTAATTTTTTTTTCCCCCCTCTGCTTTCTGACGTCCTCGCCTCAGTCCCGTGTGCTACTGTTGCACCAGCCTCATCTAAGTAGTACAAAACAGCTCATTTTTGTGCATGTCTCCGTATGTATCGTTGTGTGTATGTGTTTGTGTTTCACAATAACAAATTTTTTCCTTTTTTTTGCTTTTTTTTTTGCTTTTTTTTTGTTTTCGACTTGGTTTGTCTCATCGTTGTTGAACTATTGTACCTCTCTCTCACAAGCGTTGAAATTGTGAAGGAGGATTGCAGTAGAATACAAACTTAGTACTATTGCAAGTGTGGTACAACATGAAACGGAAACACACACACACACAAAAAAAAAAAATGTACAATCATACAAACACTCACTCATTCACACAACAAAAACAGAAAACGAAACAAGTCCAGCACCAATAACAAGAACGACAAGGAAACAAACAAGAAAACAAAGACCAATCGAACAACGTCCCCGCGGACACCGAATCACGAAAACGCCGTTCAAGTAACTGAAATACTGAACAAAAGAGCAGGGACAGGAGGAGAAGAGAAAGAGAGGTAGGCATCGAGATGAAACGAGCAAATGCCCTCTCACGTGACTGAAAGGGACAAGAAAACATGATACAAAGAAACTAAAAGAGATAGAGAAAAAACAAAAAGAGAGAGAGAGAGCTCCAACACAGATGCAATCGAAAATACAGGCCTTCCCGTCAATAGTACAGGCGAGCGCTGAGTGCGCTGCAAGCATGGGAAGAGGGAATCACCAGTTCACAACGAGTTTGACGTGCCAGACGTGAGTCGGGCGCTATCACCGGGCGGCGTGCCAACCAGCTGAGTTTGCTGGGGAGAGTAGGCCCCAGGAGACATTTGCGGATGACTCATAAAGCTCAGCTGATGGGCTTGATTGATGGCGTTAGAGTCAAGGCTGCCTGTGCTGATTCGCCGACGAACGGCGGGATCTAGCGACTGCGGGTCCACGTCCCCGGCGCCATTGCTGAATCCCGAGTGTCCTTCTCCTGGACCGAACTGCATCTGCTGCATCAGGCCAGAGAGTGCTTGTGGGGGAGACAGCGGACTGCGACCGCGTCCGAGGGAAGACAGAGTTGGCATTGCCGAAGCCGAGCGCGAGGCTAGCGCGTTCTTGCGATCCTCCACATTGCGGCGGTTATGTCCGTTGCGTAGATCGGCCAGGCTTCCAGTCTCGCTTGCATTGGTGCGCAGCGATCCAGGCGAAGGTGCCATAAATTGCGGCGACATCATGGGGTGCTGCTGCTGCTGCTGCTGCTGTTGTTGTTGTTGCTGTTGGTGATAGTGGTGTTGCAATTGTTGCTGTTGCTGCTGCTGCTGCTGCTGCTGCTGCTGTTGGAGTTGATACTGCTGTTGCTGCTGTTGCTGCTGCTGTTGTTGCTGCTGCTGTTGGTGTTGTTGCAGCTGAAGCTGAAGCAATTGCTGTTGTTGGTGTTGTTGAAGCAACTGGTGCTGTAGTTGCTGCTGCTGTTGTTGCTGCTGGTGGTGCTGTTGTTGTTGCTGCTGGCTGGGATGCGGCTGCTGCTGCTGCTGCTGCGCCAATAGCAAATTTAACTGCTCGTTCAAAAAGTCGGTAGATTCGCCCAGACTCAGATCTGCGGCCAGGGGCATTCCTACGCTGAACATGGCGGCCGTATCTGTGACATCATCGCCAGGCAGTTGGATACGTTCAGGCAGCGTGCCGGACAAGTTGACGCTGTGGGTGTGCAGACTCTTGAAGCTCAGGTTCAAATCATCCACAAAGCCAAAGTCACCACCGCCATTCAAGATAGCGCTGCTCATCGTTGGCGTGTTGATTGCAGAGCTGTTTTGTGAGCTCTGCTCGCTGTCGGTATTGCCACTGATGATGAGCTTTGCGGGTTTGCGAGGCAAGTAGTTGGTATCAATTTCGCCCTCCTTGATATCCGGGTTGTATGGCATGGGTCCTTTCGAGGCCGAGTTGGACCGTGAGCGGCGGCGCTGCTTGCTTTGGCGCGACGACAAGTCGGTGGTTTGCGTCTCATCCAGCGTCCAATATGCACCCTTGCCCGGATCTTCCCGCTCTCTCGTGACACGCTTGAAGCACTTGTTGAGCGAAAGATTGTGGCGAATAGAGTTCTGCGTTAGTTTTCAGAGCAAGAGAACGGAGGGATCGAGTGAGGAATGGCAGAACACAACACGAGAGAAAAGAAAAAGAAACAAAAAGCAAAAAAAAAAAAAAAAAGCAAAAAAACAGCGTCAAAGCGGGTACCTTCCATCCAGTCGACGTTGTCTGATAGAATGGATAATTCTCAGAAATCCAATTGTAAATGTTGCTCAGCGTCATTCGATGATCTGGCGTGCTCTGGATTGCACGCGCAATCAACGTGGCGTATGAAAATGGTGGTTTCCCACCCGAGCCTGGCCCGCTGGATCCTGGGCTGTCGATGGAGCCTAGATGCTCGTTGTAATCGGCTTCCAGCGCTCCGTCCAAAATGTCGTCAAAGTCGTTGTTCGCAGGAGACGACACAAAATCAGAATCAGCCGCAGGTGTGAGCGGGTGGCCGGCATGTTGGTCGTGCGGTTGCGCAGGGGCTGAAGCGGATTGCGAGGATTGAGCTGCCGACTGTGATTGTTGTGCTTGTTGCTGTTGTGCCTGTTGTTGAGCCTGTTGTTGTGACTGTTGCTGCGACTGTTGCTGTCCATGGGGTTGCTGGGATTGTATGGTGGCAAGCATCGATGTAGCGATCAAGTCCAACGCACTGTTTTTGGAAACACTTGCGCGACTGGCACGCCGAGAGCGACCCTTTGTTGGTGTGGAGGCACCCGATCCATTGGGCGAAGCGCTGTTCAGAGAAGTGAGCGACGGATGCTGGGACAGTGGCGTAAAAGCCGAGCCGGTGGAGGGTGCGGCTCCCGGTGCGGCTCCAAACATGCTGCCATTATTCAGACCATTCAGCGACGTGGCAGACGTGGGCATGGACGAATGAGAAAAGAGTTCTGTAGGTGTGACGGCGCGTGGCAGAGCTGGTTGAGGCTGGGAAGGATGCGCTTGCTGCGGAAAAACCTGCTGAGGTTGGTTTTGCGAGTAGTACAACAACTGTGGTGGTAGTTGATCAGCGCTCGCGAATGCCGCTTGATCCAAGTGGAAGTCTTGAGCAAGCTGTTGTTGGTGTTGGTGTTGTTGTTGTTGTTGCTGTTGTTGTTGCTGCTGCTGTTGCTGTTGTTGCTGCTGTTGTTGCAGTAGCAGCTGCTGTTGCAACTGGTCGTATTGCTGTTGCAACGACAGCGTCTGTGACAGGAGCATTTGCTGTAGGTTTTGCTCTTCTTGGAGAGTCTGCTGGAGCAGCAACGAGCGAGCTGCCTCCGATGACACCGAGTTCAGATTGTTCAGCTCGCTCAGATCAAATCCAGCCATGAACGACGACACGTTTGCCGCGCTCTCGGCGAGCCCCGTGCTCAAGTCATCAAAGCTCTGTGGCTGACGCTGCTGTTGTGCAGCGAAAGCTGGATGTTGTTGCTGTTGTTGTTGTTGTTGCTGCTGCTGCTGCTGGTGCGATTGGTGCTGCTGAATGTATTTTTGCCGTTCCCAATCTTGTTCCAGGCGCTGTTGGATGATGGCCAAGCTCTGCTGAGCGCGTCGCTGCTTGGCGAGCTCTGCTTGCACTGTGGCGCTACTGTTTTGTACTTGCTGCTGCTGCTGCTGCTGCTGCTGCGAGACGGCCGTCCCGAGCAGAGGAGAACCTGGCGAGTTTGACGCGGACGAAGCAACTGCGCCAGCGCCGTTCGCGGTGCCCAAGTGCTGCAGCAGCGACGAGTAGTGCTGTTGCTGCTGTTGTTGCTGCTGTTGCTGTTGCTGCAAGAGGAGCAGGTAGTGCTGCTGCTGTTGCTGCTGCTGCTGCTGCTGACTCTGGCTTTGTTGCTGTTGCTGAAGTAAGAGCATGTTAGTCAGCTCGCTCAGCTCGTCCGTGGTTGGCACCGAGCCCGACGACGCCAATCCCGACGCAGCAGCCCCAGCTCCAGCTCCAGCTCCGGCAGCAGCGGCAGACGACCCCGGCGACGGCACAAAGCCACCGCTGCTCGACATGGTCCCTGCCAAAAAAAAAAAATAGAACAAATAATAATAATAAAAAGAAAAAAAAAAAAACAGAAAATCGGTCGGTTTTTTTCACTTGAAGCTGACCCCTCTCAATTGACGCTCGGGGTTTTGCTCGGCTGCCTGCCTGCCTGCCGAAGGGGAGGACGATCTCAAACCCGCCCAGCGGAGGGGGAGCTTGTGCTGCGTTTCAACTGGCTTGCCTGGCGAGTAGGAGGCGGAAGTGGATCCCCAGATGGACCAGAGGAAGGACGGACGGACTGTAAGCGAGAAGAGAATGAGAACAAAAAAACATGAACAAGAAGGAGGAGAAAAAAAAAAAAAAAAAAAAACTCTGGTTACCGTTCGTCTGGTCTTGATGGGCCGGGGTTTTGAGAGACGCTTCGCAGCCCTGGCTTGAGCTGAACCAAGCAAGCGGGAAGAGAATGAAGGGAATCGCCGAGCGGAGCAGCGTCGGGCACAACAAAACCGGGAGGAGAGGGTCGAAAAGGGGAAACAAACAAAAAAAAAAAAAAAAAAAGGAAAAGGAAAAAAAAAAAAAAAGGAAAAGGAAAAAAAATACAAAATGGAAAATGGACTAAAATCAAGATTTTGGAGGGAAAACAAAAAAAAAAAAAAAACAAAAAAAAATTACCCTGCAAAGAATTGGTGCAACAACTGCGAAAAAAGCACAACACAATCCAAAGCGAGCAAAGAGAACAACATCGGAGACGCGGGTTGGCGAACGATGGTGGGGGATGGACCAAGGGGGAAGAGGGGCGAAAATCAGGCGAGACGGAGGCGTTTTCTCAGGGGTGGGTGGGTGTTTTGTTTCTCACCACGTCTCACGTCCCTCGGTTCTTTGCCCACCCTCTCCCTTTGGCGCCGCTGGGTGCCATCCCGCTCTGCTCAAGCCGCCCTGAATGGAACACCCAGTTTGGAACGAAATGGACAAACAAGGGGCGACTGACTGCTGCAGACTCGAAACAGGAGCCGCATCAGTTCTCAGGCCAACCTGCTGTCAAACCGATTTATGGGAAACCAATAAAAAAAAAACCTGGCGAATTTGCAAACTGTTTCGCATTCGGTGGAAGGCCTCATCCCTCCATCCCACCTCCTCCATCCATTGTAGGCAACATTGAATGAACAGAATCGCGTACTGTTCATTGGATCGCGCAAACGACAGACGACGCAACGAGGTGCCATGAACGTTTAAAATGAACATGACCGAACGATGTCACCGCCGCCCTCAATTACAGCGCCCCAAAGCGGCGGACAAAAAAAAAAGCTCTCGCCATTGCTCCACGCCGGGAAGGGGGGGGGGAATCTGGGAATGTTCGCGCCGACAGAGGGACGACCATAAAACTCATAAAACGTCGTCTATTCTACGAGCACAATAATAACATTCATTGTACAACTCACAACATTCAATATCAATCAATCCCGCAGTCCCAGCTACGGGTTGGAAGGCGTTGCGCTGCCACTGGTATCACCGGGCGCAGTGACGCCGGTGTGCCGGTTGTGCGCTCTCATGAGGGAGCCAAAGAGACTCGACTCTTGCTGCAAGAGGGCAGCCGGAGTGTCAAACTCGACGACACGGCCAGCCTCGAGGCCCAGAATGCGGTCTGAATCAGCAATGGTTGCAATGCGATGCGCAATGACCAGAATGGTGCAGTTATGGAAGGCGGTGCGAATCACATGCTGGAGCATGGCATCGGTGCGATAGTCCACGGAAGCGCTCGCTTCGTCCAGCACGAGAATGCGGGCACGACGCAGGAATGCGCGCGCCATGCAAAAGAGTTGACGCTGGCCAGTGCTAAAGTTGGATCCGCCCTCGGACACGGTGAAATCCAGACGATCCCCGACAAGCTCCTGCGAGCCGCGCAACTGCTCCACCACCGTGTCCAGCTGAGCAATGCGCAACGCCGCCCACAGTTGGTCATCGGTGCACTCCATGGCGGGATCCAGATTGTAGCGGACAGTGCCGGCAAACAGCAGCGGATCTTGCGGAATAATGGCCAGGGCGCCTCGCACACGCGCAAGCGGGATGGACGCAATGTCTTGCCCGTCAATCAAGATGCGGCCCGTGACACACGGCACAATGCGAAAGAGTGCAAGGGTCAAGGTGGATTTGCCTGTCAAGTAGAAATTGGGGGAACATTGCGTGTGTGTGTGTGTGTGTGTGTGGGAACAAGAGACATGCGTGAGAAATTCTTGCTCAAAACTAAACGCTTTTGTTTTGCGTTGGCACCCCAAACGCTTCCAAAAGAAAAAAAAGAACTTACCACTGCCGGTACGGCCACAAATGCCAATGCGCTCGCCTGCCTTGACAGTCAGAGATACACCCTGCAAAACAGGGGCTGAATTGGGCCGGTAACACACCGTGACATTCTCAAATTCAATGTTGCCACGCGACGGCCAGGACAGATCCAGATCCGGACGGGAGTAAACTCCTGCCAGCGTACCGGCGTCTTCGGTAGTAGCAAAGCCGCTTTCACCTTCGGCAACAGTGTCCTTTTCAATGGCAAGACTGGCATACTCGCTCACCCGCTGCACAGAGTTCATTTGCATTTCCGTGTCGGTGTAGTTGCGAACCACAATGTTCAGCAGCAGCGTCGTGGTCATGGCGTAGCTGAGCGCAAGACCCACCAAGCCCGCGTCGATCGTGTTGGCGGCAAGCAGCGAGCTGATTGCCGCGGCGAGAATGATGGTCGAGCCGACACCCTCAATGCGAATGGCAATCCATCGGTTTCCGCCATAGAGAGCCGAAACGACCAGAGCGTTGCGCTCCACGTTGCGTGCGTTGGCCACAGCAAAGCTGGCCTGCGCCCGATACGCGCGGATGGTGGCCAGGCCTTCCAGCGTCTCGGCAAAGTTGGCAAAGATGGGAGACTTGGTCACGCTGTCCAAGCGCTGGAGCTCGCGCGATGACTTGCGGAAAAAGTTTTGCAGCCAAAAGTAAACGCACAGAATGGGAACAAGCGGGATGGAAAACCATGGCGCAACCACCAGCTGCACAACGAGCGACGAGAGGACAAACAAGATGCGCTCGGCCAAGCTCTGGAAGGACACAATCAGGACTGTGTCGATGGAATTGACGTCCGAGGTGAAGCGATTCTGGATGCGGCCAACCGGCGTCGTGTCAAAGAACATCATTGGCGCGTGCGCAATGCGATTCAGCATCTTGGCATGCAGCTCTCGAGCAGATCGGAAGCCCAGATAGGACATGGACAACGTCACCATGCCGGATAAAACGAGCGACACACTGACAAGGATGGCATAGTACTTGACATAGTAGAAGGCATCTGCGCTGTCGTCGGCGTTGGCCCACAAACTGAGCCACCAGTCTGTCGTCACCAGCACACTTCGAGTGACAATACACAGGCAAAAGACGCCCATCCAGAGTCCAAGTCCGGATGCCGCAAAGTACGCCTTGTACACGCGCCATGACACGGCGCCTTCGGCGCGTTTTTCGTGATCAATCAAGCGAGCGCTCGAGGTGCCATTGGGCAATGAGGGGGCGCTGCCATTGCCGTTCGTTGAGGCGGACTTTGTGGTTTTGGCAGGGCCGTTCAGGGGTGCTGTATCGCTGCTGTCTTCCGTCGTCGTCTGGAGCCCGTCGTCCTCTTCGTCCGCTTCGATGAGTTCAATGTCGGTGTTTTCATTGCTGCTGATGTCGCTCACGCGAGAATTGGAAGGCGAGGCCAGTTTGCTTGCTGCTTCGTCTGAGGTGCTCATCGCTGACTCGGTTTGGAAGGTCATGCCTGGTTGGGCCTCGTCGGTTGAGGGAACTGCCGATACCAACTGTGGCGAGGCTTCAATCGAGTCTGCCTGTTCGGGGGCTGGCGATGCCGTCTCTGTGACTTCGGCCCCCAGCACCGACATGTTCACGCCCGAGGCTACAAGCTGCTCTAGGGTGCCCTGCGCGAGAATGGACATGCTTTGTAAGACCACCACATTGGTTGCAAATGGCAGATACTGCAGCTGGTGCGTGGAGAGGAGTACAGCTTTCCCTCGGTTGACGAGAGCCTCCAAGATCACTTTATGGAAGATGTGGTGACCAACATGAGCATCCAGTGCCGAAAGCGGATCGTCGAAAAGAACCACATCAGCGTCCGAGTACAGCGCTCTTGCAATGCTGATGCGTTGCTTTTGGCCGCCGCTGTTACAAACCACCAAGCAAAAACCACAGCAAAACAAAAAAATCGCACCACAAGAAAGAATTGCCATGTCAGTTCAGTGCAACACAACCACTCCCCGCCAATGACGAGCACCCCAAAGCATATGCGCACCTCAAGTTAATGCCCTTCTCGCCAATTTCCGTTCTGTCTCCAGCAGCCAAGGACTCAATGTCTGGGCCAAGAGCACAGCGTGACAGGACTTCTTGATACCGCTCGGCGTTGAATGGAGTTTGGAAGGTAATGTTGTCCCGAATACTGGCATTCAAAATCCATGCCGACTGAGCCACGTAGGCCACAGATCCGCGCAGCACCCGCCGGCCACGCACGCGAGGCATCTCTCCGAGAAGCGCAGAAATCAGAGACGTCTTGCCAGACGCGAGTCGACCTGCAATCAGAGTCAGAGTGCCGGGCGTGCAGCGGAGCGTCACGTCGGGCAGAACACTGACTCGAGCCGTCTCTTCGCTGGCATTCGCCTCCAACAACCATGAGAATGTGGCATTCGTTGCAGACACTTCGGCAGGCTGCTGCTGCTGCGACGCGTCCCGCGTTTGAGCAGCACGGTGCTGGTCGGAGCGGGGGCGACGGTGGGCCGCGGGAGGCCGCGGCAGCCACATTGGCGCGGCGCGCTCCTTGGTCGGGTGGTCGGGATCGGCCAGGCTGGGATCCAGCACGCCCACAACTTGGTCGACTCCACCATACACGCCAGAGGCTTGCAGCTCCATGCTTTCCGCCTCCGAGTCGAGGAAATCCTGGTACAAACGCCGATCCCAATCGTCGTCCTCGTCCTCATGGCTTTGGGCGGACACGCCGTCGCCGAGATCGTGCGAAAGTTCAGGCAGCTCCAAAAACGCCTGCAATCGTGTCATGCTCACCCGCGCGTCTGTTGCTGTGCGGATGATGAGGGGCAGCATGTACAGCGGGATGCGGATGAGTTCGTACAGCGACAGGGCGGTGAATGCCGTGGTTGGCGTCAACGGTTCGTCGCTGATGGCAGCAAAGGAGGCAAAGGCCGTCACGGTGATGAGCATGGGAAGGGTTTGCTGGATGAGTTGCAGCAATGCGTTGAGCAGCGCCACGCGAAACATGATGGCCAGCTGAGCAGCTCGCGCCGCGAGCGCCCGTTGCAAGAACGCAGGCTCCCAGGCGTAGAGCTTGATCACCTTCATGCCGTTGATGAGCTCGGTGATTTTCTTGACGCGAGAATCGTCGCGCGCCATGGCTTGCTTGTTGAGCATTGTAATGTAGGTGGCAAGGCGCAGTTGCACCGGAATGACCAAGACAATGACCAGGAATCCAATCAAGGCAGCGTAGCCAAGAACATTGGTCAGATAGATGATGGCAATGAGCACTTGGAGGGGAATTGCCCAAAAGTAGTGCACGAAAAACAGCAGCATCATGACTTTGGTCGTGTCAATGGACATGTGGTTGAGAATGCTGCCAGTGTTGGACTTAGCGCGAGCCTGAGGAGATAGACGCAGGGCTTTTCGATAGACAGTTGTCATGAACGCCGACCGCAGACGAATGGCAGCGCGCACGGCCATGTGGTTGTGCGAGTGAACCGACATGGTCTGCACCACTGCGCCAAAGAACATGACGAACGCCAGCACATAGCCGTTGCTGAAAAAGACGTTCCAGCTCACGTGGCCCACTTCGTGCGGCGGCATCGCTGCAGTCACAGATCCATTGAGGGGCAAGGATGTGTTGTTGCTGTTGCTGCTGGAAGAGTCCGAGTCGGACCTCTGAATCTCAACAACGTAGGCAAGAATGCCACGAAGACAAGTCGGATTGAGAAACATGAAACAGCTGCTCAGAAGCATCCAGACACTCGCTTCGAGCATGTCTCGCCGCATGGTCAACATGACGACGCGGAAGATGGAGCGTAATTGCGGCGGCTTGTTGTCAGATGGGACTAGTTCGGTGGAATGGGAGCCGCGGGGCGCTTCTGGCGGGGATTGGCCGCGCAACTCACTTCCGAGCTCATCCAGAGGAACAAACTCGTTGTTGGCGCGACGGCCTGAGCGAAACAAGGGGCGCACGCGACTCTTCCATCTCGGAATCCGCACTTGCCAGATGGACGGGGAATCTGCGTTTCTCGGGTGGTGAAGTGCGACTGCGGCCTGCGTCAGCCGCGGTGACTCGAGCTCTTCTGTGGCGGCAAAGGGTTGGGGCGATGTGCGTTCGTCTTCGTCACCGCTGTCGTCGTCGTCGTTCTCGTCACTCTGCATGCGGGCATATCCTGTTTGTTGCTGAGTGTGGGAGTTGTCAGCAGATGCTTCAGTGGCACGAGAATGGGTGCTGCTGTTGTGGTTGTTGTTGTTGTTGTTGTTGTTGTTGCTGTTGTTGCTGCTGCTGTTACCGTTGACCGAGGACCCATGTGCAGAACTTGCTGTATCAGCAGACTGCTGCATGAGCTGGCGGACAGCCTCGACAGACGAGACAGTCGGCTCCTTCCACGCCAAGAAGGTGCGAAACCGTCGTGCGACAAACACGGCCTTGTCGTCCTGGCTCATTTTGCCCAAATGGTGCGCCTCAAAATTGGTGGTGGCGCCGAATTTGAAAAGCGGTGTCAAGTAGAGGTAGTACCGGCGCGACCAAAAGTTGCCGTAGGGCTCGCGAATGACGAGATTGGCCCATCCGGACAGCCGAGCGTCGTTCGTGGGTTCGGGCTCGGAAAAGTTAAAGGCGACAACGTCCATGACGCCCAGCGCCATGATGAGAATGGCCGAGATGACCCGAACTGCAAACAGAAAATCAAACTCGCCCAGCTCCTGACGTTTGTGTGATTGGGGGAAACGAGCAAGAAGATGTCGAACTGAGCAACATGTCGGAACGAGCAATGGGAGGGGATGGACCCCCCCCCCCCAACAAAGCCATGCAACGGCAAGATGCTCACCATGGGAGAAGCGGCAGCGCGCCCCAAGTACACGAGGCGGAAGATCAAGAACGAACCGAGTGCAAACTCGTACACAATCTGCGGAAGCAAGCAGCGCATCCGAGCACGCGTTTCCACGCCGTGGTAAATGGCTGCTGCCAGAATCTGTGTGAGTGATGGAAGTGAGTAGATTTCGGCGACAGGTTCTCAGAGCCATCACCGGTATGAAACACAAATTGCAGAAGCAATTGACAATGGCTTTTTGTTTACCAAGCAGGCAATCAGCAGCCACGGATAGAGCATCGAGTACCCTGGCACATTGCTGTAATGCGGTGCGTACCGCAGCAGATTGCAGCCAAACTCTGCAAAGTACACCAGCCCTTGCAGTGGCGCCAAAATCTGCCACGCGAACAAAAAACGTTAGTTCCGCACTATTAACCGGTGTTTGCGTGCACTGAGCGCTTCATCGCAAACCAGAAAAAAACCAGAAACAGCGATGGGATGCTCGTTGTACAGCAACTCACCCATCGCGCTGTTTGGCCTGCGAGTGGGAGGCGGAGTGGCACGCGTGGGTGGCGCGATCGCAACGTGACAAAGCAAACCGAGCCGCCAGCCAGGAAGATTGCCGCGACGAGGACGAGCAGAAACCTGTCGCGATCGCAGCCGTGAGACATAGATCAGTATGTTTGTGATGGCAGAAACAAGGGAGATTTGGATGAACCGTGGAAACGGAGAAGGGAAGAGGGTGACACAAGATGGAGGATGATGACATCCGCGCGAAAGCGATCCCAGTGTGTGTGATATCATCAGCCCACTGTAGCACAGAGACAAGATGTGACCAGCCACATTCATGCCCCAACAGCATAGCATGCGACATGCAAGGCTGCTTCAACAGGGAAGAGAGAAAGAGAGAGCGGCACAAGCATGGGAAAAAGTGATTACCCGTCCATGAAGCACGGCGTCAGATCGAGAGTGGTGCTCGCATCGGCCTCAACGCCGCTCGACACGTTGAACGGGATCAAGTATGGGCCCTGTTTGGTTTGGGGGGGGGGTTGGTGCAAACAAAAGCGGAAAAGCGTCAAGGTCAGTTTCGTGTGGAGCGACAGCTTGGGCGTTGGCAAATTGCAGTGGGCTGCTTACCCATCCTTCGCCACGCTGCGGATTGCCACAGTATCCTGACATGGAGACGTGGTCAATGCCTGCTTTTCCAGAGATAGACGGAGAGGGAGAGATCGAGAGCGAGAGAGAGAGAGACGGAGAGAGCGAAAACACAACGACTGAGCAGAACCAAGTTTGGATGGCTGTCAATCGTTCGCTCAACAGCCAATGCATGTCGACTTCATCCCGCCAGGGTTTCGCCATCGCCCAACGCTGAGCGCGAATCTGACAACAACCAGGCCGAGAAAGGGGGATTGTTCTGATGTGACTTTACCCGAAGGGGGCTTGTTCAAGCAGTCTCTTTCCTTTTTTCTGTTTCTCTGTTTTTGCACGCAATCTCAGCTCTTAGAACATGCCTCAGAGACAACGCAAGGTGCATGACAAAGGCGACAATGCAAGTGGGAAGGAAAAGTAAGATGACAAACAGCCATCGTGATTGTGAAACAGAATGTGACGTTGAGTGTGTTGACAAGATGGAAAACAGCCTCGTAGAGACGCAGAAGAATGATGACGATGGAGTACTCGAGGCGAACGCGGGGCTGACCTGGCTCAGGTAGGCGATATGCGATTTGCGGTGTGAGTTGAGTGACTCTGCAAGATATGTTTTAGCTGATAGGGGGGGGGAGGTTGGGATGTAGTCTGTGGCAAAATCGGATGGACGACGCTGGAGCGCGCGCGATTGCTGAGGCGCTCAGTCAATACAAGACAGTGGCCGAGCTCAAGCATGCATATGGCTCGTACTGAAGCACTCGACGCTGGAGGCCATCCCGCAAGAAGAACGACACCCAACCCTGGTCTACTACCCAATAGTATCAATTCCAGAACAAAACAGCAAAAAAAAAAAAAACCACACCAAGAAAACGAACGAAATCGGCATCGCTACCAAATCTTGCGTCGCCTGCCAGTCCATGCAAGAACTCGCCAGATGGCCCAGGAGCCCATGCAAATAATAGTGGAAACAATCCAAAACATGTGTGGAGACTGCTCCAAGGACGACTGGAGATTCATGCCAAAGCTGGCGGCAACCAGGCCGCACACGGCCACCGAGAACGTCCCCATTGCGAGCTGCAGTTCCATTCGCATGATGGTGTTCCGCTTGCTGTCAGTGTAAAAATACAAATCAAACAAAAGCACTGTGAGCATTCAGGACGTCACGCTTGGTTTTTGAACCACATGCGCATGGCAAACACGACAAACCTGTCCAGCGTAATGGTGATGACATCTTCCGTGTTGCGGATGTGGGCAATCATTTGTTCTACCTCGGCAGCCACATCTTCAACCTGAAAGCGTCAAGACAGATTCAGTTGCCAGCAATGCAAAAAAGCGACACAAGGGGACGATTCAAACCCCAGTACCTCATTCAAATAGTTTTCAAGTAAAAGCTCAACTTCCTCGTGTTGGTCGATGCGACGAGCATGCCTACGAGTTCGGAAGGTGAAGCGTGCAGGGGGGGAGATGTGAGTCAATCCAGAAAGAATCTAGCCAAATGGCGTCGTTCCCAATTCCAATCCACTCGTTACCCTGTTTGTGCTTTGGTGGTCAGGTACATGCTGGCCATGTCTTCATCAGAGTCAAGCAACCGCGTCAGAGCGACTTTGACGTCGTTTACTTCACGCTCAAAGGGAGTGAGTCAAACAATAACAAAACAAAACAAAACAAAACAAAACAATAACAAAAAACATGAGATGCCAGAAAAAAATGTACCGTTTGCTGTAGTTTAATAATGCAGTCAATTGTGGCTTATCCAATTCTGCTCGATCAGTCTCGGCAAGGTCGGCCAGAACCTGAAGGACAGAGGGTCGCAACGCCGAAAGTTTGGCGGACAACGACGCGCACTGTGGGGCGAGCAAGCACACAGACGCCAACAAATCGTTCAGAGGACAGCCCCGGAGCATTCACTCGTGTGTGCATCCGTGGAGCAACTGTTTTGCTTGACTCACCACATTGATTAAAATCTCTTCCAGCACTTTAAACTCAAACGGTAGTGGATCACTAAACATTAGCGAGAGAGAGCTCGTTTTCAATCGATCGTGCAGGCAGCGGCGGAGCTCTTCCATTTCAGCGTGATCGAAATCGAAAAAGAGGGCTGAATTGGAGCGTATGATCGCTTTCACATGCTGCGCGAGAGTGCGTGTTCATGAAAGATAAAAGCCACAAACGAGCAAAAGAGCAGAAACGGTAAGAACAGGAACTTCGAGGAGCAGGGCTCCAAAAATGCCAGCTCAAACAAGTCAAACAACGACTTGAACCCTGCCGTTCACACTTACGAGCATGTTGATTATCGTGGCGTTCGCGCGAGGAAGAATAGTTGGTTGCTGTTTCCGCAAATCAAGGGCTCGCAAGTCGCGCGTTTGCAGCCGAAGCTGAGCTGTCAAGTCTGTCTTGGTTGTTTCTGATCAAATCGACACATGCGTGGCTGCTGTGAGTGGAGAGCAACTCTCATCAGGGTGCGACGCGGCGCAAGTTCGCATCGCACCCACCACCAACAACAGAACAAACCGAGTCATCACCTGTCAAGCTCTCTTCTCCTCGTGGGTTGAATTGAAGCTGTTCAAAAACAGAAAAATTCATGCGTGTTGCAGTGAGTTTGTAGCTCATGACAGGTGGCTGGAGCACGATCCGCTCGCGTCAAATGTGTAATGTTACCGTTTTCAAAATTGTCATACTGCTGTGCATCACTTGGGAGAAGTGCGACGACATTGGCAAGTCGTGATCGTGGTAGAGCACAGGAGGTGGCGGTGGTGATGATGGTGGCGGTGACGATGATGATGATGATGATGATGTTGGTGGTGACGGTGATCGCGGGAACTGGAACGAGTCGCCGTCCTGGACGTGACGCCCCGGTGAGCCAGCATTGGAGCCCGGCGATTCTGGAGGGAATAGCGATGGCGACCCAGTGCGGAATCCTCCCGATCCATTGTCGGACGAAACCAGGCTGAGAGGTCGGGACGAGTGAAACGCTCGGCCAAGGAGTCCCAGCAGCAGCACTGGGGAGCGAGCCTGGCCAGTCCCGGGCAGCCCAGCGCCAAGGCTCGTGTGCAGACTTTGTGTGCGTGAGTCAAGCTTCGCCACCAGTGCGTGGTGGAGTCGGGTGGACATCGGCTGCTCGGTGCAATTTCGGCTGGAGGCTGTGATTTCACGACGACAACCAATGCTCGCGTCCGCCACGGCAGAGGAAGAAGACCCGCCATGGAACATGCGGATCAGCAGGCGTGTTGCTGGAAACGCCATCACGCTTGCGAGATCGGTTGGCTGGCTCGCAATGGCAAGACTGCGCATTGTCAGTTCCGTTCGAACTCCCTCCAAACAAACAACGAAGGGTGTGGTGGGACAAGCTACTAGAGAACTGAGCAAGTGGTGATTGGGTGTGCAAAAAAAAAAAAAAAAGAAATAATTGCATAGAACAGCCATAGTGAGACTGCAGGCTTCGTTCGCACAATCAGCGTTGAGATCATTCCACACACACACATCTCTGGCATAATATACCCAAAGATCGATATTCCGTAAATCTTTTAATCAAGACACAAGACACAAGTTAACAACAACAAAGATAAAGTGGGAGGGGGGGAAGAGATGAACAGAGTGGAAGCTAAGCTACGTCAATTGTAGTTTTTGTTTTTGGTGTTGTTCAGAAACAAACGCCGCTTAATACTTGGGGGGAACACGCTTGCCAATGACCTCAACCTGGAAGCCGATGGAGCGGAGCTTTTGGTGGTCGAGAATAAGTCGGCCGTCGAAAATGAACGCGGGCTTTTGCATGCCTTCGTAGATGCGCTGGTAGTCGAGGGTCTTGAACTCGTCCCACTCGGTGCAGACAATAATAGCGTGGGCGTCCTTGACGGCGTCGTATGCGGACGAGTACATGGTGACACCCTTCTTGATCTTGTCGACGTTCGACAGAAGACCGGGCTCGGAGAGGTCGCGGACAACCTGGTCCTCGGAGACCTTCGGGTCGTAGATGGCGACCTGGGCAGACTCCTCGAGGAAGTACTTGCTAATGTAGATAGCAGCCGACTCGCGGGTGTCGCCAGTGTCCTTCTTGAAGGCAAAGCCGAGGATGGCAATCTTCTTGTTCTGGACAGTGTTGAACAGCTGGGCAATCACCTTGCGGGTGAAGCGCTCGCGCTGCCAGTCGTTCATCTTGACGACCTGCTGCCAGTACTCGCCAACCTCGGGCAGGTTGAGCGACTCGCACAGGTAGACCAAGTTGAGAATGTCCTTCTGGAAGCAGCTGCCGCCAAAGCCAATGCTGGCCTTCAGGAACTTGGAGCCAATGCGGGTGTCGGTGCCGATGGCACGGGCGACCTCCTCGACGTCAGCACCCGTGGCCTCGCAGACGGCGCTGATGGCGTTGATGCTCGAGACGCGCTGGGCAAGGAAGGCGTTGGCGGTGAGCTTGGAAAGCTCAGAGGACCAAGTGTTCATGGTGAGGATGCGCTCGCGGGGGATCCAGCGGGCATACAGGCTGGCAAGGGCCTCAATAGCCTCGTGGCCGGCAGGGGATTGCTGACCGCCAATCAGGACGCGATCGGCGTTGACGAGATCGTTGATGGCGGTGCCCTCAGCGAGGAACTCGGGGTTGGAGAGGATCTGGAAGGTGACGCCCTCCTTGGCGTTGGCGTGGAGAATGCGGGCAATGCTGTCGGCAGCGTGCACGGGGACGGTGGACTTTTCGACGACAATCTTGGGGGCGGTCGAGATGCCAGCGATGCGACGCGCGGCAGCCTCGAGGTAGGTCAGATCGGCGGCGCGGCCCTGGCCGATACCGTACATCTTGGTGGGGGTGTTGACGCACACAAAGATCAGATCGGCATCGCGGATGGTGCCGTCGACATCAGTCGAGAAGAAGAGGTTCTTGCCACGCTGCTGCTTGACCATCTCGTCGAGGCCAGGCTCGTAGATGGGGAGCTTGTCCGAGTTCCAGGCGTCAATGCGTGGTTGCGAGATGTCGACGACCGTGATGATCACATCGGGGCACTTGGCAGCGAGCACAGTGCAGGAAGGGCCGCCGACATAGCCAGCGCCGATGCAGCAAATCTTCTTGATGACAGTCATTGTGTGTGGAGTGTGTGTTTGTGTTGTGTCGTTTGACTGAGGTGGCAACGAAGACTGAAGAGTTGAGTTTCGGGTTGAACGGAACCGGAAAGCCTGTGACAAGAGAGCAGAAGCGAAGGAGCAGAGCCAGAAGAGTGAGTTTGGGGCGAAGAGTCAAAAACAAACTTAAAAGAAAAAAAAATGGAAGGAAAAAAAAAACACAGTGGGAGGGAAGGAAAAAAAAAAATGCAATCCAAAAATAAAGGTGCGTTCGACGGTGGGACTGGTGCGAGTCGTGCAGCAAGCAAGTTCGTGGAGGTGGTGTGTTGGTGACGTTGCGGTCAACTTGGCACACAGATGAGCGACGACCACGACGAGCCGCTCAGTTCGGTTCAGTGAAGTGAACGAGTTCGTTTGTGGTTCTTTTTTTTTTTTTTTTCTTTTTTTCTTTTTCTTTTTTGGGTTCGTTTGTCTTTCGCTTTGGAAACGCTCTCGCTGAGCGATCTGCCTTGCAGGCAAGCCACACAAGACAGATCAAACCAGTGCTCCTTCATGCAGAACGCTCGCATTTGCAAGCACAGTGCACAGTGCAGTGAAGATCGCACCAAGCATTTCTTTCTTTTTTTTCTTTTTTTTTTTTTTTTGTATTCCGCCGAACCTGCACTACGCAGGGAGTGCGACTCGGAAGCATGAATCGCGCCAAGCAGAAGGCTCTCATCCAACTCCAATGGGGGTGAGAAACTACAAGACTGAAAGGCAACATTCATGCCTCCGAGTCGCACTCCCTGCGTAGATGATCAAAGGGCAAACGCGTGGTCGCATCACTCAACTGAGGGCACCCTGATTCTTCTGCAGCGTTCCGCGCCCCTCATCCCCCAAACTCCCATTGAGTCACTTCTGCGGAGTGTTTGTGTTTGTTGGCATTGCGTTTCATGAAAGAGTGCGAGCAACAGTGAGATAGGACAATTGGAGAGAACTGTACTTCTTCAAAGAAAAAAAAAAAAAGGAAGACTGAGGGCGAATCATCCCGCCTCCCATCTTTTTTTTTTCTTTTTTTTTTTTCCTTTTTTCTTTTTTCTTAGACCTGCCCTTTTTTTGCGCTTTTTTCTTTTTCCGTTTTGCGCTCATGTTGGCTTTTGTGGTTCCTTTCTTTCTCTCTCCTTCTCGGTCTTGTTGCAAATGTTGAAGCTGGATGCTGCATAGCCACCACGATAGACCGTTCGCTTTTTTTTTTTTTTTTTTTTCCTTCGATCAGCTCCCAGGGGCATTGGAAACGGAAATTGACAGCCGGTGCGTGCACTGGCACCCTCTTGTTGAAGAGCAACAGTCTCGCGATCATGCGACCCAAAGCAACTCGGCTTTGTTCGTCAGGAAGAGGCGGCTCATCCTTGTGGCGGGGAGGAAGTGAATCATTGGTCTGCGTCAGTGCAACTCATCTTCACACTTTGGCGCGTGTGTTTCGCGCTCCCCCCCCCCTTTTTTTCATTTTTTCTTCAGTGTGTTGTTGCCATCGTGTTTCATCGGGATCTACCATGGTAGATTTGCAGGTGTCGTTCAACACCTCACCAACCCCCCCCCCAGTCTGTCCGTCTTGTGCTGTCGTTGATGTTGTTGGGTTTGATCATGATGCTTTCGCCACCTCGCAACACTAGATCCAATAACAACAATAATAAAAGATTCTCCATCCCCAAATGAGGCTTTACCACAGTTGCCTAGCAAACAAAACAGAATAAAACAGCTGCGCCTTCCATCTCGCCCTACGTTTGCGCTCTTCCTCTTCTTTCTCTCTCTTTCTTTCTTGCTCTGTCTCGTCACTGCCATGCTCTCGCTTGTTGACTCAAAAGCGAACGAGACGACAAAAAGTCGAGAAGGCACGGCACCGTGAGAAGGAGAAAATAAAAGAAAACAACCGTGACGAAAAAAAAAAAAAAACACACGATTCACGCCCTGTGCACCGAGCTGACTCCCCCGGCGAGTGTGGCTCGGGGTCTGCAAGTCGGAGAAATGGGGTGAAAGGGAGGGGCCCAAAGGGCAGGTGTCCGTGTCGGAGCGAACGGAGGGTGCGAGGGCGGAGGAACAAAAGGGCGGCGAAATCCCGCAACGAGGGGGCACGCGTTGGTTTTTTTGTTTTTTTTTTTTTTTGCTCCCTGATGAGTGGCGGTGGCCCATGTGCGACTCTCGACTCGCCCACTACAATTAAAAGAGAAAAAAGACTCACACAAGAAAAGTTGGTTAGTGACTGAGCTTTTATCTAAATGGAGACAAAACGAGTAAATGAATCAATTCAAGGCACCAACAATGCTGCATTCAATGGGAGGTGCGTTCAATGGAGGTTCAATGGAGGAGAGTCGAGCGTTGCAAATCAAAGGTCGTTCTACTCCGAACCAGAACAATACGCCTAAATCCCTACGGGTTCCATAATGAATGGTAAAATGGCAATCGTGAGATATCACCATAATCGACCCACCATTGTGATCGACTTGATGTGGCCAATAATAGTGTCAGAGGAGTGGCGGTGCTCAGATGAGCGGTTTTCTCAGAAAATCGAAAAATAAAAATGGCCTCGAGGCCACCGCAAAACGGCGCCACAAGCGTTCTTGCAGGACAAGTGCAGCAGAGCATCATAATCTTTGCTCAACTTTGCACCCCCCGCATTTTCGAGATCGAGCACACCGACTGCATAGGGTGCATCGCGTACTATCACGGCGAGGAAGCGCGCAGGACAGAAACACTGTTTTGACCCCTAGAAGAACGCCACAACGCCGGTCGCCCTCGCCGAGCTCGATTTCCGACGTGTCCAGTCGGTGTCGGACCGCGCACTTTTCAGGGGTGATTACAGATGATATTTACAACCGTTTTGGCTCAATGGCGGGGCGATCGCGGTGGGGAGCGATTTTGTGTGAAGCTGGATCTTTACTACTTTGGGCTGGATTGAGCCACTCTTTTCTGTTGTTCTTCCGAGCCATAGGTCTCGGGTCGATTCTTGTACTTTTCCGTCCTCACGAGACCGACCAGACCTGCAACACACACACACACGTCAAGCAATTCATCCAAGCATAAGAGCCCGACGCACAAGAGCCAGCGAGAGCACGAGGCGAGATGGAGGAGGACGAGGAGATCCAGTCGCAACCAAGCTACGAGACATGCAGTGTGCGGCTGGTGGTCCTTCACGACCTCGTTCCCGACGCCAGCCAGGATCGCTTCATGGATCTGGATGTACCTGTTGCCCAGCCAGAGGCGCTGCCAACGTACGGCGATGTGGAGCGAGCCTTGCAGACCCATGACTTTAGAGAAGTTGCCTTCCGCCCAAACCCTCAGTTTTGGTTTCCAGTCGTTGGCGTCAAGAACAAGTTCTACCCGTCGAACAAGACGATTGCACACCCCGGATGCGTTCATCTTTCTGTCAGGTTGCGTTGCCCCTGTTGCAAATCCAACGTCCCGCGGTCGCGATTTCACAGCGCGAACAAAACTTGAGATTGTCTTCCGTGCAACCCGCGTCCACCGGCTTGGCCGACGACGAAACTAGCGTAGTGCAAGATGATAGGGACGACATTCTTGAATTTCTTAACGTCCAAGACGGGCACGACGAAAACTGCCGCTCAAGAACGCCTCGGAAGCGCAGAGGAGTCCATCTCACCAAGGAGGAGCGAGACAGACTTCCGCAGTGGAGCCCTAGTACGACGCTCATTCCTGTTCGAACACGTCGTTGGTATTGCTTCAATAGACGCGATCCGTCGAGGCCGCCTACCGTGCCAGACACACCAACTCTCCAACAACGATTTATTCGCGCCTGCTCCAGCAAGAAGCGAGTTGACAACAACTTTCAGTTACGTCCGGAGCTCGGCGCCGGATCCTGCAGTTTCGGCCTGAGATTGACGGAGCTTGGCCAACACACGCACGGCGAGCTGCACCTTATTGGGTTCAAGCTCGAGCAGATGGGTCGCCACGACATGGCTTGCACCGACGGCTCGCTCGCTTTCAAGCAGCGCGCGCATCCTGAAATCAAAGAGTGGGTCATGGATCTGATGCGCAAGGGGTGCTCGGAGGCGTCCATTGTAGCGCAGTTGGAAGGGCCAACTCTCAACCCGCCGCCTCGCCCTCTTTCAAGTTGGAACGTACCGTACACTTCTGGTCGCTGGTATCCCACCAAAGACGCAATTCGCATGATGATAGTCAACTCAAGCAGCGAGAAGCTACATGGAACCGACCAGCAGCGCATCGACCAATTTCTCGCGTCATCCTCGTCGTATGCCTGCTCTCACCCTCACTCGCTCTACCAAGATGGGCAGTGCCCCGGCGAAAGCCAATACGGCGACAAAAGCGATGTCATTTATCATCAATTTGTTCACTGCGACTGCCAGAGCTGCCTCGAAATCCCCCTGAGGGAGTCGAACATTCTGATTTTAATGACGCCTTGTCAGCGGGCAACGTGGGACGCCCTTCGTCCCAAGGTCCTGTTCCTGGATTCAACCTTCTCAGTCAACCGCTACGACTGGGCGACAACAGCACTCGTTGCTGCTGACGAATCAGGCGCTGGTGTTGTGCCGCTGGCGTTCATGATCTCCGACAGAGATCGCGAGCATGAATATGCGCGGTTCTTGTCCGAGGTCAAGCACGCCGTAGGTGAAGCGTTTAATCCGGTGCGCATCGTCATCGACAAATGCGGCGCTGAGCGAAACGGCATCAATCAGGCGGTGCCGGGTGTGCAGGTGGCAACTTGCTGGTTTCACGTCTGCCAAGCGGTGGAGCGCCAGTACCCGGGCAGACTAGATCTTCTCTCGTGTATGGCTAAAATGCGGTATGCCAGGAATGCACAAGAGCTGAAGGACGCGAGCAACAGCTTGCTCAACGCCGCCGGCGAGTTCCAAGGTTATTTTCTGTCTCAGTGGCTCAACGAACGAGATATTAAAACCTGGACGCTCTTCCACCTTGGCTTGGTGCGTGATGCGCTGGATCAAGGCCACACCAACAATTTGATTGAGCGGTAAGCTTGTGATGATTGTGAGTCGCTTGTCCCGTGCCGAACTTTGGAACCTCGTTGACTTGTCATTGCGACTTGCCTCCCCCATAGCTTTTTCGGCACGTTCAAGTACAAGTTTCTGAAAGGTTACCGCATGCACGATTTGGCAGGTCTCGCAATCAGGATTGTTCGGGACACGAACCAGCACTTCTGTTTGCAACGCCAACGCCAGCGACTCGACAAGCCGAATGTCGCCTTCCTTCCAAAGTTCCGCTCCTTACTGCTTGAGAAAGAGATGCACGCAGAGAAGCTCGTGGAAACCGGTCAGGTGTTGGAGCTTCATCGCTACTTTGGTGTAGGACTTGTTCTGCCTCAGCGGACGCTTTCTGAGCTTGATCTACTCCAAATTCGCGAACTCGCAAACGCTCACCTTGAGCCATTTTATCAGACGCGTGGCATGCCCTTGACTGAGGGTTTGCAGCAGCTGCACGAAGCGCTGAAGCAACAGTACCCAGATGTTGTGGTCGTTGGTGTCGAGCGGCGCTTTTGCAGCGCCATGCACGATCACGCTTTCATTTGCAGCCACATCCGTGCCGTCGCGCGGCACTTTGGAGGCATCGAGAACTTTCGTCTTCAAATCCATTCTCTCTTCGAAGAGCCACCAGTGTGTCCCGTGTCCCGCTCAGCACCCGTCAATCCTGCAAGCGAATCTGCTGTGTCCGCAGCCACTACTGCTTATGCCGATGATGCCCTGCCGACTGGCGCAACCGACATGGCCGTAGACGATCAGCTTGATGCAGACGGACCTGCTCGCACCTCTGACATGGCCGTAGACGATCACCTTCCCTCGGGCCCGGATGCAGACGGACCTGCTGACCGCACCTCGGACCTCCCCGCCGAGCTCGATCCGAATCACGGCGCGTCACCTTCTGCGAGTAACTCCGATGATGCTCCAGAGCACAGCTCTGGCCTTGTTGAGACGGTGGCCAGTCCCGACGACCTGGTGGACGAGCTCTCCAAGCTGTTCGAGAAAGGACTCGAGCGTCTCAAGACCATGGCTCAGGGCGATGAGTTGCACAGCCTCGTTCGCCAGCTCACACGCAATTGCAGCAACAGCATGCGGAATGCGACAGGTCAGCGAGGGATTCTTTCATTATATACCCGGCGCACGCGTGGTGCAACTCGTAAGGCTGCCAAATCTACCCGAGCTGCCCAAGCCAAGGCAAAGCGAACTGCTGCTGCCAAAGCCAACCGAGCAGCAGCAGCAGTAGCAGCAGCAGCAGCATCAACATCGTCAGTCTCAACCGTTCTTCCAGGTAACGCAACTGCATCCGCAGCAGCGTCGTTGGCGACCAGTTCGTGGACACGACGCAAGAAGTCTGGAGTGAAGGGGCGGCCCAAAGCTAAGCACCGTGTTCCTGCTGCACTTATCCGAGAAGTCGCAAGATCCTTTTGCGCCAAAGACAGTCAAGCATTCGAGAGCGCAAGGGCCGCGGTGACTGCGTACAAAACCCAACAGTTTGTCGACTACATCCCGCCTTCTCGCAGCAATCGCGGTACTCGAGATCCGTGGGGCGACACTACCCCTTCATTTGCTGATTCCGATCCCACATTTGGGAATGCGAGTGATGGTGCACGTTCAAGCCAGTCGGGAACGACCTCGATTGGAAGCCAGAGCTGACC